CAGGCGGTGAGAGGATCCACCAGAGACAGAGCAGGGACCAGAACAGGCAGACTGACAAAATACACTGCTGGGGAGCAGTAGGCGAGACAGGCGAGGTCTGCTTCGCCATGTGGGTTGCTCCCTGGCCAGCAGGGGATCGAACTTGTGCTGCTGAGGCTGCAGATTGCTTCATTGCGGTGCTTAACCCCTTATGCCACCAAGGAGGTGTCTAATCCTGTTTCTATTGGTATTAGGTGGTGACAGGTGGGGAAGTCTTCTGGAGTCTTAGCCTCCAGGGCCCTGCACACCCTTTCTTTATCAGGTTACTTGCCTCAAGCAAAGTCCACATGTTTTCATGGTCTGGCAGCTAAAACCTAGCAGCTCTACACTGCAGCCTCACAGAGCCTGTGTTCTGGGTTCCTGCCCTGTGTGGGCTGAGGTAGGCCACTATGTTGCTGGATCCTGGAAGGGAGCCCTGCAGGCGAGCAGGAGGCCATTCCATGTGATCACTCCTTGTGTCCAACACTGGCAAGACCCCCATGTCACCCATACACGCTACCTGAGCTCCACCACAAATCAGGCTCACTGAGACAGGTTGATAGTCTGTGGGCCCACAGACTCCTGAGCAGGCTGGCCCCAGGTGGCACACAGGGCCTTCAAGGAAACACCGTGAAGGCTAAGCAGGAGAGGGGAGCTGGGACTCAGGTCTTGTGGACTGAGGGGTGTGGCGGTTAAGCACTGGCACCAGGAGTTGGTGGGTGCCGTGCACTGAGATCTTTGGAGCACGAAAGGGTTGGATTCTCAATGCCAGACAATTTTTCTAGAAGGTTTTCGACTGGAAGGGTGGGGAGGAGGATCAGGGCTCTGAGCCTCCTCCAAATAACTCCAAACTCAGCCAGCCCAGGAAAGTGGGCGGGCACTCCTCTGCACACTCTCATTGCTCTGCTAGGACTGGCACCCCCCAGGAGAGTGCTATGCTGACCTCTCCTGCCTCCCTTCTCTGGCACCTCCTTTCCCCATACATCCATTAATTGCAGCTGTCACCCTGTTGCCAGGCCCAGGCATCTCTGCTGTTCTGTCTGGTGGACCTGTCTTTTGCCTCGCGATTTCCTTATAACCTCCCTCCCTCACACTTCATTGGTCCTCCTTTTGTTTGGGCCCCCACCGTTCCTGCTCAGGAGCCATCCCGATGGGGGGGGTGGGAGACCGGACCGGTGAGGGGCGGGGCCATAGGATCCCAGTAGTGACCCTAGTCCTAGGCCAAGGCCCCCCCCCCCCCCCCCCCCCCCCCCCCCCCCCGCCAAGTACAGCGGTACACCCCCAGGGGACTTGCCTCCGTTGGACTAGGGGATCTGACGCAGAGCAAGGGGTACTTTCCCCAATGAGGGGTGCTCTCTTTATCATGCCTGGGAAACCGAGGCCCCGCGGATGTCCTCAGCTGGCCAAGGACTCCGCCTAGCGCTGGGAGCACAAGACACAGGCTGGAGAGGAAGCTGTTGGCCTGGCAGACGCCGCTGTTGGATCACCCTCCCTGAATTGGCTCTCGGGCTCCCCTGAGGTGCCCCTCCCCCCTTGACCAGAGGTCGCTTGCTTGGCCAGGCCCCTTAGCTCCTTCCCTGCCAGGCACCCACCCGGGGTTCTCAGCTTACAGCTCCCTGGCACCGCCCACCTGACTGAGTGCTTCTGTCCATCTGTGGTGCAGGGCTGGCTGTCTCATATACAGACCTGCCCTGGTCCTGTCTGAGGTCTTCTTCCCGCCCCCACCCCCCCAAGCTTTGGTGAAAGCTGTCACCATGGCCAAGTGCAAACCGCTTGACAACAACCCAACTGAAGGGAGCCCCATCAAAGCTTTCAGGAGGGTCCAGTTGTGCTCCCACCCCGCCTCCCTGCTCTAGTCCTTGCACTGTAGCTCCTGCCCTTGAGCATCTGGGCAGGAGGGACCAGGTGCTCCCACACCCCCAACTGGGCATTACCTAATTCTTCAACCATGTTTCATCTGGCTTAATTTCATTTCCTGATGATGCCTGATGAGTTGAATCCATTTTCTTTTCTAATTTGCCACTCCCCACTGTGGACTTTGCAGGAAAGACTAAAACATGGTAGTGTCCAGAGCCTGGCAATTTTTCCAAGTGGGTGGTCAAAGAAGGCCCCACTGAGGAAGTGACATTTGCAGGGGTGGAGGTAGGGGTGGGGAAGGTTGCCTTAGGAGGTAGGAGGAGGAGCCAGATAAAAGTCATCAGGTGAAATGGAACAAGGGATGGAAATGGAACAAGGGATATGTCCCTCCTGGGGGAGAGAGTGGAAGGGACTGGCAGATGGGTGCCAGGGCATTTGTGGCCTGAAGGCCACCCACTCTCAAGCCTGTTTCCCCACATGGAGTGGATTGATCCCCTGTGATCCTTGGGGTGGCCCAGAGCAGCTGAGCCTGAGTTCTGCAGTAGCCTTTTCTCTGGCTGCTCCAGCACCCACTTACTTCTAAGATTTGGCTGCTTACCCCCAAAGAAAATAAAGGAAACTTCAGAAGATGATCCTCAAGGGATGGAATTATCTTTGGAAGAAGGAAGGGGGAACTAAAGAAGAGGTTACCAGATAGCAATAAACCCAATCAGACCACCTCAGGGTCACTCAGCTTGTCTCCTAGCACCTATTTTCAGATCTCTTCTGTGCTCCCTGCTCTTTCACCTAACTCTAGCTATAGTCTTCTGACACACATCCCCCCAACTGATACCCCTGGCAGTCAAACAACAACCAGCACACCTAGAGGGGATCACCCCATTTAAAAATGAGGAAACTGAGAGGCTGCTCATTAGTTCAAGAAGATGCAGACCCAAGTGGGTCTCCTGACTTAGAAACTAAGCCTTTCCCAGGAGAGTATGCAGTCATGTCCTGGAGAGCGGCGAGGGGGCCCTGTGGGCACAGGGGAGGTTGGGGGAGTATCTTAAAGTCCCAAGAAGAATAGAACAGCAGATGCTGGAATGGGGTCTAGTATCATGGGAACAGGGTCTGGTTGTCTCTGGCGCCCTGCCACCCTGCCTCTGGCACCCTGCCACCCTGCCTCTGGCATCTCCTTTGGCTCCAGGATCTAGCCCAGGCCCATGCAGCTGCTCCCCACCCCTCACCACCTGGCTGCCTAGTAAGATGTCATTGAGACAGCACCAGGGCTGGGGGAAGCCCCTGTTTCGTGGGTGTAGGCGGTCATGGGATGCTGACTCACTGCCGGCCAGACCACCTGACCAGTCAGCAGCAGAAGAGGGCCCTGCCAGGGGGTTCCCGGGCCACAGACTTGTTTACCTTTCTGCTGCCCTGGGGGAGGGAAGTAGCAGGGCATCCTGGGAAGGCTGAGCTGGGGCTCCCCGGGCCTGCATCTAAAGACCCTATTTTCTGTCACCCTTTTCTCCCTGAGCTTTCCATTCCCCCCTACCAAGCCATCACCATCTCAAATTGGGTCAAAGGGTGAGAAAGCAAAAGTAAAAGCATTCTTGGTTGGTGACCTTCTTTTTCGATCTCTGTTTGGACAGTAGCAAGCCTTGAACTATAGATTTATAGGCCCCAGCATCACAGTGCTTCCTTGTGAACCCCCCCCCCCCACTAAAATGGGAACCCTAAAGCTCTTGGAGGGGGTGGGAAACTGGGGATTAAGCCCAGGCTGCCCAGGGTGGAATGGCTCCCAGGCTGCGGGCTGCTGAGTCACTGGCAGGGGCACCTGCCTCAGCCGTCCCTGTTCACACAGCCCTCTCTCTGTCCCCTGACACTGTCTGCAGGCAGGCACAGGGCCGCTTTCCTAGGCTCATAGTGGGGATGTAGCAAGGAGCCTTAAAGCAGGTACTCCTTTCTACAGACCTGCGTTGGTCAGTGGTGCAAAACTTAGCCTATTTTGGAATCCTCTGGGAAGGATCAGCCATGCTAGTAAGCGCCTGCTGTGCTCCCGTAGGCAAAGCATCTTTGCACCTGAGGAGCCAAATTCAGCTAACCTTGTTGGGTCTCTGGGTTTCACATCCCTTGATGTTTACCTGCTCCTACAAACCCCACTCTGAAAGGACATGACTTTGACCCAGCAGATATGACTATTGACAGAATCAACATGGGAGGATTTATAGTTACAGATCCTTCCTGCCCACCTCCTTGCCAGTCCCCTCCTCCTACGGTGCCCTTCCCCCAGGTCTTTTAGACAGGCCACTTTTGTCACATCTAACAGTGTTCCTGGTTCCTAGCAGCAGGGCTGTCGGTCTGACCCCTTGATTGTGAGAGCAACAACTTTGAGACCCCACCAGTTCTTGGGCACCACATGCTGAATTGAACCTTGCGCTGAACATTTAGTGACGGCAGAAGCTCCAGGAAGCCGTGGGTGGGGGGAGGGTTGGATTTCAGGGCTCTTCAGATACCTCTCAATGCTTCTCCCCTACTAACTTAGAGCTGCTCTGGTGTTCAGCCCCGAGTTGGAGGTCTGTCCCTCAACCCCGTTAGGAGCCATCTTGTTGGATGCTAGGCTATGGACTGGGCTGCTCTCTGGAAGGCTGACTGCTTGGGGGTTCATGAGAATGCCAAGTCAGGACAGCACCTCAGGAGTCAGCACGTTCTGGCTGGGGTGCTCCCTGAGTGTCTCAGAGCCGCCTTTGCCCCCCACCTCTCCTACCCACGCTGGGCATCCCCCTCTGCAGTGCTGAGTCACCGCCAGGCCTAGGCCCGGGGGAGGTGTTTGGGGAGGGGCGGGGAGTGGGGGGGCCGCGACTGGACTCTGCCGGCTCCTTCCCCCAGGTGCAGACGTGGGAGCCCAGGTCTAGACGTCGGAGTGTCAGGGGCGGCCTCTTGGGGCCCCCGATGCACTGGGGACACCGGGGAGCGCGGTGAGCCCGGTGAGCCCTCCCGCGGGCCGGGCCGCAGAGGCACAGGGCACCGGGGCCCCGGCAGGGCGGCTCGCGCGCGGCGGCGGCGGCGGAGGCGGGGACGGGGACGGGGACGGGCGCGCGCAGGCCCCGCCCCGGAGGCCGCGCTGGGCGGAGCGTCCCGTCCCCTACAAAGGCCGCGCGCCCGCGCCCGCCGCCGCCCAGTGGGACCCCGGCGCGCCGGCGCGGCGATGGCGGCGGTCACCGTGAAGGCCTACCTCCTGGGCAAGGAGGACGCGGCTCGCGAGATCCGCCGCTTCAGCTTTTGCTTCAGCCCCGAGCCCGAGGCGGAGGCCGAGGCCGCGTCCGGTCCCCCGCCCTGCGAACGGCTGCTGAGCCGGGTGGCCGCGCTGTTCCCCGCGCTGCGGCCCGGCGGCTTCCTGGCGCACTACCGCGGTGAGTGGCCGCGCTCCCCGCCGCGGGCGGAGCGGCCCCGGCGCGCTCTCAGGCCTGGTGGCGGCAGAGGAGGGCGGCTCTGGCCGTTTGCTGCCGGGCGTTGGTCTGCGTGGGCCCCGGGTCGACCTCGGATGCCGGCCTCGAGACCGAAGCCGGCTTTTCTGGGCCTGGCGCGGTCGGGCGCTCTCAGCGGCCCTCAGGCCGGGGGCGTCGGACGCCTCCCCGACTCCCCGAGCCCCCCCGCCGCCATGATGCAGCAGGTCTTGGCGCAGCAGGCTGGGGCGTCCTTGTCGGCTCGCGGCGGGCACAGGGTGGGCAGGCGGGCGCTCAGGTTACGTTGAGATCTTGCTGCTGCCGACTCCGGGCCAACTAGCGCCCGGTGGGGGTTCGCGTAATGCCAGAGAGAACCTCGACCCGGCGGTGGTGGAGCAGGGCGGACGGGGGAGGAGTGACGCACGTAAACAAACAAGGGGTGCTGGGCCCCCGCCGTCAGTGGGGAGGGCGGTGGGGAACAGACCTCCTCAGGCCAGGGAACGCCCCAGCCTCCTCCAGGCGTTACCCCTCACGCAGAGGACAAATGGACGTTCACACACGAGACCTAGGAGCCAGCTCAGTTTCCTGCTGCACTGGTGTGACTGGTGGCCGCTAGGGGTGGGGTTGGGGAGGTGGTTGTGGCTGGAGGGAAGTGGTCTGCCGAGGCCGGCCCCGTGGGCGGTCCCGGACCTCGCTCAGCACAGCTGCCAGATCCTGTTTTGTTTTTGCTGCTCTTGTTATACGTTTGTGGAGGTATACTTCACATACCCTACAATTCACCCATTTAAAATGCTCAATTTTTAGCATATTCACATATTTGTGCAACCATCTTCACAATCTTAGAACTTCGCAATACCGTGTCAAGAAACTGTACCGTTTAGCTAGCCTCTGGTCTCCGTCCTCCCATTCCTTAGCAACCATTATCTTTTCTGGATAAACATATTCTGGATATTTCATTTAAAGCATGTATTTTGAATTGACTTTTCAGTGTTTACAATGCTGTACCATCGTGTCATTATGTCTTTTTGTGGCTGAGTAATAACTCCATTTTATGGACACCACATTTTGTTTATTAATTAATTGACAGAAGTTTGGGTTGTTTCCACCTTTTGACATTGTTCTTGCAGCAGATGTTGCATCTAGTGACCCACTGACCGGCCAACCCACAGATGTATGTGTGGTTTGGCCTGTGTGGTGGTGCTCATCCTACTGTGTGTGTCAACTTCTGAAAACTGGAGACTCTGCACAAATAATTTTAGCTTCATTTGGGAAGGAGCAGTCAGATGGGCTCGTCAAGGGCCCAAGGCCCTTGAAGAGGGGCTGCACCTTCTAGGAGCAGGTCACAGGTAGGGTTTTCCGAAGATCTGCCTGGGCCTTGTTGAATTTGGACTCAGTGGCACCTTTCTGAAGGAGTAATTGGCCCAGGAGCTGCATGGTTGGCAGCCAACTGCTACCCGATGCTACCTCTGCGTGCATGTTTTTTGCTTGTTGTGGTGGCCAGACCCAGGTTGAGTTCAGTGTCACTGTGCATGAGCCATCGTACATCAGTCTCGCTCCCCTTGGCTCAGACAAGAGGGTTCCAGATGATAGTTCTGCAAGTGCCTCTTTAGCACTGGCCTCTGCCCTATATAGCAGCAGCTTGTGGCCCTCTGAGAAGCCCTGGATGCTCATGTGCAGTCTTTTTTTTTTTTTTAAAGATTTACTTATTTATGCATACAAGAACTCAGGTGTAGGCCAGAGGTGCGGGGGGTGAGAGGATTCATCAGAGATAGAGTGGGGAGCAGAACAGGTGGATCTACTGAAATATCCTGCTGAGGGGAGCAGCAGGCAAGACAAGAGAGGTATGCTGCGCCATGTGGGTAGCTCCTTGGTCTGCCGGGGATTGAACTTGTGCTGCAGTGGCTGCCGATAGCTTGATAGTGCTGTGTCTTTAACCCCTGTGCCACCAGGGAGAGCCTCATGTGCGGTCTTTTAAACAATCTAGATGAGGATGGAGACTTGGTTGCCTTTTCCAGTGATGAGGAGCTGACAATGGCAATGTCCTACGTGAAGGATGACATCTTCCGGATTTATATTAAAGGTAAGGAAGGGGTTGCTTTGGGGTCCTAAGAATATCTGTTACACAAGTTTCCACAAAGAAGGAGTAAGGCACCTGTGAGCTACTTAAGACTGGCATGGTCATTGCTGTGTTTGGCTTGAAAAAGGAGTCCATATCCAAGGTGTCCATAGGGCTTGGGGTCGGAGGGTCCGAAGGCTCACTCTGAATTGTGCCTAGACTAAGTCTGTGGGGCTAGGGCACTTTGGGGGTGCTGTGGGATCTATGTTGGTGAAGCACAAGGTCAGCGGTGTACAGACACAGCTCCCTGCTGCTTTTCTCCTGCCTGGGCCACATGTGCCTGGGTGGCAGGCACAGAGATTGGGAACTTCCTGGAAGGTTCTCATGTCACTTTATAATTGTTACTTGAACAACTGAATTCTGCATGGATTCCATATCTGGAAAGCAGGGCCAGTGGCTTGCTCTGATAGCCCTGTAGTGGGAACGAGCAGGAGACTTCAGGGTGCTGGACCTCACTGTTCTCTGCCCTCCCTACAGAGAAGAAGGAGTGCCGGCGGGACCATCGACCCCCATGTGCTCAGGAGGCACCCCGCAACATGGTGCACCCCAACGTGATCTGTGATGGTTGCAATGGGCCGGTGGTGGGGACACGCTACAAGTGTAGGGTCTGCCCCGACTATGACCTGTGTGCTGTGTGTGAAGGGAAGGGCTTGCACAGGGAGCACAGCAAGCTTGCCTTCCCTAGTGCCTTCACGAACCTCTCTGAGGTGAGTGGGTCCTCCCTGTAAACTCAGTGGGCTACGGTGGGCACTGGGTGACAGGAGCCCCCTGACCTCGCACTGCCTGACCCCTCTGCTTGCTTGACTCCAGGGCTTCTCGCACAGCCGTTGGCTTCGGAAGCTGAAACATGGGCACTTCGGGTGGCCTGGCTGGGAGATGGGCCCACCAGGGAATTGGAGCCCACGGCCCCCTCGAGCAGGAGATGCCCGTGCCAGCCCCACAGCAGATTCAGGTGAGGTTGAGCCGCTGGCTTCTCAAAGGCAAGGTGGAAGGGCCAAGGGCTGGAGGGCTGGGTCTGTACCTCAGTGGAATTCATCAAGCCTTCATGGGTCATGATTTCCTGCTGTTCCTGTATGTCATAGCCATCATATCATCCTCACAAAACACTGCCAACTTGGGGGGGTGGTGGTGGTGGTGGTGGTGGTATTCTCTCCATTTCACAAATGGGAACATTGAGGTACCTAACTAATTCACCTGCAGTAAACCTAGACCAGCTCCTTTTCCTGACTCACAGTGCTGCCCTTATGAGGTAGCCTCACACACAGGGAGAGAGATCCTTCTAGCATCTGCATTTTTTTTTTTAATTCTTTATTTGTTTATACAAGCACTGGGTACAGTCAGAAGCGCGGGAGGGTGAGAGAATTCACCAGAGCCAGGGGGCAGAGCAGAGCAGGCAGAGTGACGAAGTACACTGCTGAGGGGAGCAGCGGGTGGCAGGAGAGGTCTGTGCGCCATGTGGGTCCCTCGCCCGGCGGCCGGGGATCAAACCAGCACTGTAGAGCTTCACAGCCCAGCGTTCAACTGCTGCGCCACAGGGGAGGCCCAGCACCTGCATTTTTGTCCCATAATCTCTTCTCTTGCGTGTGAGCTGTCAGGAAAGTCAAAGTCAAGTTTGTACAAACTGTGTAAATAAGAGTCCAAAGTTAAAAGCTTACAAATTTACAAAGTTAAACATTTACATGTAACTCGCACTCTAGATTTTTGGATTCTGTTTTTTTTTCTAATTTTATTAATCTTATTATGTCCTTTGATTCACCTTATCCTTTGAGACAAAAGTGGAGCTATTTTTTGCTTTGGAGTAAATCACATATCAGGGATGTGGTCAGTATTTTACACAGTGTGTGCTGAGCCCTCCATGGGATTCCTGCACACCAGGGGTCACAGACAAAGGGGAAGGGCTCGGAGGATAATGGGGTAGAGGGTGTGCTCCACAGTGGAGGCGAGACAATAAGGCTATGAGTTTGTCAGGAAGGACCCGGGTGAAGATGATAGGCCTGTGTCAGGGATCAGTTGCTGAGAAATATGCTTTGGATTAAATATATCTTTGTTTTTGTTTTTAAAATCAAAGCTTCTGGCCCATCAGAGGATCCCAGTGTGAATTTCCTCAAGAATGTAGGGGAGAGCGTGGCGGCTGCCCTCAGCCCTCTGGGTAAGTGGCTGCCTTGCCTGTTCTTTGAGATGAGAGCATTTGGTGGCTCAGTGTGTAGGGTACTGGAGAGGAATGGTAACTGATGTACGCTTGAGACTGGTAAGGATTTGTTGCCTCAGTTCAACCTTTGTCAAGCGCTGCACCACAGGCCACTCATAGTTCAATTCCCTGACAGATTCTTTCCAAATGGATTGAAGTGGAATCAGCCACTGTTCGTTGTGATGATCTAATAGATAGGGTTACTAATCTCATTTGAAGGGCTGGCCTCCCAATTTAATTTCTCTCTCTCCTTTGGGGGAAGAAGAGTTTGCATTTTACCCTGAGGTGAGCCTTTGGGTTTACTCAAGGACTTGGGTGAGTAGTTAATTGACTTGCCATCCCTCTTTTCTTTCCCCCTCCCTTTTTTTGGGGGGGAGGTAACCTTTCCAGGTGTGGGAGCAATGGAGGAGGTGTTCTGTGTGATGCGTCAGGTTTAGTGGCAGTCTCTAGGTGTGAACTACAGTGTGCGCTCCCACAGCGGTGTGACCTGGTGTTACCTGTGAGGGTTTCAAAAGGATGTGGGTGCTACAGGACTAGACCTCATGACAGTAAGAGTCAGGCAGTTGATGCAAGTGACTTCTGATTCTAGATTACATGAAGCAGTGATCGGACTCAAAGAGTCATTTTTGTGACTGCTGTGGCAGGAAATGCTTACCAGTTTGTCTAAAAATGATGGCCAGATCCTACCAAAAGCAATATACAGATTCAATGCTATTCCAATAAAAATTTCAATGTCATTCTTCAAAGAAATAGAACAATTATTGATGAAATTCATATGGAATCACCAAAAACCCCGAATAGCCAAAGCCCTCCTGAAAAAAAAAGAAGGGAATGGAGGCATCCCACTCCCAGACTTCAAACTATACTACAAAGCCATAATCATCAAAAGGGCATGGTATTGGAACCAGAACAGACACACAGACCAATGGAATCGAATAGAAAATCCAGAAATAAACCCACAGATTTATGGTCCACTAATCTTTGACAAAGGAGCAAAGACTATGCATTGGAACAAAGAAAGTTTGTTCAATAAATGGTTCTGGGAAAACTGGGTTGCTACATGCAAAAGAATGACGCTTGACTACTACCTCACACCATACACAAAAATCAGCTCAAAATGGATTAAAGAACTAGACATAAGACCTGAAACCATAAAATACATAGAAGGAAATATAGGCGAAACACTACGTGATATTCACATCAAAGACATCTTTACAGACACATCACCCAAAGCAGTGATAGTGAAGGCAAAGATTAACAGCTGGGACTACATCAAATTAAAGAGCTTCTGCACAGCAAAAGAGACAATAACAAAAAAAAAGAGAAACCCCACCAACTGGGAGAACATTTTTGCACACAACACTAATGATAAAGCACTGATCACAAAAGTCTGCAAAGAGCTGATGAGACTCAACAACAAAGAAAATAATCCAGTCAAAAAATGGGCAGAAGAACTAAAAAGAAACTTCTCTGAAGAGGAAATGCAAATGGCCAATAGGCATATGAAAAAATGTTCAACATTACTTGTAATCAGGGAAATGCAAATCAAAACTACCATGAGATACCATCTTACACCAGTGAGAATGGCACATATTAAAAAAACTAGGGCCTCCCCGGTGGCGCAGCGGTTGAGCGCTGGGTTGCGAAGCTGCCCGCAGCCTCTGCAGCGCCGGTTCTATCCCCGGCTGCTCCCCGGCCACCGGAGGAGGGTCCCACATGGCGCGCAGACCTCTCCTGCCGCCCGCTGCTCCCCTTAGCAGTGTACTTCGGTCCTTCTGCCTGCTCTGCTCCCCGCTCTGGCTCTGGTGAATTCTCTCACCCTCCCCCGCTTCTGACTGTACCCAGTGCTTGTATGTATAAATCAATCAATCAATCAATCAATAAAAATAAATAAATCTTAAAAAAAAAAAACCAAAAACCTAGCAACAACAAATGTTGGCGAGGGTGTGGAGAAAAAGGAACTCTCCTGCACTGCTGGTGGGAGTGCAAACTGGTCCAACCACTATGGCGAGCTGTGTGGAGATTTCTGGACCTACTACACATAGAGCTTCCATAGGATCCAGCAATTCCACTCCTAGGTATTTACCCAAAGGACACAGAAACATTAATTCCAAAGAGCACCTGCACCCCTATGTTTATAGCAGCACTGTTTACAATAGCTAAGCTTTGGAAACAACCCAAATGCTCACAAATAGTTGACTGGATCAAGATGTGGTGCATATACGCCATGGAATACTACTCAGCATTCAAAAAAGATAAACACATGCAGTTTGCAGCAACATGGATGGCGCTGGAAGGGATCATGCTCAGCGAAATAAGCCAGAAAGAAAAAAAAATACCGGATGGTCTCACTCATAGCAGGAATCTAGAAAACTTAAATAAGGGACCAGGAAAATGAATAACTGTAAGAAAGTGAAAATCAAAATCAACAAAAAACTATGAGCCACAGATACTCTATGGGGGGTGGGGGGGCAGGGAGGGGAGGGATTGGGATCAAAATAAGGGGGTTGCAATTGTATGGGGAATATAAAAATAAAATTTATTTAAAAAAGAAATAAAAAAATAAAAATGATGGCCAGTATCTGAAAGACTGCTGATAGAAAGGGGCTCAAACTCTGCCCCCCCATCCACCCTGTGCTTCACAGGGTATAGCAGCCATTGCCTCCAACCTGAGGCCATTTCTGCTTAGGTAGCAGTAATTTTTGGGTTTTGCTGCTGCATAAAACATACGGCTTCTGTGCTGGTGGTAAAGGCCCTCAAGAGAATGAGAACAAAGAATTGATATTGTTAGTGCCTTCTAAGGAGAATGTGATGGTGGAGCAGTGTTCGGATCAGAGTAGGGAAACGAGCTAACCCTAAGCCCTACCTGCCACTCACATCAGGCATAGCAAAGGCTTGAGAGAGTGAGTAGAATTTGGGGACCAGTGTTCTATCTAATGGGCTCTTAACTGAGATGCCATGAGAAGCGTGTTTCCTTCGAAAGCATTAATGAACAGTCCTTCACAAGCCTGGCTGAACATCAGAATCACCAACACAGGGCTTTTTTGGTGTATATTTTAGTGTATGGCAACTTGATTAAAAATTATTCTGAAGACAAAGTCCTTTACTAGAAGAGGGAGACAACCTAGACCATCACAAAACCAGGTCTAGGTCTAGGTTGGGCCTTGAAACACTGCAGCTTTCCTCCCAGGTCCTGCTTTCTTGGTTCTGGTAAGTGGGTCTGGGGCGGGCCTGGGCGCTGTGTTTTGAAGGATTCTCAGGTGACACTAGGTCACACTTGATGTTTCAGGACCTTGCTTCCTCTCTTGGGACACATGGGAATAATTTTTGTAAGTGCTCAGAGGTCTTGGGGATAAGGATAAAGGCATTTTCAGATCTTTCAAAGTGGATAGAGTTGCTCTTGATCAGTTAGGGAAGTATCTGGAGCACTACTGAACATGGGAAACTTCAGTCAACTGTGCCACTGAGTAGTTTCACTTGCAGAGAACCATTCGAGGAATTGATGACTCTTTTGATTAAATTCTATTGTTGGAGTTATGGGTGTTTTCCTTCCCTTGATGAAGAACTTAATACCTAGTATGACTCACAATGTTAACTGCCCAGAAAGGACTGTTCCCAAAGCAGGGCCTCAAGGGGAAGGAGTCAGTGACAGCCTCATGGAGGTAGTCTGTGTGGGCTTAGTGACTTCTAAGAAAGACATTGTGTTTTCACCCTAAGGTGAAAACAAAAGCTTTGGGTAAGTGCTGTGAGAACCAGCTGAGCAGGTACACTGCCAATTCCCAGGACTCTGCCTGGCTTGGGGTTGTAATCAGTGACATCTAGGATGGAACAGCAGGACCCTTCACATCACATGTCTTTAATAAAAATCCCTCACACACACAGGCTTTGGGAGCAGCAGGGCAAAAACTGTTGTAAGTTCTGCAGGCAGGAGTTCTGGTAGTTAAGCTTTTTTTTTTTTTTTTGTTAAGATTTATTTATATATGTGCATATAAGAGCTGGGGTACAGGCCAGAGGTTTGAGAGTAAGGGGGTGAGAGGATTCACCAGAGACAGAGTGGGGAGCAGAACAGGTGGATTGACCGAAATACACCGCTGAGGGAGGCAGTGAGCGTCAGGAGAGGTCTGCTGCGCCATGTGGGTCAGCTCTTTGGCTGGGGATTGAACTTGTGCTCCAGTGGCTGCCAATAGCTTCATAGTGCTGAGACTTAACCCGTTGCGCCACCTGGGAGGCCCTAAACTTTTTTTTTTTTTAATCTGTGCCCACGCCTCAGACCCTGCTAAAGTAACAGTAAAGGTATTAAAAGAGAATAAAGCAACTTGGGCAAAGGAAAAAAGTAACAGAAGACAAGATAAAATGATGTCCTCAAACTTAGGAAGATAGGAGGGTAGTTAAGCAGCAAAGTGGAGGCATCTGAAACCCATGTGCCTACATAGGGATACTGGCGAGGAGCAAGACTATTGTTCCCCAGGGAACAAGGGGATAGGTTGAAGATCCCATTAAAGATCACGTAGAGACTTCAGGACCCCACTTAGGCAGATGATGGCCCTTGTGAACCCTTGTAGGAAATGTGATGTTTAATTCTTGTAGCATCTCAGCCAAGTAAGTGTCACCCTTAGGGACAGCAGGGACAAGGGGCAGGGTGAGGCATTAAGAATGAGCTGTGGTTCCAGCAGGAGCCGGGGAGCTGCTGCTGAGGAGAGGCTGATAGCACTGGAGACGTACTCCACGCCTCCACCCTCTGGGCTCCCTCATGCCCTGGCTGGACACACAGTCCTGTGGAGGGCAGCTAATGACCCTGGCTTCATGGAGAGGACTTCTTACTGGCCTTTTCTGGGGGAAAATCTCTACACATGGAAAAGAATGAACTTGGGGGAAGGACTAACAGGAAAAAGCATGTGAACAACCTTGAGTGAGATACAAGAGTTACTTGTATGCATGAAAAACGAAGAACAGGATACCAAAACAAGATAACAAATGGGGACAGAATTAAGAATTCCTGGAAATAAAAAGAATAATAGCAGGGGAAAAGAACTTCAAAAGATTTAAAGATCATTTGAAGGAAGTATCCCAAAATCAAAACAAAAGGCAGGAAAGAAAATTCAAAGTTTAATCCTAGAGGCCCAGTATAGGAATGGGTAGGAATTCCAGAAAGAACAGAACTGAAGAGAGGAAATTAACAAAGAATAAAACACAATGTCTTGGCAGCAGAAAGATACAAACCTCTAGGATAAAGGGACCCCGATTGCCTTTTACCGTGACTGAAAAATACTGCGAAGTTATTGTGTCAGAGCCCATGGAAGGAAGAAGAGAGGCCCCTGCAGCTCTCGAGGCCACCTTAAAGGTTTGGGACAACAAAGACATTATTGGGAAGTAGAAGACAGTGGAACAATCAGTGGCTTCAAAAGTCTGAGTTAAAATGGTCTTTCAGCCTAGAATTCTATGCACAAATAATCAGGTATGAAGCCAGAATAAAATTGTTTCTAGGTATGCAAGGTCTTAATTGGCATGTCTGAGACTGTGTGTCAGTCTTGGCCTATTGATAGGGCCACTGCTTGAACTGGATGCCTAAGTATTAGGAGCCTACAGCATGCACTTGCGTGCCAAGAGGAAAAGCCAACTGGGTGAGCTCCAACCCTCTCTCTGACCAGAATCAAGAACGAGGCACTGGAAAGGGGGCCCGCCGCAGAGGGAGGACCAAGGGCATCGCCATGACGAAGGGAAAGAGGAGCCCAGCGGAGGTGCTGTGCTGCCGGCCTGGAGTGCTGCCAGCCTGGGCGTGAGCTGGAGGCTGGCGCCAAGGGCTGGCCTCTGGGAAACTAGAACTAAGGAGATATTGATGGGCTCAACTCAAGTAGGAACTCTGGAGAAGCTGGTGGAGAATGTGGGGGATTTAGCAAAGAAAGAGGGTATCACTAAGTACAAAACTCAAAACATCCTACAAGGGAAGAGTCAAGTGCACTAATTGGCCTTGCAAGAGCAATATTTATATAATGGTACTAATACAAACATGGGATGTTGTTTGCACCTAAGATCGGGCTTTTGAAATAAGGAAAGGGGAGGCACAGGTTGATCTTGTAGAGTAAGAAATAAGCAATCAACTTGAATAATAAGGAAGGAGCACTGACTGGAGAGTTGGCCAGGCTGTGTGGTGGTGGATGATAGGAATCTTCACCATAGCCTTTCGGCACTGCTTGACTCTAAGCTGTAGACCTGGAGTCCTTTGATAAATTAAAGTCAGTCAGAAGCTGTGGGTGATTGTGCTCACCTCTGTTTTCCCCAGAGTGTGAAGACTGGAGGTAGACACTGGGCCTGTTTTTCCAGCCTCATGGGCCTCATACAAGCTTGTTCAGGCTCTCGCCTGCCTATAGAGATTCTTAGCTTTGAAATGTGTTTTCCATTTCACTTGTGGCACATGGGCTGTTTGGCTTGCATCCTGCCTCTAGGGCTGGGTCCTGCCTATTGTGCAGCTTCTGCCCTGTGTGGTCAGAAAAAATAAGGTCTTTATGGACTTTCTGACTCTCAGACTGCCCTGGATGTTAGCTAAGGTTAATGTTTTATTAAGTGTAAGGAAGAGACAGGACCAATAAGGTGGACATGTGGGTAGTTTTTCTAGAAACCAAGATGATATGGGACCAGGATGTTGGGAGTTCAGCTCTTGGGACCATTTTGAAGCTCAGAGATGGCAATCCATTTGCCTTCTGGCAGCTGGGGTGGAATCCTGGCACATCCCATGCTGGCCTTGTGACGCTGGGTTCTATAGTAAACTTCACCATCTGCACCTGCATAGTAACTGCCACCATCCACCACTGTCCTGACCCATCAGACATGAGAATGGAGTGTGGAGGAGCTTTGTGAGTCCAAGTTCACCCATTCGCTGGCCTGACCTTCAGGTAAGGCTCTGAAGGACTTATAGGTTTTTGTTTCCTCCTTGGCCTGTAGGCATTGAAGTTGATATTGATGTGGAACATGGTGGGAAAAGAAGCCGCTTGACACCTGTCTCCACAAGCAGCTCCAGCACTGAAGAGAAATGCAGCTCCCAGCCAAGCAGCTGCTCTTCTGACCCCAACAAATCAGAGGGGGATGTGGAGGGTGCAGCACAGTGTTTGGCAGAGCAAATGAAGAAGATAGCTCTGGAGTCGGGGGTTCAGTCTGAGGCAAGCATTCTCTCAACAACCCATCCAGAACCCCTCCCCAACTCTTCCATAGTCAGGGGACCCCATTTTTGTCACAATGTGCATTGCATTCTGTGAACTTTGCTTCTAGATCTTGTAAAGAAAACTGCCCGTAGCTCCTTCAGTCCTCTATAGCAGACTCTTCCAGGAACTGAGGCTGCAGTCATATGTCCCTAGCACACTCATGGGGCTTCTATTCCAGGAACAGATGGAGTCTGATAACTGCTCAGGAGGAGATGATGACTGGACTCATTTGTCTTCAAAAGAAGTGGATCCATCTACAGGTGAACTCCAGTCTCTGCAGATGCCTGAATCTGAAGGGCCAAGCACTCTGGATCCTTCCCAGGAAGGACCCACAGGACTAAAGGAAGCTGCGTTGTATCCACATCTTCCACCAGGCAAGTGATTTCAAGCAGTTTTGTCTGTTGACTTTGTTTCTTCAGAGCATCTTACCATGTGCTTGTAGACATCAAGAGCTGTCATGGCCTTTACTACAGGGCCTGTCTACTGACATGAGGTAAAATGAATTGTTTTGTCCTCTTGTGTCTGTATCTGAGGAATAATAATCTCAACTACTTTGAGTAATTTCTAAAACTTAACATCCATACACAGACTAATAGGCAGATGTGGCCTAGAGGGTGGCACTGGCTTTGGCATGTCCATGTCCAACTCAAGGTAGACATGGAGTCCATCCTCATGTTGCACATGGGGAGTGCTGACCTTAGAGCAGTAATCGGCCAGTGTCCCTGTAGGACCCAGACAGGAAGCCAATGTGTGAAGTGGTGGTGGTGGTGGGGGGGGAACAGCAGGGTAGAGTGGTAATCGAGAGCACACCAAATGAGTCAGCCCATACCTGGCTCCAGTTCATTAACGTCATGTGACAGTGTTCAAGGCAATAGTTATGTGAAAACCCACCCATGGACCACATTGGCTTCCTGGCTCCCAGTATCTCTTCTGCCTTAGAGCAGAGGATGGCAAACTATATAACCTGTGGGCTGAGAATGATTTTTTCATTTTTATAATGATTGGGAAAAAGTCAAGATGTGAACATTAAATACGAATTTCAGAGTCAGGTTTTATTGGCACATAGCCACGGTTATTTGTTTACATGTTGTCTGGCTTTTATGTTGTAATGGTAGTGTTGAGTAGTTGGGACAGAGACCAGACAACTGCATAGCCAAGCAGCTGCTCTTCTGACCCCAGCAGATTGGCGGGGGATGCTGCAGTCTCTGGCAGAAGGCAAATGGCTGGCCCTCTGAGCTTTGAGTAGTTCCTCTTTGCAAAGCCTTTTACCAAAAAAGCTTGCAGGCCCTGGCCTTGGTGAGAATTAGGAGACCCTATGGCGGGCTGTGCTGGGCTTGGCCCTACAGGTGCTGGATACTTGCTGGCTGGACAGGATATTGCTGTGTTTGGGCAGCACGTGGGGCCCAGTGACTCTGTCATGGTTTTTATTACTCTCTCTGGCAGAAGCTGATCCTCGGCTGATTGAGTCCCTCTCCCAGATGCTGTCCATGGGCTTCTCTGATGAAGGCGGGTGGCTCACCAGGCTCCTACAGACCAAGAATTACGACATCGGGGCTGCCCTGGACACCATCCAGTATTCAAAGCACTCACTGCCATTGTGACAATTTTTGCCCACCTGTTCTGTGTCCCCTGTCTCATAGTTGTGTTGTGCTATTGTAGTACCCCAGGGCCTCTATAAGGGCCAGTTTATCTGCATTCTTCTTCCAGAATCTGGGGGGTGGGGATGCATGAAGCCATTTAGGGCAATAGAATAAGTGACATAGGGAGGGAGCTCCCAGTGTGTGTGTATGAGAGAGAGGGAGAAAGAGAGAGATGTTGTTTTTGATGTCTGAGAAACACTGATCAGTTTCCCTTGGGTGCTCTGGCTCCACACAGCCAGGCCCCCAAGGTCCCAAGGTTCCCCAAGGCAGAGGGAGACTCCGTGCTAGGAGACGCTGACACCACACCACATCACATCCTTGCTCTTCCTGCCAGGTTACGCCAGCAGTGCACACTGTATCTTGCCTAATGGCCTTCTGCTTTTAAAAAAAGTAACTAATAGTAGATTGAGACTGACAAGTAGTTGATTTTCTGCTCCAGGTTTAGGCAGAGCACCACCAGCAGAACGAGACTCCTGCAGGAGTGCTGGAGGTGAGAGAGCCCAGGCTTTCATCTGGGGAATGAAGGGCCACGAAGGGGCGCTGATGTGGGCGCTCACTCACTGCTGCCTGTTCCATAACCACTGTAGTTCTCGTTTCCAGGTGTCTGTTTTGACAGTAAGAAAACCCCTTTGTAGCCATTCTGTTCCCATATTTGTAAACGAACTAATTAAATGGTATAAGCACTTTAATCAAAGCTGTTGTAACTGTTGAGATGATCTGTTTGACAGCCATGTTTATTGCCAGTTTTTGGTAGTTCCCATAAACTGTTCTCAGTCCCATTTAAAAGCAACTTGGGGAGGCGTGTTTCCAGTGACAGGTGTGTAGTAGACAAGGGCTTACATTAACAAACGTCTATATAAAGATCTATTGACATTATAACACATATGTCTCAATATAATACTCTAGTCTCAGTTCACAGATTGTCATCAAAGTCCTCGTCGGTTTTAAAGAGGTCACGTAGTTGCACAAGTGGGAGTTCCTGTGGCTGCTCTGGGGTCTTCCCACAGGCCCTGGGAGACACAGACATGGGGGTATGGGTGGTCTGCAGGAGCTGGAATGCACTGGGGGAGCCTCTCAGGTGCCCTTCACTGAGGTTATGGGGTCCTGGGGTCGCTTGTTCAGCCAGCCTGAGTGCTCTCTGCGGGAGTGTCGGGGAGTCCGTGTGTACACAGGAACAGTTTTCAGGTGACAGAAGAAATCGTCTCCACTTGGAAGTTGCGCTGACCTGCTGGGCAGGCCGTGGTGGTTGTCCCCTGTTGTCCCAGTCTTCACAACTACTGCCTTTTTGGCCCTCTGCCAGGACAGCCTGGCCCTGCAATGGAGAGGGGAGGAGAGAGTCACGTGCTCTGTTCTGAAAGCGTGCCCCTGGCCCAGCAAGACCCAGGGCTGGAAGGAAGGGACCCTGTGCCACGCTGCAGCTTTGCTTCACTTCTCCCTCAGGTTCTGCCACTGCTCTAAGCTCAACTTAGCAGTGCTGAGGGCTCGCCGGCCAGAGACATGCTTTGATTTTAAAGTGTATAGCAAAGCAAAGCAAAGCAAAGCCCTCTGCATCACCCCAAATACTCCACTGAATTTCACGACCAGGCTTTCCAAAACTGGAAGACAGTCTCACATGATCAGGCAATCTTCATGGGGATCTTAGCATCAGGAAAGGGGGTGCCTCAGAGGAGGTGTGAGCAGGAAAGGCTCAAGAGTGCATCTGGGAAGGGATGGAGAGACCCTACCCTGCCTGCTCACTGTATTGCTCACAGGAAGGGCTGAGGGTTTTGAAAATGCATGAAAGCACCCAAGGGGCTTGACTTATATTCACCTCAGAAACAACTGAAAATTGGGTTTCTCCACCCACAGTGGAATTTGAAAACCATGGCAGATGGGGCCCGGTATCCCCACTCCCTGTCTCTCCTACTGACTTGCTATGACCTGACTGGGCTTTTGGTAGCCTTAGTTCCTCACGTTCGAAACAGAACAGGCTTGTGGCGAGCACTGCACTGATAAAGCGTGCAAGTGTCCAACCCAGGACCGGCACAGGGTAGAATCAGTGACTCATTATTCTAAAATTTGGAATGAGTGCCAACACTGCTGTCTGACTTCTGCACTGAGGTCTGAGGCTGGCCTCTGGTGGGGGAGGCAGTGTAGAGGAATACCTGCATTCTGTAGCCTTGAAAGCCTGATAAGTGAAGGTGAGGGGGGAGAACATTACTCAGAAAGCCAGGCACATTGAACAGCCTGGCAGACCCTCTACTCGGAGGACATGATCTGTCCTGAATGGAAAACCCTCCTGGTCAACCCTGGCTCCCTCCAAGCCATCATGAGACTCTTCTGACCGGGAGTTAACATCACTGGATGAGCATGGCAGGGAAACGGTGCAGGCCAGAGCAAAGAGTTGACTCTAACAGAGGACACCAGGTAGGAAGCTGGGCTTTATGGGGGCCTACATCTTACATATTTCAATTGTTGCCAAAAGAACACAAAAAATTCTCTGTGCTCAGTGGTCACTGGGACCAGTTGAGAAACTATATCCTCAGTCACTGACCTTCTGGGGGTTCCAGGTGACCTCAGAGTTGCTTGACTCCTGGACATCAGGGCTGTGTGGAGGCTGGACTATGCTCTGGTTCCATTTCCTGGCAGGTGGAACTGCTGTCAGAATCCAGTCCCATCATGGCAGGGCTGAGCCTGACTTGGTCACACAGCATAATCTTGTCATCCCTCTCAATTTCCCAGGTGGCTGCTTGGCTTCTGCCTCATGGCCAATAACAGGATGCCCAACATCCAAAGCAATCTATATCTGCGCGCCACAGCTTATTGCAAGAAAGTTCTATTTTGAACAGGAACTTAGCTCCCTCCTTTAGAGCACCCGCCCGGTAAATCAGAACCTAAATCTAGATAAGGCGGTCTCAGAAAACTCACTGAAATGCAGAGTAAGTCTGGAGGGGAATCCTGTAAGAGGCAGGTCTTGCCTGCTCTAAGCTAAAAGCTTTTGGCCAGGTTGGCTACTCTTAGCCAACCCTGCCATTAAAAAATTCTTCCCTGGGTCTCCCCGGTGGCGAAGCGGTTGAGCGCTGGGTTGCGAAGCTGCCCGCGGCTTCTGCAGCGCCGGTTCGATCCCCGGCTGCTCCCCGGCCACCAGAGGAGGGTCCCACATGGCGCGCAGCCCTCTCCTGCCGCCCGCTGCTCCCCTCAGCAGTGTGCTTCGGTCCTTCTGCCTGCTCTGCTCCCCGCTCTGGCTCTGATGAATTCTCTCCCCCTCCCGCGCTTCTGACCGTACCCAGTGCTTGTATAAATAAATAAGTAAATCTTTAAAAAAAAAAAAAAAATCTTCCCTGAGGTCAGTGCAGCCAGCCCTGGGTCAATGGCACCCAGTTGGCAGTCCTGCCCGGCCTCCCCTCCGCACCAGCAGCAGCTGCCATCCCTTAGTGTGGCACAGGGCCAGGTCTAGATTAGTGACTTGCTTGGCACCTTTTTCTAGGCAGGTCTTTATTGAAGGGAGGGTCTGGATTCCCTGTCTCGGATGAGGACTGTCTGCTGAAACACACTCCTTCCAGGCCCGGTTCTTTGGCATCCCTTTCCAGATACTTCAGCCAGCGGTTCTCCACGGGCGGGGGTTTTTCCTACAGGATCAGGAAACGGCGTTGCAAGTACCCACAGCAGCTCGGATGTCCCCAGTGATATCACCTACTCAGTCACTCAAGCCCACACATCTGCCCACTCAACTCTGAGGACCCACTTTACCAGGCACCAGGGACAGAACCCTGGATGTGAGCCCCCCTCTCAGGAAGCTCAGTCTTATGAAAGGGAACATGGAAACCCAGGTGCTTTGCTAGTGCATTCTTTCCCCACCAGAGGTGTGCACAGAAGGGGAGAGGCACAGGAGGGAAGCTCAAGCTCAGTTCAGAGGAGCTCTCTAAGCAGACAGAAGAAAAAGCTCTTTTCACAGAATATTACAATTACTTGACTACCTGGTTGTCGCCAACCTTGCAAAAGGAACGGGTTGATTCATTTTGTGTTTCCTGTAGCTTTAAGCCAAGTGCCTATCATCTGGAGGCATCAGTAAGCATTTGCTGAGCAACTAAGGAGTGAATAAATGGAATCCCTTCCATGTCTAGGGCGGCGGGCCGGGCCTGGATGGGTGCTGCTGGCTTACCTGCAGACTGGCATGCTCAGCCTGCCGAGGACCTGCATTCTCCTTGTCATCAGCTTTTCCAGGTTCTTCCAGAGACCTTAGGGAAAGACTATACATACATCTTTGTAAAACGACCAGAAACATGGGAAGAGCAGGGTAATGGATATCAAAGACAGTCCTGGGGGTGTGGTGTGTCTGTGTGTGTGGTGGGGAGGTTCTCAGGAACTTTGATTTATCTGGATGTTCAGAAGCCCTAGCAGAGGGCCCATTTGTTCCTCAGATTTAGGCTGGGAAATCCTCCATCAATAGGAAAGTGATAAAGGGCCAAGGGAGCAGACTCTGAATCTAGAGAGACCACAGTTTGCAATCTAGCTTTGCAAGTGACCAGCTGTCACTGTGGCAGTGTGGCTGGGTACAATACTGTATCCCCCATTTCCTCACCTACCAGAGGGGATACTACTGGGAAGACGATGAAATGGCGCAGGTACCCTTCTCCGGGCCTGGAACGCAGTACTGTCATCTGGACTCTTGGAGCAGAGTCCCTCTCACAGCAATGGAGATGTTCCATCACGTGGGGTCACAGGAGAGTCTTCCCGGCAGTGCTGTGTCTCAGCGCTGCTCTGCCATAGAGTGAGCCCGATATATCACAGTGACTTCATTCAGCCTCCCAGGGACAGCAGGGTGAGGAGCTGAAGCGTCTAAGACCTCGAGTGAGGCTGGATCGCCGGTGAAAACACTGAGGAATGGAAGTTGGAACCGAAGCCACGCCAGGCAGGGTGTGACCCCACGTGATCACAGCGGCATTCTCTCTAGTGAGCCACAAGAATCCTCAACTTTACTGAATGTGGTTCCCTCTACTTAGTTTCTTCATCTGCCAAGTGACCCTCAGAGCAAAACAGGACCCCCTAAATTATTAAACCCAGCCCCACTGAAGGGCACTGGGTTGAGTTTGCCTCCAGCCCCACTGAGGCTGGCTCCAGCGGTGCGCCTTGGAGCCTTCCAGCCCAGAAGTCTGCCCTGACAATGCAGTTCCCAGCTGGGCAGGGGCTGGGATTTTCCCTTGGATGCCAGGTTCCACGATTTTGGAAATGGGCTTCATGAATTTGATTGGAGTTTAACCAGAACCAATCCAACAGCTGGGACTGGAGGGACTAAAGCTGTGCACCTCCCTCCCCAGACATCCCAGTGTTCCCAAGCGGTGTAGTTTCCTCCCCCTTGGCAGTTATGCAAATACAGGATCATAAAACTCCCAATTTGACTGGTGGTCCCTTGGGTGCCAATCAACTAAAAGGACCAATCAGGTTTAAAAAAGGGCACCCCCTGGAGAGTATTTAAGCCAGTTTCCAGTCAGCCTGAGGTGTGAGCCTCTGTGTGGAGCATGAAAGAGGACTTGAAGAGGCAGCTGGACAGGCAGGCAGATTAGTCTGGAAGACCTTCACTGAGCTGTAATGCCAGTCCCTGTTGTCTGGCACCACACATTTGTAGACCTAACCTCTGACTGCCTCCAACACTGCCTGCTGATTGACACCATCAGCCCCATGCTAGGTGTCCCTGAAAGAGCAGGCTGTTGTCGACTTCATGCCCAGCATCTGAGAGCTATTAACACTGGTGCCCATTTGCTGTGGGCAGCAACTGTGGCCCATTTGCTGTTGCTGACTGCTGTGGTGTCACCTCTGCAGAGACCGTCACAGAGAACTTCAAGACCTTTATGACCTTCAACCTTTAAGGCCTTAAACCACTGCTATTGCCTCTGCCCCTGTTTCCTCTCTCCCAGCTTCTCTCTCCTTTGTAAATAAACCCTGTTGTTGTTGAACCCTGAGCCTGAGTCCTCGCCTCCAATTGCAGTAGTAAGTGCATGGGTGAGAACCCACCAACTGTGATACTGGCTGCCCCAGACCTGGCAGGGTTACAATAGGGTGACTCTGAGGATGAGAAGTCATCAAGCATGTGAAACACCTACTCTGCCACACAGTTGATGGACTGCCCTTCTACTGGGCAGTGTTGTGCCAGCTATTGGCCAGAACTCCACTCACCTTTCCACGATCCAGGAACTCATCTCTCAGGAATCTGAACATACTAGTGGCTTCTCACTTCTAATGTTACCACTGAAAAGTTGAGCGTCTATTGTTCTTTTGTAAGTGATCTCTTTCCTTTCTACCTACTTTTCTGTTTTTCCCCTTCTGTTGTGCAGATTTTTGTTGTGTGTTTTGTTGTGCAGATTTTTCTTTACACTTCTAAAAATAACTTATTGAGCTGTGATTAATATACAATAAAACTTACCCTTGTAAGTACATTTAGATGAGTTTTGATAAATTGTATCTTTGAAACAACCATCCCTACCAAGAGTCAGAAAAATTTGAGATAACTGACAAGATACAGAAACTTTCATCACCTCCAAAAGTTCCCTTATATGTCTCTGCAGGTCATGCCTTCCTTTCCAGAAAACCACCATTCGCTAAGTTTGTGGTATTTTGTGTCTTGTTCTTTGACTTAGCAATGCTTTTTAGATTTGTTATATAATTTTTGTTATATGAATGTACTAAAATCTGTTTATCCATTCACCTTCAGATGTAACTTTATGTCTACCCTTTCACCAATATCACACTGCCTGGATTGCTGTAGTGTTACAATAAATTTTTTTTTTTAAAGATTTATTTATTGATTGATTGATACAAGCACTGGGGTGGGAGGGTGAGAGAATTCACCAGAGCCAGAGGGGGGAGCAGAGCAGGCAGAGGGACCGAAGTACACTGCTGAGGGGAGCAGCGGGCGGCAGGAGAGGTCTGCGCGCCATGCGGGACCCTCCTCCGGTGGCCGGGGAGCAGCCGGGGATCGAACCGGCGCCGCAAAGGCTGCGGGCAGCTTCGCAACCCAGCGCTCAACCGCTGCGCCATCGGGGAGGCCCAATACATTTTTAAATTAGATTGTAGAAGACCTCTAATTTTTTTCTTATCAAAATTGTTTTGGTAATTCTAGGTCCTTTATATTTCTATATAAATTTTAAAATCTGTCAATTCTAAAAAAAAAAAACTTGCTAGAGGTTTGATTGGAATTACAGACACCATAGAATAAACTTAACAATACTGAATCTTCTAACCCATGGGCATGTTATATATGTTATATATGTTCATGAATTTAAATCATCTTTAATTTCTTACCGCAATATTTTATAGTTTTTAATGAGCAGATTGTAGGGGGCAGGAAGGGGCACAGGGCAGGATTTCTAATCCAACAGACTGGGTAAAGGAGGAGAGAGTCCTTGGAGTCCTCCGTGGCTTTTCAGACTTTTATTGGGATTTACCAGGTACACGGCAGGCAGAGGTGCTGGGGGTTCTGTCATCTATCCTGATGGCGGGACGGCAGAAAAGCCTGATACTTTTTACCTTACCCTACAAGATCTTGCACATTTATTTTATATATATCCCCAAATACTTCAATTTTTGATGCTATTATAAATGATAGTTGATTTTTAAAATCATGTTCTACTACATTTATAAAGATTTAATTTCATATGTTGACCACCTTGTGATCTTACTAGATTATTTTAGCACTAGTAGGTTTTCTGTAGCAGGATTTCCTACACAGTCATTGTAGGGTAAGGAAAAAGTATCAGGCTTTTCTGCCCCCCCGCCATCAGGATAGATGATGGATCCTTGCAGTCTTGAATGCATGCCTGATGGCGGGCACCTGGAGTAGGGTGTGGGCAGATGCAGATGGGATTCACCTGGGCTAAGACTGGGCTTTAAAGGGCGGCGTCATGGGGACGCCAGTAGAAGCCGAGGAGAAGCCGAAAGAGAAGCCGAGAGAGAAGCAGAGAAGCAGAAGCAGAGATCACTGGAGAGCCCAGATAGAGTGAGGATTTGCTGGGGGCTGGAAGGACTGCCAGCCTCCTGGCCCCCCAGCACCTTTGCCTGCTGTGTACCGGGTAAATCCCAATAAAAGACCTGCAAGAACCACTTAGGACTCCGACTCCTCCTTTACTCGGTCTGCTGGATATTAGAAAACCTGCACTGTGGTTTTCCTGCCCTTTACAAGGGGGTAAGAGGATTCACCAGAGACAGAGTGGGGAGCAGAACAGGCAGAATGACTGAAACACACTGCTGAGCGGGCGAGATAGGAGAGGTCTGTTTCACCACGTGGGTTGCTCCCTGGCTGGCTGGGGATTGAACTCGTGCTGCAGAGGCTGCGGATTGCTTCACAGTGCTGTGCTTAACCCCTTGCTCCACCAGGGAGGCCCCTATCCTGCCATTTCTATATAAAATTTCTTTACTCTCCATAAGAGTCCCTTTAGTGTTTCTTGCGAGGTCAATTTAGTGGTGATAAATTCTTTTAATTTCTGTGTGCTGTAAAGCTCTTTATACTGCCTCCATTTCTGAGTGGCAGTCTAGCAGGATATTATAATCCTGATTGCAAATTCCCTTCTTTCAGGACTTTAAGTACATTATGCCAGTCCCTTCTGGTTTCCACTGAGAAAATGCAGCTAGTGCTATTGGGGTTCCCTTACATGTAACTCTAGTCTTACTATTCTTTCCTTATCATTAGTTTTTAGCAGTTTAATTATAACATGGGTCCTTGAATGGTTACTGACTTTTAACTGAGTATATGCTCCTTTGAACTTTATCTGTGGGAATTCTTTCAGGCTTGTGTTGAAAACTTATAGCTTAGAGAGGAGCTCTGCTTCCTAGGACAATTTAAACATGAATTCTCAGCTGGAGGCTTTTTATACAGTGCATGTAAAAGGTTGAAAAGCCATGTGGCAGTTTCCTTGTGCTTATAAAATCCTGTGCTTATAAATTCCTCTTTAGTTAGTGTCAAGATCAACAGACAGGTGCATTTCTTGCATGAATTTCCTCATGGTGACTGCAGAGCAAGACTCAGGCCCATGAGGTTGTAGTGGGTGCATTTCTTTTTTCCTTTACTTTTTTTTACTAAAATACCATTACATTTTAACATTACATGTTTCAGGTGTGCATCATTATAATTCAACATCTGTATATACTGTATTAAATTTACCAGGTGGATACATTTCGAGCTCATTTGTGCACTGAGGGCTACATGTAGTCCTTTGGAAACTCAGTTTCATGGTGGTCTCCTATAGATCTTCTCACACTGAACAAGCTCCAGGCTTGTCTTTTGTCTCCTTATCCTTTCTCAAGTGTCTAAATGGAAGCTCCAGGGCCCTAGGTTCAACTGTACCAGGAGCCCAGGTACTTAGTCTTTTGCTACTTTTTTAGCCTCTGAGAGTTATTTTTTGTCACCTGATTAGTGCATTTAAAATATTGTAGATGGGGCCTCCCCCGTGGCGCAGCGGTTGAGCGCTGGGTTGCGAAGCTGCCCGCGGCCTCTGCGGCACCGGTTCAATCCCCGGCTGCTCCCTGGCCACCAGAGGAGGGTCCCACATGGCGCGCAGACCTCTCCTGCCGCCCGCTGCTCCCCTCAGCAGTGTACTTCGGTCCCTCTGCCTGCTCTGCTCCCCGCTCTGGCTCTGGTGAATTCTCTCACCCTCCCGCGCTTCTGACTGTGCCCAGTGCTTGTAAAAACAAACAAACAAACAAATAAATAAATAAAACATGCCTCTATTAAAAAAAAAAATTAAAAAATAAAATAAAATAAAATAAAATATTGTAGATGGCATTTTTAGTTTTTTTTTTTTGTGGGAATATTGTTCAAGATATCTAATGATTATAAGACATGGAAATCGAACTAATTTCTCCATTATTCATATACTGTCAACTCAAGAGAAAAACAGGGCAAGATAATCATGTCCCACTAAAATAACTTACCTGAGTGACATCTCTGAACTCTGTCCCTGTAGCAGGTTTAATTTTTGGACATGGCATCTACAGTCGGCAGCAGATCCCTCACCGTAAGCCTAACGGGGAAAAATGTATTAAATTTGAAAAAACGTTGACAGAATGCTGAGAAATAGCAATGCACCTCAGAGAGGCTAAAGTTATTCTTTGCAAGTCCCAAAGGTTCTTGAAATAGTATGAAGAAATCCTAAGTACTGTCTGCTGTTTCTAGAATGATTTACCAACAGTCTCAGGAACTAACAGTTTTGGTTATCTGGCTGCCCACTAACATCCTGAACTCAAAGCCAAACTCAACCCAAAACCCCATACAAAATTGTTAGTGAATATGAATAAGAAATTCAGAAAAGAAGTAATGCAAATTGTCAATAAACATGGGAAATGATACCTGCACCTAATAGCTCAGGGCATACAAAATAAAATGAGACTTTTCTTTTTACTTCAGAGTCATTCATTTGTTCAATAAATATTTACCAAGCAACTCTTATATGCCAGGCCCTAGACTAGGTAAGGACAATATAATATGAACGTGGACAAAAAGCAATGTCACTTTGGGGTTCACATTCTAGTGAGAGGAGACCAGATAACAAACATATAATATGGCCATAGACGGTGAGAAGTGCTACTGAGGAAAGCAAGGTAAGGCAAAAGGGTAGAGTGGGTACAGAGTAAAGGTTTTATTTTTTTATTTTTATTTTTAAAGATTTATGCATACAAGAGCTGGGGTACAGGCCAGAGATGCGGGAGGAGGCGGGTGAGAGGACTCACCAGAGACAGAGTGGGGAATAGAACTGGCAGACTGACCAAAATACACTGCAGCGGGCAAGGCAGAAGAGGTCTGTGCCATGTGGGTTGCTCCCTGGCCGAGCAGGGATTGAACTTGTGCTGCAGAGGCTGCGGATTTGCTTCACAGCGCGGTGCTTAACCCCTTGCACCACCAGGGAGGCCCCCAGAGTAGGTTTTATATTGGGTGTTCAAGGTCGTCAAGGAATAGGTCACTAAGGTACAGAAAACAGGAAGACATGAGGAGGCAAAGCATACAGATACTGGGAGAGAATATTCAGCAGAAGCAATGAAAGGAAAATGAGGACAAAATGCTTTAAACCTGGCATTCTGGAGGAACAGTAAGGAGGTTGCGTGCCTGGAGCTAAAGAATCTAGGAGGACGGTGGCAGGAGACAAAGTTTGAGAGCACTGGTCCTACTATATGTAGAGTCAACCTCATGGGCCTGAGTCTTGCTCTGCAGTCACCATGAGGAAATCCGTTCTAATCTTACATTTGAACTGCTGTTGTATAAGTGACATCTGATGCGGCAGTGGAGTGTGTAGGAGTGAAGAGATACACACACCTCAGGTGCCATGACCATGGTTCTGTGCTACCCCATCTGCACAGAGCTTTCTCGAAGGCCCAGGAGCACAGACCACCAGTGGACTTCCAATCTTAGGAGTTCAGTTAGACTCTGAGTGTTGCCGCGGACCAGCACAGCAGTAGACGATGAGGCCGTCTCAGGGTTGAGAGACTGCGCAGGGTGGTCAGGGATTCGGTTAAAGAAATGACAAACAGACACACTTCAAGAGTGAAAATCTGAGTGTAATTTTATTTGAGTTGGTGACCAGTATATATATGTTTTCTAAAAGCATAGGAATGGCGAACATCAGTGAAGAAATCAGCTTGCTTATAGGTTTAGCTTATCATTGCCAGGGCAGTGATTTACATCTGGACCCAGGCACATTCCTAAGTAGTTAGGCTATTAATTTTTCTTTTTGTTTTATATGATTACTTTTTGTTTTAACTACTCACTATTACTATTAATTAACACGGGTGAATTTTACTTTTCACAATGTAATATTTTTATCATTTAGATTAATACAAACAAGGCTAAGTATACAACGGAGAAATTATTAAGCTAGCAGTTCAATTAATACACAGAGTTTAGTAACGTTTCATTTGAATCAGCCTAGTTATTAGATTTCGTATGTTCTTTTTTAATCGGCAAACCAATGACCTTTTAAACAGAGAAAGAGAAAAGATTTTAGAGAGACAGTTGTATTAGAATAAAGTTTGTGGGTCTAGAGAAGGTGAGATAAGTTTCCGAGCGGACAGCATTCCTGTAGTGGCTTCTGGTGGTCGTTATCTTTCAACAGGCTTCCGTCTTATCTATGTCTTCAGGCGGTTTTTTGCTGTTCTCCTCCTGCGCGCTGGTTGCCCAGCCGGACCTAGGGATTCCTAGAGGTCACTGCAGGAGGAGGTGCAGCAAGTATATCTTCAGGGGGTTTTGCTGTTCTCCGCCTGCGCGCTGGTTGCCCAGCCGGACCTAGGGACCGTGGCGCAAGCCATTAGCCCTAAGGGTCACTGCAGGGGGAGGTGCAGCAGAGTGTAGACAGCAAGTGTGTGCAATCTACACCTAAGTGTGTGGGGGCACAGAGAGTCTGAGGCCAGACTTCCCACTAGAACTAGAACTTGCTTGAGATGCAGGACAAAGACAGGGTGTTCTAAAAAAACATGAACATATATACTAAATGCTTTCATTCCATATTTTTCCATGTACTAAATGCTTGCTGTATTTAAACTGGTGTTACACATATAAGGATAAACTGTAAAATTCATGCCAATAATTTAAAATGTTATTTTTGTTACTTAGTAAGACATTAAATAATAAGAGACGTCATGAAAAGACAGAGATCATGAAAGGAATGAATATTTTAGTGCCTTTAACAGTACTTTTCCCTGCTTTTGAATATTTTCACTTGCCCTGAGCCCCCAAACCTAACCCTGTCTGTAAGAGCATGGGTTTGCTCTCACCTGGAGGCGTGGGCAGGGAGTGACATAAGCCAGCACGTATTAGCAGTACCTGGGGCTGTGATGCTGAGAGCAGACTGTACGGCAGAGACAGATGGGCCAGCCTAGAGGCTAAGGCAAGAAGGAAGGCTGCCCAGACCACCACGCAACAGTGGTCAGTCTGGGTATAACAGTGAAGCTGACAAAAAATTTGCTGATGGGATGGAGGAAGAGTGTAAAAGAAAACGAGGAGGCAGGGATGACTTCAAGGTTTATACTCAAGCAAAGATAAAGGGACTTGAGACAGAGACAACCATGGGCGAGTAGGGGGGTGAAGGGAGGGCTGCTGTTTTGGACACAGGAGGTTTGGGAAAGCTGAGTGCTGAGAGAGCACATGAGTTCAAAGACAAGCCCAGGGTCTGAGAAAGACATTCCAGATGTCAGATGATATCATCTCAGCTCACTAAGGGAATGGTGTGCTAGAAAAGAGGTGAAAAAATGTTCCAGAGCACTGTGATGTTCGGAAGTTGAGGTGACAGGACAAAACTAACAGAGAAATGAAATACATCCAAGGGGATGGAAGTAAAACCGGGGTCAGGATGACTAGAAGTCCACATGAGACAATGTTTCAAGGAGGAGGAAGTGACAAACTCTGACAGATGTGGCCAAACTCAAGTCACTAGAGGACTGAGAATTACTCATTGATTGTAGCAATGTGGAGATGATTACTGACCTTGAAACAAGCAATTTTAGTGGATTCAAGGGCTGTGAAATCACATTTTGAAGGAAAGGAAGTGGAGAGGAATGGCAAAGTTTAAAAAGCGAGATAAGCTAGTGGCATCATGGGAGGGTGTGTGCTCACCTGTATGCAGAGACCACTGGCTAAATTAAGACACATGCTTTTCTCTTATTTGGGCACAGACTAGACTGTATTTCCTTGCAGATAGGTGTGGCCATGAGATTAAGTTTTTTCCAGTGGAAAATGGGGTACTTCCAGACCTGGCTACTCTTAAAAGTCTCCTAAAAGTCTCCTGGCTACTTTTCTGTGCTCCTGCCTCTTTCAGTAGCTGTGGGTAAGTAAGAGACAAGCCTTAGGGAATAACAGAACCTCAAGATGATGGGAGCCTCTGACTCCAAATGATCACACTAAAGACAGTGACCCTGCAGACCTCAATCCATCCCAGAACTGTTAAAAGAGCAAGAGAAACAACTGATAGGTCAAGCTGCCACAATTATGGTGTCTGTTTGTTACGGTAGCCTAGGTAACCACAAGTCACACACCACTGCACTGCACATGCATGGGGGTGCTGACAGGAAGGCAAAGCTCCTCAAGGAGAATTCAGAAACACATACCAACATGTAGAATAGGTAGCAACACTATGGAAAGTGTTTGTCTCGCTCATGAGCCTTCCTCACAATGACCCAATCTCAGGGTGGGCCTCAGTAGAGGCCCTGATCACCTGACCACCCCCACCCCCAGCCACCCTTATTGACTGGACCAGAGGTGGACAATAGCCAACTGGGCCAATCATCAGATCGCTTTACCCAGGCCTTTATGATTGGAACTCAGCTATTCCAGTTGGTTGGAAATGAGATTCTATGGTCTGGGAGGAGAGTGTGTTAGTATGGACTATCTGGGAAAAGGGAGGAAGGGAAGGGGAAGTCAGGGAGAGTGAGGAAGCTGTAGGGAGAAGCTGGGTGAGGGAAAAAAGGGAGGAAGAGATGCCTGCACTGTTGGCAGCTTTTCAGGGTCAGTTCTTCAAGAGGGCAGGTATGAATTGGATTCCTCAAGATAATTATTACATTGCCAGTACAATTTTTAATTTTGCTGAAGTCATTCTAAAGTGTGTTATTTTTCTGTGATTTGCAGGTAAAAGAACCTTAATCAAAATATATTCTCTAAAAAAGAAATTTAACTTCTAGGGCTATATCCTTAGGAAATAACTGGTCAAGTGAAGAAAAAAGTATTTATAAGAGTTGTTCTTGATGATTAAAATTAGAATCCACCCAAATGCCCATTAGTGTGAAATTGGTCATTTATTCATTCAATTTACTGAGCACTATGTGCCAGGCACTAAAGCTAAGTGCTGAGGGCAGTGTAACAGTTAAATAAGACAGGCAAAGCCTCTCATGGAACTTATAGCCTAGGGTGGACAATATGCTAGGGTGGACATACTGGGGCATACTGTCCTATCTGGATGATGAGAAGAGTGAGGGGTAGCCCCGATAATGGGCATAAAGACCTTAAGATCTGGATTATTTCAAGATCAGAAAGAAAGGTCCCTATAGTTGAAGGAGGAAAATGATGGGATGAGACTGGAGAGGTAGCATAAAGGGCCAGAGCAGGTGAGGGGCTTAATGAGGCAAAGAAAACAGGACAGTTTGTGGTATTAAAAGGATCAATGAGTAAAAGACCAGGCTAAGTAAGAGTACTCATAGCCCTGCATCCACCAAGAGCTGTCTGTCAACCTCCAGTGGGGTCTGATTCCTTGGTTATCTTCTTATAAGTTCCTGTACTTTCCTTTCATTGTGCTCAGTCCAATTTTACATTATGTGTGTGTTCTGTTTAATTCAGTATTACAGATTTTGGCTAAACCTATAAGATGAAAACAGGAAATAAAGGGAATCTGAGTCATAACAGAATAAGTGAAACTATCACCTATTTGTAGATGATATTCTTTTTTCTTTTTTTAAAGATTTATTTATTTATGCATATAAGAGCTGGGGTACAGGCCAGAGATGTGGGGGTGGGGGTGGGTGAGAGGATTCACCAGAGACACAGTGGGGAACAGAACAGGCAGACTGACTGAAATACACTGCTGAGGGGAGCAGCAGGCAAGTCAGGAGAGGTCTGCTGTGCCATGTGGGTAGCTCCCTGGCCAGTCAGGCCATTTTTCCGGACTCACCCGCAAAAATGACTGCTTCTCTCCACAAGCTTTGCATGTCCATTTCAGACTCTTTTTCACCTATAATGAAATTTCAGAAATATGGCTTAATTATTTAAAACAGGGAGAAATGGATCAGAAATTATTTTAAAAGATCAGTGCAAAAGAATAGAGTTTGGAAGCAAACCAACACATATGTATGAAAATTTAGTGCCATTTTAAAAACTGAAGCTTAACTGTCAATTAATTTTAGGTATACTATATGATGACTCAATATTTGTATGTATGAAGAAGGATGGTATTTTAAGAGTGAGGAAAGAATAGATACTTAGTGGTGCCTGGAAAAATGACTATCCATATAAAACAAAATCAGGTTTGAGTTCTACCTCACATCCTCAAAAATAAGTCCATAACAATTTCAATTTCTGATAAATCTGCCTAAATGGGCTCTCTCTTATTGTGATAATATACCCTATACCTAGCTGGTGCTGAAGGTGGAGAATCACTACTAGCATTCCCATGAAAAGCAAGACCAAGCCAAGGATCTCCACGGCTACCACTTTTTTCTGAACATACTAACTAGTGGAATTGGAAAAGGTATAAAGAGGTATGAAAACTGGAAAGGACAAAAAAGTAGTATTTATAGATTATGATTTTTTTAACCTGAGAACTTGAGAATCAACTGAAGAACTTACTAAAAGCAGTAAGATAACCTAATACAGTGGGTACAAAATATATCTTCGAAGTTATACAGATTTTATATAAGCAAATATCTATTTAGGAAGGTAATGGAAGAGTTCATTTATAATCTGGAAAATCTTAACAATGGGCACCATAGGTTCTTGAAGAATGGAGTGAAATAGCATACTTAACATCACAAATGTGTCTAGATTGATTAATAAAAATTAATATTATAATAACGGTCCACTAAGGTTATAAGGAAAGTACCCAAAAGGATTCTTAAGAGGATAAGCAGATGGGTATATCCCATGATTTAGCAGTTTCACTTCTCGGTATCTATCTTCAAATACCATGAAAATACTGTGTGTTTTCTGCAGGGACATAGGCACCTAAGACATGCACTGGAAAAAAAAAAGGTCTGGAAGGACACACAATAACTGGTAACTGGCCGCTTTTGGAGACTTGAAAGATAGTATGAGTAACAGTGTCTTTGCAATGGGACAGTCCTGTCTCTGCAGCTTAGAAGATGGAGAGATCACTTGATTTCTCTGGATTCCAGTAGTCTCATCCTTGCAAAATGAGAATATCTAGTTCAGAAGTTATTGAAATTGAATGTGTGAAATTGCCTGATTGCTTGCAATTAATGGTTAACTCTAGCTCCTTCGGCTTCAAATTACTTCGTAGAGTTGAAAATGACAAGGGCATGAACTATATTATCCATGTGTAACAGTTTAAAACCGGCAATGATTCCCATTTATTCTCTACTCCTAGAACAGAGTCCAAAAAATGTGGTAAATAAAAAGTTTCTGCGCCCCTAAAATTGCCCCTACAAACTCTCAGCAGGCCGCGTATACACAGCCTTTTACGGATTTTCAAACAGATATCTTAAAGATATTTGATGCTATCCTTTTCCTGGCACAAGAGAATAGCAGACAAAGATGAGGACACTATCAGAAGTCCACAGCTGTGTTAGGTGACATTAAGCAGGGAGATGGAATTGTTAGGGGGAAAAGGATGTCCCAAAGCTAATTCCATATAGGCTTTGTGGACTCCACCCCCACCCTAGGTCAAAGCCAAAGATACTGGGAACTCCAAATCCCATCACCACCAAAGGGAAGGTGGCTGGGACCTGAGGGTGGGGTTAAGCAGCCAGGTGGATATAAAAGGCAGACAGGTGGGCTTTGGAGGATCCCCCATTTTTGGCTCTCCGCCAGCTCGCAGTCCGGCCAGCTCTGAGAGTGACTTTGGGTTTCCAGGTCGTCGGATCGGGTAGGACGCATTAAAGACTTTATTTCCCTATTTTCTCCCTGAGTTGTACATTTTCCTTATTTCCTTTTCTCTTGTAAATAAACCTTTTATTAACCTTTTGTGTGTGTCTGTAGTAGAGTATTCATAAGTCCCTTTAAAGCGCGCGGGTGAGGACCCACAGCCAGGAACCCGTTTAATATCGGGGCTGCTCTATAACAGAATGAGATCTAGAAGAGAATAGGTTAAGTGTCATCCCCCGTGTTTTGCTTTGAAAGCTAGGTTAGCAATGTTCCAGAAACACCAAGTATTCTGTTCACGCTTCTGGGGAGAGTGGGTGGAGTCCGTCACCAAGCGGATAGAACCATGGAGTGGTATCAGGCAGCGCCGTGTTGCGTTTTTGTTTGTTTGTTTATTTATACATACACACATACATACATACATACAAGAACCGGGGTACAGGCCAGATGCGCGGGAGGATGAAAGAATTCACCAGAGCCAGAGCGGGGAACAGAACAGGCAGACCGACGAAATACACTGCTGAGGGGAGCAGCGGGCACAGCAGGAGAGGTCTGCGCGCCATGTGGGTTGCTCCCTGACCGGCCGGGGATCGAACTCGTGCTGCAGAGGCTGCGGATAGCTTTAAGGTGCGGTGCTTACCCCCTTGCGCCGGCAGGGAGGCCCGCGTCTTAGTTTTAAAAGCTGTCTTCTCCCGTGCATCTCAACTGAGAAATTGCTGCTCTGGGCGCTCGCCTCGCGAACGAGAGGCTGTCTCAGCCCGGTTCCCCAACTGCAAGCCAGAACTTACGCGGTCGCCTTCGCGGATGCCATGACCGGATTTCTACGACCCCAGCAGCGATCAGGCCAAAACGACGCTGTCTATACCGAGATCAACAGCACCCGCCTCTAAGCACAGATACCGCCTCGCGTCCGCTCAAACGCGGGGGGCGGGGCCCACCCCTGGGGGCGCACCCCGCGAGACCAGGTCCCCTCACACCCCTGCCCCGCGCCCGCCGCGCCCCGCCCCGGCGCCGGGCGGAGAGGAGGGGAGGCCGGCGCTCGCCCGACCTGGTGCACTTGGAAGAGGCGGCAGTAGCAGCACCGCAGCACCCGAGCCTGCTGAGGAGGCGCCATCGCGGCCTCCGCCGTCACGGAGCGTGCGCGTGACCCCGCGCTCGGAGCCGCCCGCGCGCCCCCAGCCTCCCCCTGGCCGGAAGCGCCCGAGTGCGCGTGCGCGCGCGCCCTGGCCCCGCCCCGCCCCGCCCCGCCCCGCCCCGTGGCCGCTCTGGCCGCGGGAGCCGCCGCGGCTGTCGGGGCGGAGGCAGCCGAGGCGCCGCCCTGGCCCTCTCTGCGCTGTGGCGTTGGTTGGGGTTGGTTTGCGTCAGCCGAGTCAGTGACGCTCGCCTGTTCCCTTCCTCTAAGCCAGGTTTCTCTTGGGCATGGGGGGGAGAGGGAAGCTGCGAAGCCCGCTTCCACACGCCGCGCAGGTCCGCGCCGTTCCCTCTGCTGCTCGCCGCGGGAGGAGGCGGCTCCGCCAGGGCCCCTCCTCGACACCCCTGGCTGGAAGGCAGCGCGGCGGGGCCCAGGGGTCAGCTGACCTTTGCTCCCGAGCGTCGGGGAAAACAGGCCTGGAGTTGAAAGCAGAAAAGGAAAACCAGGCCTCTGGCAGCACCCTAGAAAAAACCCCACTACGACCCCTCTTTGGAAGATGGAAGAGCAAGTCCCTCTCTCCGCGGACAAGTATCGCAACTCTCTGCCCCATCCGCGCGGGACCAAAACTCCAGGCCGCCATGCCAGTGCCTGAGAGCATAAGCATCTTTTTAAAAGAAAATTCCAGGGCCTTCCTGGTGGCCAAGGGGTGAAGACACAACCTATGAAGCTATCCGCAGCCTCTGCAGCACGAGTTCGATCCCCAGCCGGCCAGGGAGCAACCCACATGGCGCAGCAGACCTCTCCTGACTTCTGCTGCTCCCCTCAGCAGTGTTTTTCAGTCCGCCTGCCTGTTCTGCTCCCCACTCTGTCTCTGGTGAATCCTCTCACCTCCCACACCTCTGGCATGTACCCCAGTTCTTGTATGCATAAATAAATAAATCTTTAAAAAAATAGACTAATAGGAAGCATCCAGATTTATTATTCATGCACTAGTATTTGTGAAGTCTAACATGGAAAATGGGAATGAATTTCCTGACTTGCTTGCATGGAACATCATGCACCTCTGTTGCAAAGACTTTGAAGTGAAGGGCCGCCCTGGTGGCGCAGGGGTTAAGACGCAACCTATGAAGCAATCGGCAGTCACTGCAGCCAGCAAGGGAGAAACCCGCATGGCAGGACAGACCTCTTCTGTCTCGGTGCCCGCTGCTCCCCTCAGCAGTGTACTTCGGTCCGTCTGCCTGTTCTGCTCCCCACTCTGTCTCTGGTGAATCCTCTCACCCCCGCATCTCTGGCCTGTACCCCAATTCTTGTATAAAAATAAATCTTTAAAAAAAAAAGTTTGAAGTGAAAATGCAGACGTGTATTTTGGGGAGGCAAAGTCACAGAAAATCCTTATTTTCAAAGATGTAAAACGGGGCATTATTTATTTTGAGGTGCGAGGGGTTAAGGTTTTGATGATTTAGAATTTGTTATATTTTACTTTTAAAATTTTGTACAAGTATATGTTAGAAAAAAGCATTCATTTTAAAAGTTGGGTTCAAGAGATCGAATATAGTCATGCCCCAGGTGACATTTTGGTCAAGACGGACAGCATGTCCAAAGGTGGCCACATTGTCTAGTGTAGGGTTTTATGCTGGCAACAATCTCAAATACATCTTGTGTTTACCAGGTGTTTCAATAGCATTGCTTCATCTCTTGTTTGTTCATCATTGTTCCTACATGAACAAAATCCACTGTCAATGTGGGCACTAAGAGACCACTCCAAATGATTGACCTGGAAACGAAATTAAAAGTGATTAAGGACTATGAAAGTGGAAAATCAGTGCTGGTTATTGCTCACCAGTCAGGCATGTCCCATTCCACCATTGCTATGATCTTGAACAAGAATAAAGTGATGCAGGTTGTTATGGGATCTGCTTCATTGAAATTCAAGAAGGGCCTATTTAAGGTATGGAGAAACTTCTAATGACCTGGATTGAAGACTAGACACAGAAGCGTATCCCTCTCAGCACCATGACAGTCACAACCAAAGTTAAAAGTTTGGGCCTCCCTGGTGGTGCAAGGGGTTAAGGATGCAGCACTATGAAGTAATGATTTATAAGTATGTACATGTCAAAACTCATCAGAGTATATACTTTATATAATTAGCTATTCACAAAAAGGATAATATTTAAAAACAGGGCCTCCCTAGTGGCACAAGGGATTAAGACACAACCTATGAAGCTGTCTGCAGCCTCTGCAGCACGAGTTCGTTCCTCCGGCCAGCCAAGGAGCTACCCACATGGTGCAGCAGACCTCTCCTGACTCGCTCCGCTGCTCCCCTCAGCATCCCTTCAGCAGTCTATTTCAGTCCATCTGCCTGTTCTGTTCCCCCCACTCTGTCTCTGGTGAATCCTCACTCCCCACACCTCTGGCCTGTACCCCAGTTCTTGTATGCATAAATAAATACATCTTTAAAAAAAAAGCTAAGAGTATGTAATGTTGAAAGAAAAGGCTGGACCCGACTACGATGTTGAATTTACTGCTAGCTTTGGGTGGTTTAAGCGATTCAAGAACCGTTATTCCTTACATAAAGTGAAAGGGAGTACTCACGTGAGGCTGCAAGTGCTGATGTAAAGGCAGCTGAAAAATTTTTAGAAACTCTAGATAAGCTGAATGTGGAGGAAAATTACTTGCCAGAGTAAATCTTTAATATGGATGAACCCTATTTATTCTGGAAATGGATGCCAGAAAAGAATTTCCTCCATAAAGAGGCCATGACACCACCAGGATTTTAAGGACAGGGTTAACAGTCTTGCTTGGGGGCAATGTTGCAGGTTACAAATTAAAGCCCTTCGTGATCTCACAGGAGAACCCCAAGGCCTTCAAGCATATTAGTGAGCACACACTGCCCGTGTACTACAGGAGCAATGAGAAGTCATGGATGACCCAGCTCCTCTTCCAAGATGCCCTCCTGAATTGCTATGCCAGTGAAATGGAGTAGTACTGTTTGGAGAATAATACATCTTTTACAATTTTGCTTATTGTTGATAATGCTCCCGGACATCCACCTTTTATTGGTGATCTTCATCCCAATATCCAAGTGATATTTGGCCCCCAAATACAACCTCTTTGATCCAACCAATGGGTCAGGCAGTTATAGCAACATTTAAGGCCTTCTACCTGAGGAGGACCTTTGCCCAGGCTATTGCTATAACCGAGGAAGGTACTGAGAAAACACTGATGCAATTCTGGAAGGATTACAACATCTGTGATTGCATTAAGAACCTTGCCTAGACTTGGGGAGATGTCACCAAGGAGTGTATGAATGGTATCTGGAAGAAGACACTCAAGAGGTTTGTCCATGAATTCAAAGGATTTGCCAAGGATGAGCTTGTGAAAATCAACAAAACTGTGGTTGAAGATGGCCAGTAACTTTAACCTGACTGTGGGCAAGGATGATACTGAGGAGCTCCTAGATGCAATTCCCGATGAATTGACTAATATGAGGAGTTACTGGAACTAGAACAGGAATGCATAGCTGAAGAAGAGGCAAGAAAAAGGAAACTGCAGGAGCTGCACAAGAACCCCAACGAAAATTCACAGTGAGAGGTTTAGCAGAAGCTTTTGCAGACCTCAACAAGCCCCTTAAAAAGTTCGAAAGTATAGACCCCCACAGAAGGTTTTCATTAATAGAGAGGAATGTTCATGGTGCTTTATCTGCTTATAAGCAAATCTGTGATGAGAAAAAGAAATAAACCAAGCAAAATACTGTGAACCTACTTCTGAAAAGAGCAACACCTCTTCAAGAAGAGCTTCAGGCAGGCCCTTCAGCATTCATTCCAGAAGGCAATGTCATCCTAGGAGATGATGGTTCTATGCAACGCCTATGTCCCTGAGGAGCCTTCCAGGGAGGGAAGACAGTGCTCGCAATGGCCTTGACCCGTGCAGTCATGCTAGAGTACGTGCTTGTGTCTTAGTTTTTAACAAAAGGTTTAAAAAGAAATTAAAAATAGGAAAATTGAAAGCAGTAAGGCTATAAAGTATTTTTGTACAGCTGTGCAGTGTTTGTTTTTAACAAAGTGTTGTAAGTCAAAAAGTGTTTAAAAATTAAGTTTTTGAAGTAAAAAAGCTACAGTTGGCTGAAGAGTATTATTGAAGAAACATACTTTTAAAATAAATTTAGTAGCCTAAGTGCAATAGTGTTTCTAAAGTCTACAGTAGTGCAGTCATGTCCCAGCTTTCACAGTTACTCACCACTCACTGACTCACCCACAGCAACCCCCAGTCTTTCCAGCTCCACTCTCTGTAAGTGCCCTAAACGGGTGTACCACTTTTTATGCTTTATACCACATTTGCACTGTACCTCCTGTATGCGTAGAGAGGTTTAGATACACAAATACTACCGTGTTTCAGTTGCCTGCAGTATTCAGTACAGCAACATGTGGGAGAGGTTTGCAGCCTAGGAAGGAAAGGCTGCACTATACAGCAGAGGCGTGCAGCTGGCCATGCTTTCTAGGCTTGTGTAATCACATTCGGTGACATTTGCCCCATGAAACTACCCAACCGACAGGCCCTTGTTGTTGAGTGACATGTGACTGTACAGATAGGCAGTCACCAGACGGTATGTCATCATCTCATCAGCAACCAGCCTCTCAAGCTAAGCCATCTCTGTGGCAGTGAGGGCTTTGGTCAGATGACTGCCAGTTGCTCTATTTTGTGCCTCCCCTCATCATCTTAGGCCAACCAGAGAAAGAAAATAGTCTCTTCTAATTTGGGTGATCTTTATTTCCACACACTTGAGTTACTGTGGCTGAGAGTATAGGGCGTCTGCAGAGGATGTTTATGCTTAATGAGAAAGAATGAAATTTTCATGTTATGGTGTGAGTTCTACTTTGAAAAAAGATAAACACAGAAAAAAAGAAGACATCACAATACTGAGTAGTGGTCTTAAGTACAAGGAAAAATTGTTTTCTGACTTTTCGATCATTTCTTCCTTTCTGCAATAAACATATGTAATCCTTTAAAAATTCATGTGCACATTTTTCTTGTAAATTATTAGAATGACTTGATGAATACTTTGGGACAACGTAGCAATTGGTAGGCAGTTTTAAAATACAGTTATGTTTACTTACATAACAAATATATTTAAAATGTTATCCATGTATTGTTTAATTTTACTGTTCTTGCTGTCAGACATTTTAGTATTATGCCAGGTTGAATGAAAAAGATGAAAATACTACATTTTTTTAATCACATGAAAGGGCTAGATTCCTTTTATACTCATCTATTTAATTTCTTTCGTAAATTCTCAAATTTATACTTATATATGGTATATAAAACTTGTATCAAATTCTAAGTTATTTAAACTTCCTAATTAATCACAATCAATTTAAGACTTTAAACTGCCAAAGGAGTGGGATTCTTAGGTATAGCTTTATTTAATTTCAATGTGGCCAAGAACATAGTCTTTCTGGTAAGAATCCTTGGAAATTACTTTATGGCAAAACATGTGTTCAGTTTGTATAAATACTAGGAAAGAGATTATGTTGATTAATGACTTTGTTGTTGCTAAGAAAGTACTTCAGTTTCCCTGCTGTTGTTTTGATGCATTCTTTGAGATGGTGACCCAACTGTTGTGAATAACATAAAACCATAGAGGTTGTTATCTTAAAAATCAGCCATAAAATCTATACAGGCAGAAGGCAGTCTACAGGTTGCCTGGGCTGGGGGTGGAAATAAGGATTGAGCACCTGTAGGCAGGAGGGGTCTTGCTGGGGCAACAGAAATACTCTAAAATTCAACTGCAGTGATGGTTGCGCAACTGTCAATTTACTAGAAATAGTACTAGAACTTAAAACAAGAAAATTTTATGGCATGCAAATTATGCCTTAATAAAGACCTTACATTAAAAACAAATAGATTTGTCTTTTAGTTAAAAGGCAGGAGCAGCCCTGTGTGGGGAGCAGACACTGGATACCAACTAGTGACTCCTGCTGCAAGGCCACTGCCTATGGCCCTACAGTCTGCCCCCTGATCTCCCATGCTGGCTGTGGCCCAGGCCCGAGCACACACTTGCTGTGCCCAGAACCACGCCGCTTAGACCTATGGAGCAGGCTGGGGCTTCCCCTGCCAGCACAGGTCAGCACAGGCCCTGCCTGCCTGCATCAGCACTTCCCTTGTGACTGTCCTCCCTGGTGGCCTTGAACACCCCCCACGAGGGACTGAGAGTCTGGAACCTCAAGCACACAACCTGGGCCCTATACCTGACTGGGGAGAAGCCACGGGCCTCAGGCTATGGAAGGTCACATTAAGGTTGTACACAGTAGCTTTAGTTCCTTCAGGGATTTATTAAGGCATTGAGCACAGTGTCATTTTTAGCCAACTGAACTGAATACAAGGAAATCTATCAGGACCTGAGGGATTTACCTTTAAGGTTAATGGTGAGGAGGAGAAGCTGAAAGAAGATTTTGAGTAATACCTGCATGGCTCCCGCCTGTGTCCCTTAGCTGGGAGCGCCAGCCTAGGAGTTCCTGGAGATACCTTAAAGGTCCCAACACCGGTGCCCAACAGGCTCGTAACCCTCCCACCTGGTGCCAGTGGCAGAAGGGGCTCCCCGGAGCACTACCTGGCTCCTCCACACTGGTGGGTGGAGAACAGGGTTTGGCTTGGCCACACGTGAGGCACAGAGGCAGTGGGCAAGCAGGGGGCAGAGCCAAGAGAGCCTTGGACACCATGCAAGGGCCGGTACATGAAGGACGAGGGAGACTCTGCCTGGGCCCTACCTGCAACTGCTCAAACTTTCTTCCACTTAACAGCTCATTGTTTCTGGGGACACTGGGAGAAAAGAGACAGGAAGGAAGGGTGGGAGCGAGGAGAGAGAAGCGAGTCCCCATTCAGTGGAGGCATCAGCCTGAAAGCCCTGACTGCTCGTGGTCACTGGAGGCGCTGAACTGCCTCTCCACCTTCTTTTGGTCCTTGATCTTGAGTCCAATGTCCACCTTCTTCTCAAAGAAGTTCACCAGCACGGACTCCGTTAGGATGGAGGCCAGGATCTGCTCAAAGGAGATGCACCAGTCTGTGTCCACGGTGCCCCCACAGCGAGCAGTGGCCTCAGGACTGCGAGCCTCCCCACCCACCAGCACTGTGTCATCTGCCAGGTCCTCGCACTGCAGAGAGCCTGTGCTGACCACCGAGTAGGAGGACATGGACATGTCATCTTTGGTTTCGTCGTCAGACAGAAGCTGGGAGGGGGATCCCTGCCCCTCGCCGCTGCCCCCTTCACCCACCACCTGGCTTTCCTGTGGTGTCTTCCCAAGGTAGGTATCACCCCCAGCTTTGGCCTGGGGATCCCCTGCGGCTGATGGCTGAAGCTCCAGGGCTGGGTCATAAGCGGGGTTGGGGGTTGGCGCTTCATCCTCCTCAGGGGCACCATTCCTGGGCTTCCTGCCTGGCCGTACCGAAAACCTCTTCCCCACCTCGCCGATGCGGAGCAACAGGCTGGCCACCGTGGCAATGGCGTGGTACAGCTCCTGCTCCATGGGGTCTTCACTGAACATGTTGTACAGTGTCTTGCACAGCTCAATGAACTGCTCCTGGGGGTTAAGTCAGACAAAAGGCAGAGCAATGGTGAACGGCGGGTCAGCTTGCCCTGGGGTCAGCTGGGTGTTCTAAGTGGGGGGTGGCGGGGAGGGTTTGTTAGTTGTCTCCACACACCTCTATCTTGCCCTGTCCATTTCACAGACTGGGACACAGGCTCAGCGAGGGAAACTGGACTGGCACAGCCTTCAAAAGACTATGTTTCAGCACAGAAACTATCTGGAGTTTCTCCTTGCCTCCATGTCCAATCTTTAGCAGAGATGAGCTCATTTCAATCATTACTTTCCAAATCCAGTGACCACAAGGACTTCTTCACTGCTTTGTAAACACCCCAGACTTTCTATCTTTAATAAGAGGTGACTTCAACTCTGTCCCTTATGAGACTCTTCAGAAGATGGTGACAGAGAAGCACAGCCTGGTCAGCCGAAGGGGTATGGAGGTCAGGTTCCAGGCTCTGAAGCCATACTTTCAGACCTCTTGGTCTGAGAGCTGGATACAGCCTCACTCCATGGGGCACCCCAAGCATAGGCATGTGGGTGAGAAAGCACCCAGACTGCAGGCTGCCCTCTGGGCAGAGCAGGGCCTTGCTTAGGCTGCAGTTGGAGAGCTGCCTCTGGTTATACACCTGCGCTCTGAATATAGGGCCTTGGTTTTGAGGTCCTGAGCAGGACACCAAGTTCCCCATCCAGAGACCAGCAAATGAAGAGTCAGCCATGAGGACAGGTGGGTCTGTATGTGCCCAGTGCCTGTGCTGGGTCTGGAGGTGGAGCAGGAAGGGGTCTTGTGAAAGGTGGTACATGTCTCTGCCCGAGGGAGTCTAACTTTCCCCTGTGCTTTCTGGTTCACAGATACTGATTAAATGAAAGCAAACCATCTCCATGAAACAGTGCCCTAGACAAGGCCCTAAAGCAACTGGCTGGCTGTCTTTCTGGAATCATCTATGACAGCCTTCTGACCAGCGGCTCCAGAGGTTGGCACAATTTTCACCCTCCATGGTTGCTGGGCATGCAGGTGGTGAAGTGCCCAGCGGGAGGGCCCTGTCTTGGTCAGAATTCTCCAGAAATATCTGTTGTAGACTATAATTGGGCTTACCTGGTTCATCTTGGGAAGATCCTTGATTGTCTCCTTCTGAACCTCTTTCTCCTTGGCCCACATTCGAAGGTAGTGTCGATAGTCAGGGGGGCTGGTCCCCTTTTCCTCTATGAGTTGGGAGAAAAAGATTAATCTCCATCTGCCGAATGAGAGAAAGAGGGCTGGGGGCTGGCAGCAGGAGTGAGTGGATGTGGGTGTTGTCTGGGGTGGAGCTACGGAGGTCCTCTTACAAGACACCCACTATTTGGGGAGGTGGTGATGGAAAGAATGCCCATGGCTCTCCCACGCTGTGCTGATGTAGGTGTGACCTATGCTGACGAAGATGGCCCCGACCTGTATTCCCTGAGACACTGGAACCACATGGAAGCTGGAGAGGATGGCATGAGGAGGAAAGGCTGGCTGGACCACTGAGAGGGGCCCTGGCAGAAAGCAGGTCCCATGAGGGAGGTGGTGAGTGCCAGGGGTGTTCACAGCTACAAGAGACTAAGGCCTGGGGCTGTCGAGAGCTCGACTCCCTTCACAGTAACACCTTTCCCACAGGGACAGCCACAGAGTCAGACACGATGGGCGCACAGACCCCACTGGTCCTGGGGTCCCTACTAACGCAGAGCAATGACAACATCTACCTTCTCTTTTGTCTCGGACGTCCTCGTTGCCAGCTCCACCTTGTTCTTCCTGCCGTAGTGCTTCTGGACCACCGGAAAAGTAAAAGAACATTCTTCTGTTAGGACTGCACACTGCTGAGGTCCCTGGCCGGCCAGGCTCACCTGCCAGCAGGCCAGCCCCACTCATCTCTCCCTGCTCCCATTAAACCAGAGAGCCATGAAACCCTCGTGTGCTCTCTTTTCAAAGGAACACAAGTCTTAACATCTAGGAGTTTTTCAGAATCATCATGCATGTTATGGCGAAAAGGTGAGAATTAATGATTTCTGTAGTTTCTGCTGAAAAAGGTCAAACTTGGGAGTGCTAACTTACCAAGTCAACCTGCAATTACCACACTAGCTAATGGGGGAATTTTATGTATTTGGTGAAGTGACATGTTTGCTAGAGCTGGCACATGCTGTGCAACCTACAGTGACCATGAACTTGGGGAAAGCAGGCCACTCAACTCTCCCAAAACTGCTCCCAGAGGCAGTGTGGGTGTCCTCAGGCTGGACAGCAGCATCCCAGCTCTGAATGGCCTCACTGATGGGGTAGGCTGGGGAGGGGCACCTCTCTGGGCTCAGGCATCTTACCTTGGGATAGAGACCCACCATGAAAATGGGGCCTTTCTCTAGCTCAAGCCTAAAGCACTGTTGATCTGCCCAGGTTCCGAGTACAGATGGTACATGAGATTATTTAGTTGGCATATTTGAAATCATAGTCCTTAAGCTTCATAGTCAAGTTCAACTGAGCCTTTGACAATGTCAACAGGACTGCCCTGGGTATCTTGATACACAGTTTCAAATTTCCCTTCTGGGTCTATATTATCCCTGGTGAGTATCATTTGTCCCCTAGAAATTACAGTGTGGAGTTCTGGTCTGTTTTGTGAGTAAGCTACACACTAAGGGCTGGCTCACCAAATCCCAGGCCAAGAATGGCCTATCACCCTGAAGCCAACACTTGAATGGGCATGACTTCCAGTAGGCACTCAACATGCATATTTTTCCTTAATGAAAAAGTTCTGTGTAGGGGAAGGAACACCACCATCCTGTGGAGAACATGGAAACATCTTCTAAGGAAAGCATCTGCTACTCTGTTCCACCTCCCTCTGTGGATTCCACACGTTTCACACTGCTGCAATGTTAGCATTTGTATTTTTTCCTATAAATGTGCAGGCAGATCTCCTGCACATGGTCACAGGGCTGACACCCTGGTGCTATGCCATGTCAGCAGAGCTGTGTGTCTCACACCCACCCTCTAGACAATAACAGGACCACTCCTCTCCTCCCGTCCATGGGAATCACCTCTGCTAGGGGTCCTCCACAGGATGTACCCTCAAGTGGGGTTTCTGGGACTAAGAATTTCTAGGCCTCCTGACCATACAGTGGTGTTAGGTAGATGAAGCCCAAAGTTCTGGTGAAGACCAGAACTAGGGGTGTGTCCCAGCCCCCAAGGACTGACCTTGAGCCTCCCAAGGCAGGAAAAGATCCAGATCTGAGGCCAGGGGAGATGCTGGAAGGGACAGCGGAGGAAGACGAGAGGGCAGAGGTAGGGAGAAGCCAGGATCCAGGAAGGCAGAGACAAGAGAAACAGGAATGAGAACACTGCCAGGGCCCCAGCCTGGACAAGGAGGCAGGGTCCCCTTGTCCTGGAGCTCTCTAATGCAACACATGCCTGAGCCCACCGCAGGGCCACAGGCCACCCACATGGGCCCCACAGCAAAACCTGGTGCTGATGGCTCACCTTCTGAGGAGCTGTCCTCAGTGAAAAAATGGGTGGCTTCCAGGGCAGACTCAGTCTCCTCTGGACTCAGCGCTATGCTCAGAGAGAAAGGAGAGTGAGGGCAGGAGAAAGCAATGTGATTCACACAAAAGCAAACCTCTCAGGCCCAGCATCCCCCCATGGCATGCCCATGGGTCCCAGTGCCCTCTGATATGGTGTGTGGTCAGAGGGGTAGCAGTGGCGGCTGATTCGGGTGACTCTCTTGACTTTGTATGTTTGTCTGAAACACAAACAGTATCCCTGGTAAGAATCCAGCCAGTGCAGACAGAGTCTAATGACCAGCCAGCCTTCTGCCCACCCCTTGATGCCAAGCCCCAGAGGACCCTGGGCACACACATAGAGAAGAGCCATGCACAAGTGACTTGCCCGTCTCATTTCACACACCGGGCGTTGTTCCACAGTGATTCACACTGCAGTGTGAATCGTGATTCATTGCGATTATGCAGCCCCCGGCCTCCGCTGTGGTACACCATTCCAGTGTGGGGGGTTATTCTCCCAGCTGTCCCAGTGGCACACAGTGAGAGGAAATGGGCAGTGTGTAGCACATGAGGGAGGTGGCAGGGTGTGGGCAGAGTTCCATCAGGGGCCTGGGCATCGCAGGGGATGGTTGGGAGAAGTGGGGTGGCTACACTTGCTCTCTTATGTAGGACCTCAGCCCAGCAAATCTGTCTCTCAGCTGAGTCAGATATGGTTGATACCAACCCTCCCAGGAGGGATAGCTGGGGCCACTATTCCGGTCACATTGTAGGGAAAAACCTGTCACAAGAGCAGAACTTTCTACCTCAGCAACACAAAACAATTGCCTGGAGAGTTATAAAATAGAACCTGGGTCCTGCCAGGCCAAAGTGCAAGCTTCTGGAGTTGAGCTCAGCACAGTATTCTAAAAATCACTGGAGTGACTCTAAGGCGGCCTCTGAGGTTCCAGGGGCTGTGGACAATAGCAGGGTCCCAAACAGCTCCATCTCAGAACCTAGGTTGAAATTTTCAGTTTCCTCCAGGGAAAACAGGGATATCGCTGCCTGGAATGACTCTCCACGTGGCTGTACCAGGTGAGTGTGCCCTGCACAGCAGGACCCCAATGACTGCAGGTTCTGTCTTCGACCAGCTGTCCCATTGAGTCACCAGGCATCACCATCAGTAGCCTGGGGCACCTTGAAGAGACGCAAACCCTACTCATGGCCGTGACAGGGCTCCCCAGGTCATACCTGGCCCTTGGCAATGCCCCCAGGTTGACCCTTGGGGGATAAACAAGACTTAAGGACAGGTTACTAACCACAGGGTCCTTGGTTTCACACGTGAGTGTCCAGTTATGCGACCCCTCCGAAGTTTTTGGTGGTGCTGTGACCCTCACAGGTCACAGCCCTATTCAGACCAAGACAAGCCAGGCCTCACTCCCTCCACTAGGCCTGGTCTCCAAGGCTGCCTCAAGGTCCAGCATCCCACAGACGCTTGTGCTGGGCCTTAGGATGCTACAGGCCCAGCTTTGGACATGTGTGAGGTTCCTGCTAGGGAGAAGGCTATTACCTGGGGGCAGGTGTAGCTTGTAGAGTGCCTTGAGCTTCTCTGTCAGGTCCCCATGGTACAGCCCACCTGTGGAGGAAGGCCAGAGAGGAGGCACACTGGTAACAGACTGTTGAAGACCTGAGACAGTCTGAATTTGAACAACTCCCCCTTCCAGTGGCTTCTGGCAGGACCCTCCTCACAATCTGATTCCCTCACAGAGAGGCCTCTGAGAGCAAGGCCCAGGTATCCTGTTTGTTCTCCTTCCCTAGGGTCTACGATCTGGCCTTTAGCAGCTCCAGGCTAACAGAAAGATGGGGGAGATACATTGGAGCCCCATGTGTCTCCTGTGGGAAAACTGCCCTTTCTTTACTAAGGATCAAGGGCTCTGGGCTGCCCTCTGCTAGCTGCAGTGGAAAGACTAGCTAGGTCTGGACCTTGGAGGCTTCTTCAGAAAGGGCTAAGGGAATGGGCAGGCACTGCAGCCACTTACTGATCCCTGTCACGAACTCTTTGAAGTTGATCAGCGAGTCCTTGTTTTCATCCAGGAGCCGGAACATTCGTCCTGCCAGCACAGATGTGTGGGAGCCACAGGCCCAAGGTGTCAGGCTGGCGAAAAGATCCCGGAACTGGCTGGCGTCTATGCGGTACTGTTCTAGGTAGGGCAAGCTGGGGTCCCGACGCCCAGCTGTGGGGCGGCTGCTACCCCAGTACTGACTTGCCAGATGCTTGGCCTGCAAGGGACACAGTCTGGTGAAATGGCCTGAGTGCCCTGCCCCTGGACAGTTAGGATCATCAGGCTAATTGGGGTACCCACCTCCTTCTCCACCCAGGTCTGCCATGTCCCAGGGTGGGGAGTACTGGGCCTGATGCAGCAGCTCACAGAACCGCTCATGTTGGAGCCATCAGTCCCTCATTTACAGAGGGGTGATCTGGGACAGATCCTTGGGCACCAGGCCACAGCAGGCCTAAAGCTGCAGCATGGCAGCCACCTTGGGGGCTGAACCAGAGGAAGCTGGGAACTGACAAGAGCAAAATGGCAGCATAGACTTTTGTGCCTGCTGAAGAGAAAGCAGGCTTTTCCTTTTGTAATAGCGCCTGAAATTTTCTTGGAGAGCCCTCCCTGTCCTACCCTTAGACCAAGGGGAGGGTACATAGCCCAGATCTGGCCCAGTGGCAAATGCCTCCCAAAGCCACAACGCCTAACCTGAGTCAGTCTAGTAATCAACCTTAGACTTTTTGCTAAAACCATTTGGAAAGAAAAATTCTTTCCGCTGGGGTTCCTGAGAGACACGGATGATCCTGGATCTGTCTACAATTCTGCCATTCTGCAGGAAGAGCAGTCCAAAGGACATCTGAGGTGGGGAGAAGCAAGTTTGAGCACCCAGGTCCAGCTCACACCTGAAGCTGTGCTTTCCTAGACTCTTCACTTAAATGAGCTAATGCATTCCCCCTTCTGTATAAACTGGTGTGAGTGGTTTTTCTGTGAATTAAGTGTCCTCCAAGAATGAAATCACACCATATGAAGTTTGTGGTAACTGTAACTGAAAATGCTTTTAAATCTATTTCTCTTCTGCTGTGGTAGGGATACATTTAGGGGACTACGCTGGGGTTCTGGTCCTGCCCTTGCTTTGACTGTCACCTTAAACACCATGTAAAGGTCTTCCAGCTCTTCAATTGAGAAACCAATGTCTCCAGGTATAGCTCGGACCTAGAAGGAAAGAGAAATAGGATATATTGATGGATTCTCAAGTTCCTGCAATGGTAAAAACAAGATGCTCTTTGGGATAATGAGTACAAAGACATGAACTACCCCTCTGGTGTTGCTAACTGGCCCAGCACACAGGGTGGCCCACCCAGGAAGAGAATGTGGCTCACACATTCACTCTTTGGGCACTGTCTGCCCAGCTACTCAGTCAGGGAGTGCTGTCTGGATCCCTGGCACCATCTCTTTGGAAAGCATTCTAGACCTTCCCAGTACATTCTCCCTCCAGAGGTGAGGAAGGCAAAGGATTGTGGCAGTGGCACAGTGGGCTGGGAAGGGTGGAAGGTGTCCAAGTGTTGTCACCCAGGGGTAGGGGCAAAGTCGGGCTGGGAAGGTTCAGCTGGCAGCAAAATGGCACTTGGACTTTAGGCAGCTGGGCATCAGAGAAGCTGATGACCAAATCATGAGCAGAAAATAGTGATGGGGATCTTTGCCCACATTCCCACCTGTGCATCACACTTGGGGATTCTAGTCCCTTGCTGTGCAATGCCCTGCTCACCCCTTGGGAGGCACTGTGGCAGGGGCAGTTTCCCTGGGTCACCACCCCACCTTGCCTGCAACCTGGGGCCACAGAAGGCCTGCCCCCTCATACCACACTCCTCTTGGCTGTATCCTCCAAGGACTGGATCACTTTCAGCCTCTGTTTAAACCGCATCTGTTCGATGTCATCAGCACGTAGGCTGCTAAATTTCTATGGTAAGAGTGATGCCATGAGATAAGGTGGAGTTAGGGTCCAACACCTGCCAGCCCCTCATTATACCCCTGCACCGACATGCCCGGACGCAGGAACTTGACACAAGGTTCCAGTGATCACTGACCTCGTATGACACCTTTAGGAGGTCAAAGATGTCCACTTCTGCAGGGGGGGTATCCCTGCTGGTCAGCAGGGCATGGAGGTGTGGGATGGGAGGAGAGACACTCTGTTTATTGACCACGTTATCCAGGTATCTGCCAGGATTAAAGACAGAAGTATAGACCACTCATAGGTAGTGACAGGGGAGTCTTTCCCATGGCTACGTGATGTGGAGGGACCATTTCACAAGCAGGAGTGAGAGCTGGGCCTCTCCAGGAAAGCTGCAGATAAGCCTGACTGACTCCATGGTGAGGTGGAGATGTGCCCTGGTAAATAAGGAGTCCTCCTGGAGGCAGTGGAGAGAAGACCTCAGCCTGAGTACTAAATGAGGAAGCTAAGATGTCCTCAGGAACCCTTTATATGCCCAGATGCTTTCACTCTAGGAGAAAGGTCTACTGTGGCAGAAGGGACGTGTTCCTTCCCTCGGTGAGCTGCTAGGGATATGTGGATTAACCTCAGCAACACTCAGGAAGCAAATGAGAAAGGTATGGAAGGAGTGCTGCTGTGGCCATGTCTGTGGGGACAGAGCTTTAGGACAGGGCCTGACTTTGGCTGGGCTTGCCCAACCTGGGCTTCTTGCCCTCACAGGCTCTCTAGGCTGGGCCTGAAGCTAAGGTGGGAGAGGTGGCTGGTTCCCCCCCATTACTCTGGTCAGGGCTCCATCCCCAGGGAGGCCTTCACTCATGAGGAGGAGCCCATCCATCTGTCTGGTGTGGGGAGGGGCATGAAAATCCTCTGTGATTCTGATGTGGGCTATATCTAGTCTTCCCTGTGGACAAAGAGCTAGCACCGTCCAGAACAGGGAGATGATAACCTTGTGGAATGCTAACCAGCACCTCAGCTGGCTCAGCAGGCAAGTGGCAGCATCCCTGGCTGTCCTGGGTGGCCGGGACATATTTCCAGGCCAGGCAAATATGTGCACACAGCCTGATGGGACTGTACAGAGCTCAGGGCCAGGTGAGAAGGCCAGGTGAGGACTCAGCTCCTGTGTACAGAGAAATACCAACAGCAGGGGGAGACCTCGTGTCCCAGGGTCTGACAGCAGAAAGAATGCTGTGGGATGCTAGTGGGCGAAACTAGTGCAGGGAAAACTATAACTAAGCAGGCATGAGGCCTACACTGCAGGGGTGTTGTGGGCCTACACTGAGGCATTGGAGGGTGGGAAGGGACAGCTGGATCCCAGAATCCATGATAGGAAGTGGGGTTGAGGGAAAAGGTGGTGGCCAGGATGACCCCGAGACATAGGTGTAAACAGTGGGTATAAGCTCCTTTAGCTCTTACGGCAAGCCCAGCATGGTGCCTGAGCTCAGGAAAACACAACCAGGCCTGTTTTATGGAAACAACAGCTGCCCTGCTATTCTAGCCACCTCCTATGCACGATAGGAGCCCTCAGCCCACCATGCCCTGGCCCACTCCCATTCTCTCTTATCCTGGTCTTATGGCTGCCCTAGTGCTGTTCTGTCCCCACTAGGAAGGAAGCTTCTTCTGCTCCCTGGATCTAGCAGGACCAGATTCCTGGTGGACACAGTCACTGAATGCTGGCTGGGGAGAACCCAAGGTTGTCCCCTGAGAGGCCAGCTTGGTCACCTGCCCAGGATGGTCATGGCCTCGCCCTCGTCCACACAGGCCAGCAGCTCCTCCTTGTTGGCATCCAAGATGGCCAAGGCCACTTGTAGGATCACCTTGATGCCCTCATAGAAGAAGCAGTCAACGATGACCACGGCACTCTCAAAGGGCATGACGCTGAGGAATAGGGTCAGGAACCAGGAAAGTGAGATGCTGGAGATGACCCCCAGGTCCTGCATCTTCTCAGAGAGCTGGGGTAGAAAGTCCCTTGTAAGCTCTTCAAAGATGCCTTGGTCCACCAGGGCCCCTAGGGAGAGGAAAGAGGAATCTGACTTGTGAGCCCATACCCCTGGGCTCTGGTTCAGGTGCGCCCTCAGGTGGGGCCTGAGAGCCTAAGGCTAAGGCCCCGCCCAATCTCTGGACAGCTCCACGCACACCGAGGCTACAGAGGCTGGGTATGTGGAGAAAACAAGAATGAATAGCAAGCTGTTAAATTTTCTTTCTACAGCTTCCAAACCATTGTGTGAAAAGAATGATTTCATTCATAAGACTTGGATTTTTGGGCCTCCCTGGTGGTGCAAGGGGTTAAGTCCAGCACGATGAAGCTATCGCCAGCCACTGCAACATGAGTTCGATTCCAGGCCAGGGAGCAACCCACATGGTGCAGCAGACCTCTCTTGCCTTGCCCGCTGCTCCCCTCAGCAGTGTATTTAAGTCAGTCTGCCTGTTCTGTTCCCCGGTCTGTCTCTGGTGAATCCTCTCACCTCCCCCCAACTCTGGCCTGTACCCCAGTTCTTGTATGTATAAATAAATCTTTAAAAAAAAAAAAAAAACTTGGATTTTTTTTGGGGAAATACAAAATTGTTCCCTAGATGCATCAGATTAAACCATGGCTGCAGGGGCTTCTGTGTATCCTGTCCTAAAGCTTGAGAACAGATATGATGCTAAAGATCCCCCTCCCCGCCTCCTTCCAAAAAATAATACATGAAGGCATCTTAGAATACCATCTTAATCACACACATAATTAAATACATTTGCAAACCCATTTCTACTTCATGACACAGATTCCACAAGTTACAGTTGAAGAGGAGGTACATAGCGGGTGTACTATACATGCTAGTTGTGATGTTTTTCTATAGTAAAAAAGTTTAAGAAGAGTTTGACCTGATGGGAATGTAGGCCCCAAGCACTTTTAAAAGTCACTAAATGTGTAACTTCTAACTCTCACTACCAGCAACTGGGGAATCTGCTGCAAGTCTGGGTCAGGTGGTTGGTGAGCCTGTGCCTGGCTCTCTACTTTGCAGCTGTGTGAGGATTTCTATGTATAGTCAGGAGCATATGTGGGGGAAATGCTTGTGCAGCTGGATGAGGGGCTGTCACCCCTGCTGGCACTCACCTACCACCCTGGTATTGTAGTAGTCAGGCAGCATGCGCTCGCAGAGAGCCACCAGCAGCCAGAAGGCCTCCTCCTCGCTGCCATAGAGCAGGAGCACTGAGGTGACGATGTTCATGGCCTGTGGGCACAGGGACAGTGAAGGGAGGTTCACAGAGCTGGCCACCGAGTAAAGCCCTTCCCTTGCCCCACAAGCAAGTTCCATAATGACAAACTGGCCCACCCAACTTGGCAGTTTGCCAAAAGGGGATCTGCAGGAAATCAATTTGACAAAATAGTCAGCTGGGTCACCCTAATCGGGCTAGCAGGCGCTGGAAGAGTCAAGAGTGTGGACGTGAATGCCGCACTTCTGCAGAGCAGTGTCTGGTGTTGAAGGTGTCACGCTGGGCCAGGTGGACGTGTAGGCAAGTTGTGTGGCACATAGCTATATGGCTACAGGGAGGCCATGGCAAGACTAGGATGGCACAGCCTCAGTTGATAGCAGGCTCAAAAGGAAAAGCTTCAACAGAAGTTATCTTCAAAATTATTTAAAGCTAATACACTGGCTTTCCATGCATTGGTCATGTGGAACATTCACTCTCCAGGAAGTGGATTTGCTGTGCTGCCTTGAAATCCACGTGTGGTCGAGGGGGTAGAGAAAGCCACTTGACCTGACTGATGAAATGTCCACTAGATTTAAAGTCAAATGTCACCAGAAATGCAAATCAAAGGTGCAAGATGGTACCTTACACCATTAGGATGGCTACTATCAAAACCAGAAAAGCAAGTTTGGTGGGGGCTTGGAGAGACTGGGTCCCTTGTGCATTGCTGGTAGGAATATAAATTGTGCAGCTCCTATGGAAAACACTATGACAATTCAATAAAAAACATAGAAACAGAAATACCGTTTAATCCTGCAATTCTACTTCTAAGTATATCCCCAAAAGAAGTGAAAAGATGTGAGCAGATATTGCATATCCATGTTCATAGCAGCAGCATTCACAATAGCCAAAAGGTGGAAAAACCCCAAATAGTCATGAACAGATGAACAGATAAACAAAATGTGATATATCCATAAAGTGGAAGATTATTCAGCTTATAAAGGAGGAAAATTTTGCAACATGTTACAACATGGATGAATTTGGAGAAGACTATGCTAAGTGAAATAAGCCAGTCACAAAAGGGCTCTTACTGTATGATTCTACTTATATGAGATACCTAGAATAGTCAGGTTCATAGAAATACAAAGGAGAAGAGTGGTTGAGAGGGGGTGGGGGGTACGGGAGGATGAGGGGTGTGCTACTTAATGGATACAGAATGTCAGCTTTGTAAGATGAAGTTTTGGGGATGGATGGTGGTGATGGCTGCACAGCAGTGTGAATGTATTTAATGCTGCTATATATTTACAAATGGTTAAGATGGTAAATTTTACCCCCGCACAGAAAACAAATGCTTCCAGAAGCACATAGAAGGCAACTTAATACGGTATGGGATAAGTGAATAATTATCATTGTTTTGAAGTGTCTTTTTCTGTGGTAGGGCTTCCATTTGGGGGCACAGGGACTGAGGCCACCAGTCAGGTCCAGGGCCATGGGACCTGATGGCCTCTGTAGAGAAATGTTGTATTTGGGTTCCTGCCCAGTCCCCTTACCTGGCAGTAGCCAATGGTGGGGTTTCGGAAAGCATAGGCAGTCAGCACCCGCCGGAGTGCAGCAATCCCCAGCTCATTCTGGAAGGCAGGGTGCTCGGGCATGGAGCGGTGGAGGTCTCGCTCGATCTCCTCTGTGGCCAGGCTGTACTTCCCCATGGACTTCTCTACCAGATTAGCATAGTAGCTGGGATGGGTCACCATCTCATTCCAGGCCCCTGTGAAAACATGGGTAGCAAGTGTCTCTTTCTCTCAGAACTTTGGAGAGACATCAGTGCACCACAGAAGAGAGGTGGAACTCAGGTCTGTTACTGTTGTAAGGTGAAGGTTCCCTTGTGACTGCTCCTGCTTCCACTCAAGTTGCAATGGCTGACTTGCCCTCTTCCTGAAACCCTCCAAGTGGTGAGTGTGAACACTGTCAAAGCTTGTCTAGAGGAAACAAGGCCTCAGAGGGCCTGCTTACCTCCTACTGTGGGTAGGAAGGGACCACAATGGTGACTGTGCCCCACGCTTGGTTTGCTCCTGCCATGGGCCCTGCAACAACCCCCTTACAGCTGAGAGACCCATTTTCACTGGCAGGGTTGGCAGCTCCCCGCTGACCAACTCAGAAAGTTGGCCTGGAGTCAGCCCAGCTGCCACAGGGAGGTCCATCAGTTCACCTGAGAAGAGGAGCCACAGTTCCCCGCGGAGGCTCTCAGGAATGCCCTTCAGCACCAGCTCCCGCGTTTTGGCAGTGCGGTACATGCACATGCCGCGCCCGTATTCAAAGAAGTGGATGTTCCATGACTCCTCTTTCATCTTCTCCTTGGCCTAGGGGAAAGGCAAACAGGGCTGTGGGTTCCACTTGGGTACTGAGGCCCAAGTGACAGGGTCCTCCTCTCCTCTTCCATCTAGACAATGCAGGACTGGTCAACTTGGATTTCCCAGAGTTCATAGTAAAACTGCAAGGAGTCCAGGCTGGGCTACGCATAGCACCTCTCTCGGACATCAGGAAGATGCCTCCCAGAGCAGAGGGAGTGCCTCCAAGCACGTCAGGCAGGGGGCCCCTCTCCCTTCTCCTGTATTGCCCATCGTCAGCCTCTGAGGGCTGAGGATAAGACTCACCCCCTTGGCTCCCAGCTCCTCCATGTACGTGTTGCCCTGGAAGAGTTTAAGCAGGCCCTTGGAAGCGGTTGGTGCCTCCTGTGCATGGGAGATCTGGCGGCCACTGAAGGGTGAGGACAAACTGGCCGGCTCTTCCAATGCCTCATGGGATGCTGGGGAAGACTGGAAAATACAACATGGGAGGAGAAGTGCCCTTGAGTGAGCTGCCCTTGGGATTTCTTTCTTTCTTTTTTTTTTTTTATGCATACAAGAGCTGGGGTGTAGGCCAGAGGGGGTTGAGAGGATTCAACAGAGAGAGAGTGGGGAGCAGTGGGAGAGACAGGAGAGGTTTGCTGCACCATGTGGGCCAGCTCCCCCACTGGGGATTAAACCCGTGCTGCAGTGGCTGTGGATTGCTTCTATGTGCTTCTGGAAGCATTTGTTTTCTGTGCGGGGGTAAAATTTACCATCTTAACCATTTGTAAATATATAGCAGCATTAAATACATTCACACTGCTGTGCAGCCATCACCACCATCCATCCCCAAAACTTCATCTTACAAAGCTGACATTCTGTATCCATTAAGTAGCTATGAAGCTATCCACAGCCTCTGCAGCGCCGGTTTGATCCTGGTCGGCTGGCGAGGGTCCCACATGGGGGGCAGACCTCTCCTGTCGCACCCGCTGCTCCCCTCAGCAGTGTATTTTGTCAGTCTGCCTGTTCTGTTCCCCACTCTGTCTCTGGTGAATTCTCTCACCCTCCCACGCATCTGGACTGTACCCCAGTTCTTGTATAAATAAATAAATCAATCTTTAAAAAAACAAAAAAATCAAGGGTTGGCCAGTGGGCCTTGGTATAAGAGCCCACAGTTGGCTGAGGGAGGAAGCCCTCGCCAAATTCTTTGCAGCCAGGCAGAGGAAAAGCGAACTTAGAAAAGCAAAAGCTGGTGCTAAGATTGAGAAGCCGTGAGCGGCTGATAAGCAGCCCAAGTATGCTGAAGACCATTGAGTCTCTTAATACCTGTGGGTGATGCCCGGATCGCTGTCGAGTGAGGGTGAGATGCTGAGGAACCCGTCCTTGGGGGACGGGTGGGGAACGTGGCTTGGGGTGGAGCCCAAGCCGAAGAGGGGACCCAAGAGAGGCCGCATGTGCAGTTTGGATCCCCAACCCATGTGCTTGTGCAATGGGTTGGCCTGAGTGCAGGGGTCTGCGAGTCGCATTGGTGGCTATGAAAGCCGAGTGTTGGAGCGACTGCAGACAGAAACCCTGAGGGCTGGCGATTACCCCCAACAGTATAGAATCGCCAATCCCAGAGTGAGTGCATCCCGGGGGTGGATGCGGGGTGTGGCTTGTGGCCGAGACCACAGCCAGAGAAGGCCAGGAAGCCTGATGGCTCCTCGTGTGTGACGGTAGATGCGGTGAATGGTCCCCTCCGTTGTATGAGCAGTGCCTTCGGCAGCCTAAGTGGCGGATCATCTGCTGGTGCCAATAATTGTCTTTTGCCACTAGGGTGGTGCCCTGTTTGGACTTATTTGTGTTCTGTTGTATTTTGTTATATTGTTATGTAGTTCATTTGCTTTTGTGGGCCATGGCTGCAGTGTTCTATTGCCAAGAGAAACGTATATGACTTGTATAGACTGTCTGGAAGAAAACCCTGAGGGCTTTTCTGCCCTCCCACCATTAGGATAGATGACGGAACCCTGCAGTCCTGATGGTGCGCACCTGGAGTAGGGTGTGGGCATATGTAGATGGGATTCACCTGGGCTAAGATGGGTTTTTTAAGGGCGGCATCATGGGGACGCCAGCAGAAAGAGTAAAGACTTGCTGGGGGTTGGGAGACCTGCCAGCCTCTTGGCCCCCCAGCACCTCTGCCTGCCATATACCTGGTAAATCCCAATAAAAGCCTGCAAAAGTCATCGAGGTCTCCAGGACTTTCTTCTCCTTTACCCCATCTGCTGGATCAGAAAATCTGCACTGTCCCTTCCTGCCATTACACCTGGGAACAAAACTCTCCAACCCTGGCCCCACATTTTGTGGGATCCCCTGAAGCTTGGGCAATGTACCTGAGCTAATTAGCATTTCCTACTGTGGGCCCGAGGGGCTGAAGGGTGCAGCAGTGACCCACAGGTTATGTCAGGATGAGCCATGTGGATGCACAGGCAGTCACCACTATCCTGGTCCCACATGTGGCCTAGGAATGACACTACTTGCAGAAAGCAGGGGCACTGGTGCCTTCTGCAAATACTGCATCTTCCCTCTGCTGCTTACACAAGAATCCTCATCACAGCTGTGATGGTTTCAAATGGAATGCATTTAACAAATGCCATCAAACCATTCTCTTTAAAGTAGTATGGTGTGTCAGTTGTCATATTTGCCTTAGTAGAGTTGGTTTTAATAAGGAGAGCAAAAGAAGAAAAAAAAAAAGGTAGCTACGCTAGTTCACAGTTCACCCTTCCTGCTTGACAGGCAGGTGTTCCCGGCAAGGCAGTGAGCTCGCAGAGCTGGACAGCTTTAAGTCTCTTTCTCTCTCCCAAAGTGACCCCTGTTATTTTTCAGATGACCTGTAAACAAAATTTTCAAGAATTACCTCACTATATCCTTTCCCCTTCTTTCAAGTTTATTCTTTTTAGGTCTGTCAGAATGTACTATGTTTTAAAAGTTATCTTTATAGTACCCTCAGGCCCTCTTTCAGATCAGTAGTTTCCCCATATTTGCACTTTGGCTTTTTGCAGTTTCTATTACTTGCCATTTACCTGAGGCCTGAAAACAATAATTTAATAAGATACTGAGAGAGCGTTCAAGCCCATCACTTATATTACACTATATAATTGTTCTATTTTATTATTTTTTGTTAGTCTCTTACTGTGCCTAGTTTATAAATTTTGTCTGATTTAAATTTTGCATTTAAGTAAAGGAAAAAAACATAGTTCAGTACTATTTGCAGCTGCAGGCATCCACCGGGTGTCTTGGAATGAATCCTCCACTACTACTATACTGTCAATTCCCTACTATGGGCAATGCTGAAATTAGCTAGTGGCCTTTTTCTTTCCTCTCCCATGTTTTCCCTGCTGAAAGATAATTGCAAGTGGTATTTTTAAAGTCAATTTAGGTAGTATTTTTACTTTCAGTTAATACAGCAATCAGCGAGCTCTTATACTTTCCATACCTTTTAATTTGTGTTTTTTTCATGTTTTTATTTGTCAATAGTCAGAACATATTTTACATACCATTTGTCACCTTTATTCTTGCTACCTACCACATTACTTCTATAATTGAATATATGCAATTCCTCCCCTGTCCCTCACCTCTCCCTCCCGCCCTGCCCCCACGCACCTAGTCTTATGTCAAAGCTTCTGCAATCATTTTTGGTTGTTTCAAATATGTTCTCAATTAGATTCCTCAACAGTGGGCGGCTACCCTGAATTTATACTGTTCTTGACTGCCTGTGTAATTTTGCTGGATAAATACTTGGTTAATAGCATTTTTAATGGTTTATCTTTATTTATTTTTTTTAAAGTGAATTTTTTTTAAAGATTTATTTATTCATGCATACAAGAGCTGGGGTACAGGCCAGAGGCGTGGGGGGTAAGAGGATTCACCAGAGACAGAGTGGGGAGCAGAACAGGCAGACTGACTGAAATACACTGCTGAGGGGAGCAGCGGGCGACACAGGAGAGGTCTGCTGCGCCATGTGGGTAGCTCCCTGGCCGGCCCGGGGACCGAACCCGTGCTGCAGAAGCTGCAGATAGCTTCATAGGTTGTGTCCCAACCCCCTGCACCACCAGCGAGGCTCTGGTTTATCTTTAAAACATGATTTTATTTGTATGAACTTGTGCTATCAAAACATTTGATGCAGCTACTTTCCTTCATGAATGAGTGGTCTTTTTTTTCACTTGCTGCCCAGAAGAATTTTTTTAGTCTTTACAGTCCAATAGTTTTACTACATTATATCTTAGTATTGACTATTTTGTATTGATTTTCCCAGATGTACAACATGCTCTTCCACCACACAGGTTCAAATCTTTTTTAATATTCTCAAAAGTTTTCTCAGATTGTGGTTTCTATCATCTGTTATTCCATGGTTCTGGTTTTCTTTTCTGGGGGACTTGCATTATACATAATGCAGGACCTTCTTTGCCTGACTTTATAACTTCTCTTGAATACATTTTCTCTCTAGTTGTTTGACTACCCTCCTACCTCCATTTTGCCGCATCTCTTCTCAATCCCTTACTGGACTTTCCATGTGTCTATTCCTTCTTGTGTTCCTGGCTTGTATAATATTCACTTCTGAAATATTTCTGTATTTTTTTCCTAATTCTTTCCTGAGTGCTTTCAACAATCTTTTCACATTATTCTTCTGACTAGTCACCTTGTTTCTGAGCTTTCCAAAAACTTTTTATAGTACTGTTCAGCCATTTCTATTATTTTTCTAATTCTTTTTAGATAATTTTGAAATATTATACTACAATTTTCATCTACTTTGGGGGACTACTGTTCTGGCGTTTTCATTGTAGAATTGTCTGTTTCTCCCTTACAATACCTTCATACAGAGTGTGATCACAGTCTGTTTCTGTTGCTCATATTTACATGACATGAATTTTTCTGCACTTTCAGCTTTCTACATGGGATAGATTTCTACCCTGCACAGCTGGAGGGCCTGTCTTCTCCTGTAGTCTCTTGATGGAGCATCCTTGCCAGCATTTCTGAGATCTGTCTCTTCTAGTGTCTGGCTTTTCTGTCCTTGATTTCCCCTGTCCCTCCCCTAGCACACTTTTCCTCAGGGACAGTTTTTCCCTTTTGGAAGGAAGTTTTTGCTGTGTTTCAGAACCTCTGGGCTTAGGCAGCCCTGCCATTCTCTGAGGTTTTGTTTGTCTATAAACTGGAGCCTGAGAAATCTGCCCCCAATTTTACTTGTTGTTTCTCAGATTTATTTGCTGACGTTTCTGCCCAATGACCAGTCTTTTCCGGAGGGAACGGGAGAAATTTTAGCAATTTCTGGAATCCTTGGCTTGTTGGACTATCTATTGATCTACAGAGAACACCACCAAACTCACCAATGGCTTCTTATCGCACTCAGAGTCAAAGGTAAAGATCTTCCAAGGGGTTGTGGGCTTTACCTGACCCTTCTTCCTCTCAATCTTATCTCCAACATTGATATCAGTTGCATCCCATCTGCCATTCTTTCTGCTTGGTTCCCATGATTCTTTCAGGTATCTGCCCAAATTCTACCTAATTAGAACCCCTCCTTCCCTCTGCTCTCCTGGCCCCTATCTGGCTTTACTTTTAACCATGGTCCTATCACCACCTGACCTGTTAGATGTTTATGTGTTCACTGTCACTCTCAGAAGAATACATGGCAAAGAGGGCATGGATTTTGTCTACTCTGTCCACTGCTCTATTTCTAGTGCCCGGAACAGCACCTAGCAACTAATGGGAATACAAGAATAGTGAGGATCCGGAAGGGGACCCATTTGTGCATGCTCTGGCCTGTCAAGCCCTGTCTTGTGAAGGCAGCAGCACTCCTGTTCCTATTCCATTTCTCAGAATCCAATCTCACCCCCTGAAATCCCAGATCAAGCCCAATCTCCTATAAGAAATCTTCCTTAATGTTTCCACTGCACACTGGTTTTTCCATATCCCTGCTGTTTTAGAGAACACAATTAACAGAATTCTAATCCATGTTGAGAAGGAATTAGAGTTACAAATCTCCAATACAGTAGCCACACGCAATTGAAATGCGGCGAGTCCAACTATAACAGTAAGTATAAACTACACAGCAATGTAGTTTACTCAGCAGTGACTACAGGGGCAGAATAAAGACATATAAAGGACTATAAAGGCAAATAAAGGTCTATCAGGCCAGGCTACATAGGGCCCTGGGGATCTGGGAAGGCACGTGTTGCCACTCAGCTCTGACATCACCATTTGTAGGAATGTGGGAACCATGATGCCAGAGCTTGCAGAAGTCAGATATGTGGCTTTTTACATGGACTCTTCTAATCATGGAGTATTTTCAGACTGACCAATAGTACACACATTGTATTATAGGAGGAAGGAAGTGATCAAATATGGCCAGGGTTGTGACAAAAGGAAGCAGGAACCAACCATTCTGTATGGAATGAGGATACAAATTGTCATGACTTGAAACACACTAAGTTGTTTAAAGCTGCAAGTTCACAATTAAAAAATGAACTGAACACATTGAGAGAAAATCAGAAAACAATTTTAGACATTAAAAAAATTGGTGAATAAAAAGGCAAGAATGGAAGACTTATTCTGTATTCCCTATGTGAACAGTGCTTCAGGACTCCTGAGGGGAAGGTTCTCATTCTGGAGTATTCCAGCTAATAAACAGAAGGAATGACTGAATTGGAGAGTCACCATTTCATAGTTCCTAATGAATGAGCAAGTCTAGGCAACGCTCCCCAGGGACAGACAGGTCTGACATGTGGCAAGACTGCCAGGTGTGACGTCCCTCTTGGAAGCACTGACACTTCAATTCTGCCCACAAGTAGACCTGCCCCCCGCAAGGCACAAACAACTGAATGGGAATGTGGCCTGTAAGTTAACCACTAACTTAAAGGAAACAGGGCACAAAGGCACCTGTTAAATGCCTCCAGGGGATATAATCAGCAGAAAAAACCAGACTGAGAAACTATGACACATATGACTCCATTTCTTGAACAAAATACAAGGGTGGGGGGGGAAGGAAATAGAGATGGAGCAGAAATCTACAGATAAAAAGAAATTTAAGAGATATATTAACAGGCTGAAATCTATGTATCAATCTCCATGTACCTCAAACTGTAAAATGTATCAATATAGCTGCATTTGGGGAAATGTGAATACAAGTTATTTGATAGTAAGGAATTATTGTTAATTTTCTATTAGAGGCCACCAGTGACTCTCAGGACTGTGGGGCAAGATAGGGTGTAGAGAGTTCTGTGACCGCAGGCAATGTGTGTGTGGCTAGGACACCCAGACTGAGGCTGGGTTAGGGTCTCTACCCAGATTCCAGCAAGGAACCTGTATGCCCGAGACTCCACAAGCATCCTGGGAGTCAGGCTCCAGCACAGAAGGTGATGGCTGTCTGGCCTCTTCCTCTGGCCTTGACCCCCACCATGTTGACCCTCTTACCTCTGGGGCCGAATCCACTGTGCTAGATTTCCTGCTCCCACTGCTGCTGCCCAGCTGCTTGGGTGATGTTTTCTGAAGGAAGTCAGAGATCCTCTGAACCAAAAAATCACGGTCTTTTAGGTTGGCAAACAGGAAGGTCATTTTGCTCTTGGTGCTTATGGACAAAGGGCTGGGCAAGACACTGGAGCTATCAGCTTTTTCGACAATGGTCACCTGAGAAGGTAAAAACTCTGTCTTGAGCATATGCATATTGAGAAGCTGAATGGTTTTGTGAACATGAGCACATTGAGACCTCAGGTTGTCCTCTCTCAGACACAGTAAGGAAATGGACACAGGACTCTGCACATGGCTGGATTCATAGTCTGACTGCCTGGGGACCCTGACCTTGAGCCAGATATGTGCATGTCTCAGTTTTGTTTCATTACCTGCTGATGAGGGAGAGCTCATGGGCCCTGCAGGACCATCATGAGGTTGTGATGCAGAATGTAAATGCTGAGCCCAATGTTGGTCCTCATCAGCCTCCCTAGATGGCTAGTTACCCCACCCTCTGAAGTGCAGTGGGCAGCCTGTGCACATGGTCTGAGCACTGTTCCTGGAACATTTTCTGACAGGTGTGTGTTCTGGGTACAGCGCTGACATGGAGGCATGTGGACAGAACAGCACAGGTGTAGAGGGCATAGAACAAGTTTTCAGGGGGCGCCTCCGCAGAGTCTATATCCTGGGGTGGGGAAAGACAGACATGAAGGCTAAATGCCACAAGCCAGGACTGAGGGGATGTGACAGCACAAGTGGGGAGGCCACTGGGCTGCTTCTTGCTGAAGGCACCTCTGGGAAGGTAGCAACTAAGTGAAGACCTCAGACTTGAGGACTGATCTGGTGCAGTCAGTTGGGGAGCTGCAGCAGAAATCCAGCAACCACCCCAAGAAGCGCACTAGATTGGCCTGAAGGACAGGGAAAGGCTGGAGAAATGGCAGCAGAGTAAGTGGGGTTGTGGGTATGTTTGAATGTGTGTAAATGTGTGCTGTGTGCATGTCTGTTCAGGAGTGTGGTGTGTAAGGGTATGCATAGGCATGTGTGGGCATGCACGTGCATGGTGCAGTGTGTGTATATGTATGTTGAGTGTATGATGTGTGTGAGATTGAAATGCACACACGCACATTTGCATGTGTGTATATGCACAAACATACGTGTGTATGTATACACACATGAGTGTTCAGGGCACGTTGAATGTGTGTGTGTGCAGTGCGTATACACGTGCATATGGCTGTGTGTGCATGCTGAGTGTGCACATGAGGCTATATATCAATATATGGCTATGTGTGTATGTGTGTGCATGTTGCTGAATGTGAGTATGTATATGTAAGCCAAGGTCTGAGAAGGGTTGGCAGGCTACTGAAGGTCTCACAGTTGGGGATTCTTCTATGACCACGAGACTTGGAGAATCCCATATGGAGCATGGGCATGCTCTGACTGACATTCTAAATTACACTGGCTTCGGCAGAGGAGGGGTCCTAACTGAGTTAGGTGTGGGTAGGTTAGGTCCTAAGGTGACCCAAAGAGACCAATGGTGAGGCCAAGTCAAATCAAAGACAACTCCACTTTTCACCTAAGTAGGTGGATGGAAGGGGTGCTTCTCTCACACAGATGAGAAGCACATGTCTGGAAACACACATTCAAGAGTCCAGAGCACAAATAGTGTGACTGATTTAGCCAGAGTCTGTATGCAGCCCAGACTGGGATGCTGAGCATGGGGCAGTGCTGAGTCGCTGGCCTCCATCATGATCAGCTCAGAGCCCTGTCCCAAGAGGTGAGATCAGCCTTCCACCTTAAGATGGTCCTGCTTCCTGGCTCAGCTAGAGCTGCCTAAAATCTTCTAAGGTGGAGAGCCTGCAGTCTGCTGCCAGGCCTCTCAATCAGATCAGTACAGGACAAATCCACAGGGCTGGGTGCCAAAAATGAAAATAAATTAGGGGCTACCTCTGAGACCCCTAACTTGGAGCTCCTAAACTGTGGCTCTTTTGAGTCCTTTGCCTCTTATTTTCCTTGGGGAAAGTGAGGCAGCATAGTATCTCCTACACCTATTCACAGCTACTCCTGCAACTTGTACAAATGCCAGGGAGGTCTCACTGCTCTATGTTGTACTGAAATCAAAATACTATGATGTATGTTAGAACTTAAGAACTTCACTTGCTTGTCATAATTAAACACCCAGTTTGCCCTGCTAGGTCAGAAGGAAAAGGAAGCCTTGAACTGCCGTGACCCCAGGGTCAATGCTTCTTTCTGGGAGGGGACCCTTGCTCACTGTCACACCCATCAGTGCAGCACAGGCCAGATGGATCACCATGGAAGCTCGAGACCCGACAAAAAATATCCCTGAAAAGTGAGAGCTGACTCCATCTGACAGATGAGGTTGTCCTTACCCTTGACAGTGAGAGCTGCAACCCATCCATGAGAGCTGACTTTGGATGAGCCTGCTAGAGCCTCACCACAGGCAAATGTTGGAAGAACAGTGAGGTGGCCTCTGAGAGTGACATGGTAGGGCTAGTGAGGGGACAGTGTCCTCCAAGGTCAGCCAGAGCAAGGCTGAGTCCAACTATGGCCCCAGAAGGAAGGGCTGGTTCTTCCTGAAGTCTTCTAAGTCCTGCATGCACTACTGGCACACCAAAGCCCAGCCCGTCTCCCAATACATGAAGTGACCCCAGGGAATTCAGTGCTTCCCACTCCCATAGGGCAGGTCCTGGGGAGATGCCCTCCACTAAATGTCAGAGGCCTGAGGGGCTGGGGTCTCCTGTCGGGTACCCCAGCCAGGGGCCTGGTGCTCACCTCTCGCAGGGGTATGATGAGGTGGCATGCATCCTCCTCCTTGCTGGCAAAGCAAATGTAGTTGCCAGAGATGAACATCTGGCCAGGGATGTGCAGTTTGTTGAAGGGGGTCCACAGGGTGCAGTCTGTGTGGCCATCTAGGCGCTCATCTTTCGGCAGCCGGAATGTGGCCCGGTAGCACTCATTCTTGGCCCGGGCGTCCAGGTCTCTACAGAAACCAAGGTAGGGGCTTTAGGGCCATTGTTTCCACCTCAGATTGGGGCTTTCTGGGGTCCTACTATGAGGAAGTTGTGCCCAATAATATGTGTGTTAAAAGGCCACGGGACATCCATTTGACCAGCATGAGTGGTCAGCAAACAGCATGTCCTTGAGACCACGGGCTATGGGATGACAGCTGGAGCTGATGAACTGTGACAGACTGAGGGTGGGTAGTGTGTGAGGCCCTATCCCACCCTCAATGCCTCTACCCAGGCCACTGTTTCTCGCTGGGAGGACAGAACCCCACCTAGGAACCACACAAGGACCTCTTCCTGACAGGTAGTATTGAGAGTAGTTAACACATGAGGTGCTTCTGCTGAATGGAAACTACTCACCCGTCCATATGAGATTGTAGCTGAGCACTCTGCTCCTCACCCCATGATAGCTCCGTCCTCATAAACACCTCTCCTTCCTTCCCTAGCCCCATGGGGGCTGTCACCTGTATGGGCTGCCTGTACTCTGAGCAGAGCCTGGTGGGCCCATCTTGATGGACATCAAAGACCCTCTATCTCAGTCCCATTTGCTTCCTTTCAGGAAGAGTCCAAAAGCCACTCTTATTCCCATCATAAATGATGTCTGTGGACAGCGTCTGGTCCTGAAGATATACTCCAGAAGCTGGGCTTGGGCTATGACCTCTAGGTAGAACCCAGGTAAAGGTCTAGTTGGGAGGAGGTCTCTGAGCACAGGTGTAGGACTCAGGTTTAGGGAACCACTGAGTTCCCAGCCAGCCTTGACTTTCCTGTGGAGCGACAATCAAGGAATGCAAACTGGAATGCTCTGGGGGCCCTCGCCACCATTATTCATTCCCCTGTCTGCTGATTCCCACAGAGGGCAGCACTGACAGGCCTGCATATGGCTTCCCCTTCCCTGCCTCCAGCTTCGCGTTAGCCCAAGAGGCCTGGGTCCCATAGCTACCAGGGGCCTATGGTACCACCATGAGAAGAGTGGTCAATCAGCGCAGGATGGAGGCTGGGTATCCTGGCATCATGGATGCAGTCTCTGGTGGTGTCCTGACCAATGTAGTGGGGAGGTCGGCTGGCAGCCAGCTGCTCAGTCACACCCTGGCTCCACTGCTCACTTGCTGAGGGGCCTTGAGTGTTTATTCATCTTCTCTGTGCCTCTGCTTCCTGTCCGAGACCATGGAGCATAAGAACACCTACCTCCACATCACAAGGCTGCAAGAAATAACATGGGATGCACTCCTCCATGTAAGTGGCAGGTAGTACAGGAACCTCTGAAAATCTCTTGGTGCTCTCCCTGTGTTCTGTACAACCACCCCTTTACCCGAGCTCCTTCCCACATGGGCAGCCCTCCTGCCCCAGGGCCACGCACCGCTTCAGTGCCGAGATGTTTCTGTGTGGCCGGGAAGGCCTAGGCAGCGCCTTGTCCTCCAGGAAGCCCTCACTGTCCAGCAGCTGCCGCATGGCCAAGTTGGCCAGTTGCCCCATGAGCTTGAAGGTCTCACCGATGTTGAGGAACATGGAGAAGAAGAGCTCCTGGTCCCGGGTGTCCACACGGATGCTCTCGGGGAAGAGCAGGGTGGCATTCTTCTCTAGCCGTGTGACGTCCACCCACTGCACCACCAGGCTCACTGGATGCCCACAGGGACAGACATACCACCAGGTCAAATGGGCTCTGACTCCTACCTGCTCCAGAGCCCACTAAGGGAACCACTTCTGAGGATGGCATTTACTGTGTGTTTGGCTGTGCTGGGAAATGCACTCTGAACATGCAGCAGGTGGCTGAGGTGGCACATGCCCAAGATACCAAAAAACCTAAGCTGCTTAGGGACAACTGTGCCCGTGAATACTTGACTTAAAAGAAAGAGGGCAAGCCTTATGCAGAAAGTCATTATGTGAAGGGCCAGGCTGTGACTATTGATTGGACAGGAGCACTGAGGTGGCATCGGTTTTAAGGGAGGCCCTCTGTGTGTGTGTGTGTGTGTGTGTGTGTGTGTGTGTGTGTGTGTGGGCAAGACTACCTGGGGGCTGACAGGAGAGCACTTAAGAATTTTGGTAGTCTAAAGAAGAAGTGAACTTTCTGTAGGTGAGGTCTGGGGGTAAAGGCAGAGGAACTGGCCACAACAGAACCAGTTAAGGGGCTGGGGGAAGGGGCCTAGCTCACCTTCCTTCCCCAGCAGGAAGGAATAGAAGCACAGGTGATTGACGGTCAGATAGAGCCAGCCTTGCCGGGGCACTCGGCCCTTCCAGTAGCTGCAGGAGTAGTAGTTGACCAGCTTCTCCCCCTCAGGCATCCCAAACTGTTTGCGCATCTTGAGCTCGGCCTCCTTGAATTTCCCAGGGTCCTCATCTCCCTGGGGTTGCAAGTTCTTGTTCTCTTCTGCAATGATGCCCTGAGAAGAACAAGAGGACTGGTTCCCAGAAGGTCTAGGGTTTCCCATGGTTGAGAGGGCGGGAGTGGGAGCAGAAAGGTACGGGGACTCAGACATTGAGACCTAGGACTCTTGTACAGTGGCCCAAGGGCCACAGGGATACAAAGACCCAGTCTGCTACTCTGGCCTGTGCAAGGTCATGGCACATGGTTGGACAAACTGCCAGCAACTCCCGAAACTATTATTACTATTGGCTTGGATTGGTAACTTTTAAAGAAACATTTTATACATATATAAAATTTAATATTATATATAATACATAAACATGGTAAAAAAAATGCTAGTAGAAAAGTACATTTGGTGAAAAGGGAGTGTCTCTCTCATGCTCTGTAGCCACTCTGCTGGTTTCCTCCCAGCCGACAACAATACTACTTTAAGCAAATATCTGCGGGTTTTCTCTTTTCCACTTTCTTAATCCATCTGGGATAAGCTATGGCACTATTTGGTAGAGTGCTTTTCTCACAATGGCCAGGCATCAAGAAGGTCTGTGTTTGATACCAACTCCTACCTTATCTACCAGGGGGCTCCTGTCTCTTGCCCCTGTTGACAGACAGCAATAGGGCCCACCTATCCAACTGCAAAGACCAGTGGCATGGGCCACCCAGCTCAGGGCCCATTAACTAGCTCCGGGTGTATCTATGCTGTGTCCTACCAGCATCTTCACTGGGCTCAGCCCCCAATCTCTTGATATAAAAGAGGTTCTTAGAACACTTGGCTCAAAAGGTACACAAGATTTTCTAGATGATTACCTGATAAACTAAGGAATTCAAGTCTAGTGCTTGGGCCCTATTCTGCTGTTTGTGCTGGACCTCCTCCATTCTTGGCCAAGAAGGGAAGTGAGAAGCCTGGGTGTGGACCCAATATGGGCTGTGTACTTTGATAGCCTCTCTCTGGCACTGTTGAAGGTGTGACATCAATACCTTCTGTCCCAAGCTGTCTCTGGTGCCTCCTGGATGTTCCTGTAGGAACTAGCTCTGTATCTGGGAAAAAGGCTCTAGCAAAGGGTCCTCCTTTGCTAAAGATTAGTCTTTGGCCGCCTTCTTTGGACCTCAATTCCATTAGGAAGTGACCCTGCCAATGCAAGTGCAAGGTGGGCCCTGGACATCTGCCCTGCCCCTGGCCACCTTCCTGGGTCTCAGCTGGCAGCCCCTGCTTCCCCACTCCCTCTAGTTGCATCTGGGAGATCCCCTAGGCAGGGAGCAGAAGGGCTCACATAATCTAGCCTGCATTCTCCACTGGTCTCTAAACAGCAGCATGGTCCCCACCAATGGGAATGAGTCAGCCTGGCTCCCAGAGGTGGGATTTTGTTGGGTGATAGAACCTGGCTGTAAAGACCACTGTGGAAGTTTTAAGTTATTGATTCAATTTCATTAATAGTTTTAGGCATATTTCAGTTCCCATGTCTTCCCGAGTCTCAGTTTAAGTTATAAAATGTGGTAGGCCAAATAATGCCCCTCCCAAAGATGTCCACACCCCCAATACCCAGAAGCTGGAATGTGACTTTGAAAAGCAACAGGGACATTGCAGATGTGATTAAATAAGGAATTTGCCATGGGGAGATGATCCTGGATTATGTAGGTGAGCCAAATTATAATCACAAAGGTCCTTTTAAAGGGCAAGGCAAAAGGATCAGAGTCATAAAAGGGATGAGATGACAGAGGGAGTGAGACTGACTCAGTGGTGCCATTAAGGATGAAGGACAGAGCCAAAGCCCAGAAAAGCAGATGGCCCGGGCCTCCCCGGTGGCGCAGCGGTTGAGCGCTAGGTTGTGAAGCTGCCTGCAGCCTCTGCAGCGCTGGTTCGATCCCCGGCTGCTCCCCGGCCACCGGAGGAGGGTCCCACATGGCGCACAGACCTCTCCTGCCGCCCGCTGCTCCCCTCAGCAGTGTACTTCGGTCCTTCTGCCTGCTCTGCTCCCCGCTCTGGCTCTGGTGAATTCTCTCACCCTCCCCCGCTTCTGAGGGTACCCAGTGCTTGAATGTATAAACAAATAAATAAATACATCTTTAAAAAAAAAAAAAAAAGCAGATGGCCCGTAAAAATTGTAAAAGGCAAGGAAATGGACTCTATGCTCAGGGCCTCTAGGAGGACAACATGATCAACACTTTAATTTTAGCACTTGAGACCCATTTTAGGTGTCTGACCTGTAAAACTGTCATATAATGAATTCATGTTGTTTGAAGATAACTTGTTACAGAAGCAACTGGAAATGAATATATAGTTCTAATAAAGTATTCATCTTGTCTAAAATCTTTAATTTACTGACAAAAACTATTTATGACATTCTACCTCTCTCACTTTTTTTTTTTAAAGATTTATTTATTTATGCATACAAGAGCTGGGGTACAGGCCAGAGATGCAGGGGGGTGAGAGGATTCACCAGAGACAGAGTGGGGAACAGAACGGCAGATTGACCAAAGTACACTGCTGAGGGGAGCAGCAGGCGAGACAGGAAAGGTCTGCTTCGCCCTGTGGGTTGCTCCCTGGCCGGCCATAGAACTTGTGCTGCAGAGGTTGCGGATTGCTTCACAGTGCGGGGCTCAACCCCTAGCACCACCCGGGAGGCTCCTCTCTCACTCTTTTTAAACTCTGTTTTTATAGGTGCTTCTTGTTTCATTCCCAACATTGTTTGTTTGGGGATTCTCTCTTTTGTTCTGGATAACTTTTGCCACACGTTTGTATATATTTTTTAGATCTCTTTTTGGATCTGTTGCTCTTCTCTATTGTTGCTTAACTTCTATAAAAGAAGTTGCTTAACTTCTTTCCTTTCTTATTGTCCTTATTTCTAATTTCTTGGTTTCTCGAGTTTTTCCTTACTTACTGAATTGGACACTTGGCTCATTAATTTCCATTCTTTCTTCTTTTCAAATTTTCTGTCCCTTCTCCTTTTATAAGATTTAAGATTAAAAATTTTCTTCTGTATACAGCTTTTGCTGTGTCCCATAAATTCTGATATATATAAGTATTCCAATTATTGTTTGTTTCTAAATATTTTCTAATTTCCATTTCTTCTTTGACCCATGAATCATATAGAACTTTATTTGTTTGGGCCTGGCATATAGGAAAGTATTCAATAATGTTGTTACTATTATTGTTATTGTTTTTATTATCCATCTTACATAGGAAAGTGGAGTCCTGCCTGGCTCTCTTTGCCTTTTTACCTGGTGTTATCAGGCAACATACCTTGAACTCCAAAGTACACAGAGAAGAGGTACTCTTGGTGTAGTCTGCCAGATCTAGAAAGTTCTGATGGACACTTCAGGCCCCACCCAGACTGGTGAGACCCTAGACCCTCACTGGGGAGGGAGTCAGAGTAGTCAGAGACCTCACAACCTTCCATGGGATGCTGCTGGCCGGATCCCTCCAGCACCTGCCCTGAATTACAAAGGCCTTGTGACTTCCCACAAGATGCCTGCAAGCATCTACACAGACTGATGAGACCCTGGACCCACTTCAGGGAATGGGCCAGAGTAGCCAGAAGTCTCATGATCTTCCATGAGTACCCGCCAGCAGTTTATCCAAATAGGTGAGAATCCTGATTAGTGAGGGTGGAGGGGCCATGCCCAGAGGACACCCCACATACAACAGTTGGGTTCTAAAGCTAATAATAGGCAGAAGGAAAACCCTAACATGGCAACATGAGTCTCCAAGTGAACAGTACAGCAGAGAGAGAGGACAAGTCCCCAGGACCCCAACTGATAGACATGGAAGCTACAGTCTCCTGTTTAGATATAGAGTTTAGAATTGCAATGATAAAGAAATTCAAAGAAATGGAAGAAAACTCAGAAAACGAATATCCTTAGAAATAAAATCAATGAACTGAAGCTCTAAGTAAGATAATAAAGGAGTTTCAGGATTTCAAGAGAAATACAGGCAATGAAAAACTCAGGAGAAAGTCTCAGAAGTAGAACAGATCAAGTGGAACTATGAACCAGTTTAACTGAATAAGCAAATGTACACAGAACCCAGGTAGAGAAGAAGAGAAATGAAATTTAAAAAATAAAGAAACACTACAAGAATTATCCTACTTGGGGCCTCCCTGGTGGCAGAGGGGTTAAAGTCTCAGTGCTATCAAGCTATTGCCAGCCACTATGGCCTGAGTTTGATCCCCAGCTAGGTAGCTGACCCACAGGGTGCAGCAGACCTCTCCTGTATAGTCCACTGCTCCCCTCAGCAATGTATTTCACTCGATCTGCCTGTTTTGCTCCCCACTCTGTCTCTGGTGAATCATCTCACCTCCTATGCCACTGGCCTACACCACAGTTCTTGTATGCATAAATAAACAAAAAATAAATCTTTAAAAAAAAAGACTGATCCAACTCCATGAGAAAAGGCAACATAAGATTAATAGGAATACCAGAGGTCAAGAGTGAGAAAAAGAACAGAAAATCTATTTAAAGAAATAATGAAAGAAAACTTCCAAACCTAGAGATGGAAATAAAGGTACAAATACAGGAAGCTAAAGGAATCCCAGCATAACTAGATAAAATGAGATTGTCAGTAAGACATGATAGTGAAATTTCTAAAAATTCAACACAAAGAAAGAATGCTTAAGTAGGCAAGGGGAGAGAAGCAGATAACACATAAAGGCACCCACATCAGGCTAGCATCAGACTTTTCTGAAGAAACACTATGAGCAAGGAGGGAATAGAACGGTGTATTCCGAATACTTAAAGGGAAGAACTGCCAGCCAAGAATTCTCTGTGTTGCAAGACTCTCCTTCACATACGATGAGAGAGTAAAGGCCTTTTCAGACATAGAGAAGCTCAAAGAGTTTGCAAACATTAATTAAATCACCCTCCCAAAGACACTGAAGGAGCTTACACACTGAAACCAAAGAACAACAGAAATGAAGAACTAAATAAGGAAATGGACCTATTAAATTAAGATTAAAATGGCAGCAGCAGACTACCACACATCAATAGTCACTTTAAATGTAAATGCACTGAACTCACCAATGAACAGACACAGAGTATCTAGTTGGGTCAGGAAACAGAATCCAAATTTTCTATCTGCAGGAGATATGCGCCTAACTCCAAAGATGAATACAGGCTCAAAGTACAGGATTGGAAAACAATCTTACAATCAAATGGCACTCTAAATAAGGCGAGGACAGTCATACCTATATCAGGCAAAATAGATTTCCACTTAAAAAAGGTAACAAGAGACAAGGAGGGACACTACATAATGACAAAGGGGAACAATACCTCAGAAGACATAACACTTATCAATACATATGCGCCAAGTGAAAGAGCACCAAAATATATTAGGCTATGACTACAAACTCTGAAAATAAGCATTGGAAAAAACACATTTGTGGTAGCAAATTTCAACACCTCACTCTCACTGATGGACAGATCAACCAGACAGAAAATAAACACGGATATAATAACTTTAAATAGAGAATTAGACCTCTTGAACCTCACAGACATATACAGGGCACTGCACACCCCCAAAAGGAGAATACACATTATTTTCTCAAGCACAGAAGGCATATTCTCCAAAATAGAACACATTATGGGATACAAAATAAATATTAATAATTTCATGAAGATTGAAATTATACCCAGCATCTCCTCAGACCATAAAGGTATCAAGCTGGGAATCAATCAAAAGAAAGCAAGGAAATCATTTTAATACATGGAGACTGAACAACACACTACTGAAAGACCACTGGGTTAATGAGGAAATCAAAGGAGAAACTTAAAAACATACCTTGAGACAAAACCAAGCACATGACCATCCAAAACTTACGGAATGCAGCAAAAGCAATACTAAGAGAGAAATACAGCAATGCAGGTCCACATCAAGAAATAAGAAAGAGCCCAAACAACTTTCTTTTTCAGCTTGAGGAATCAGAAAAATAAGAACAAACAAATCCAAAAGCCAACAGAACAGAAATAATACAAATCAAAGCAGAAGTAAATGAAATAGAAATTAAAAAGATAGTCCAAACGATCAATGAACCCAAAAGTTGGTTCTTTGAAAAAAATAAACAAAATAGACAAACCTGTAGCAAGGCTCACCAAGAAAACAATCAGGAAATCTCAAAGAGATAAAAAATGAAAGTAGAGAAATCACAACAGATGCTGCAGAAATTCAGAGGATAATTAGAGACTATTACAAACACTTATATGCAAACAAATTCAATAACCTAGAAGAGATAGACAAATTCTTAGAATTATACAATCATCGAAGACTGAACAGAGAATAGAAAATCTGAACAAACCAATCACAAGCAAGGAAATTGAAACAGTAATCAAAAAACAAGAGTCCACAACCAGATGATTTCACAAGTAAATTCTACCAAACCTTCAAAGACGAACTAATGCCTATCTTGCTGAAGGTCCTCCAAGAAATCAAAAAAGAAGGAATACTTCCAAATACTTTATATGAGGCCAAAAATATTCTAAATACTAAAACCAAGCAAAGACAACACAAAAAAGAAAATTACAGACCAATATTCTTAATGAGCACAGCTGCAAAAGTCCTAATAAAATCTTAGCAAACCAAATCCCAACATGCATTAATATGATCATATACCATGACCAAGAAGGATTCATACCAGGAACATAAGGATGGTTCAACATCCAAAAATTTATCAATATAATTCACCACATCAACAAAACAAAATTTAAAAACCATATGACCGTATCAACAGATGATGGAAAAGCAGTTGATAATATCCAACATTTATTTATTGAAAACCCTCAAAAAACTGGGGATAAACAGAATGTATCTTAATATAATAAAAACCATTTCCAACAAACATATGGCAAGCATCATTCACAATGGTGACAAACTAAAAGCTTTCCCACCAAGACCTGGTACAAGACAAGAATGTCCACTCTCACCACTGCTATTCAACATAGTCTTGGAAGTTCTAGCTAGAGCAATTAGACAAGAGAATGATATACACATTGGGAAAGAAGAAGTAAAGCTATCATTATTTGCAGATGACTTGATAATATATGTAGAGAACCTTCAAGACACCATGGAAAAAGTAACTGAAACTATCAGTTTAGCAAAGTGGCAGGGTATAAAAATCAACACACAGAAATCAGTTGTCTTGCTATTATACAATGAGACAGAAGAGGAAGAAATTAAGAAAGTGATACCATTTAAAATTACATCAGAAAAATTAAATACTTAAGTGTAAACCTAACAAATGAGGTAGAAGATCAACATGAAGAAAACTCTAAGACGTTATTGAAAGAAACAGAAAAAGACACAAAGAAATAAAAAAAATTCCTTGCTCATGGATTAGAAAAATCAACATTGTCAAAATGGCCAAAAGCAATATACAGATTCAATGCAATCCATAAAAATATCAATGGCATATTTTAAAGAACTGGAGAAAATGTTACTGAAATTCGTATAGAATTACAAAAGACCCTGAATAGCAATAGCAATCTTGACAAAGGAAGAGAATGGAGGTTTCACATTTCCAGACCTCAACCTATCCTATAAAGTCACAATTATTAAAATAGTCTAGCACTGGAACAAAACCAGACACAAACCACTGGAATAGAACTGAGAGTCTAGAAGTAAACCCACATATATATGGAAAGCTAATCTATGATAAAGGAGCCAAAAACATACACTGGAACAAGGATAGCCTCTTCAATAAATGATGCTGGGAAAACTGGAGAGCTGCATGCAAAAGAATGAAACTAGACCACCATCTCATACCATACACCAAAATCAACTCAAAATGGATCAAAGACTTGGATGTAAAATCTGAAACCATAAAATACATAGAAGAAAACACAAGCAAAACATTTCATGACATATGCTTTAGATCACCTTTAGGTATTTGTCCCCAACAGCAAGGAAAACAGTGCAGTATATAAACAGCTGGGACTATTTCAAACTGAAAACTTCTGTACAGCAAAAGAAACCATAATTACAATGAAGACACCCTATTGAGTGGGAGAAAATATTTGCACACCATACAGCTGACAAAGGACTGATATAAAAGACAAAAAAATAACTCATAAAATGCTACAAAAACAAAACAAATAACCCAATCAAAAAATGGGCAAAGGAACAAAACAGACACCTCTCCAAAGAAGACATTAAAATGGCCAGCAGGCACATAAAGAAATGTTCATAATCACTAATAATTAGTGAAATGCAAATCATACCTCTGATAATGGTTCATATTGGAAAGACTAGAAACAAGCGCTGGTGAGGATGTGGAGGGAATACTATACTGCTGGTGGGAATGCAAACTGATCCAGCCCTTATGGAGAGCAGTATTATGGAGGTATCTCAAAACATTAAATATGGATCTGTCATTTAATGCAGTAGTTCTACACCTAGACACCTACTCCAAAAATTCAAAAACACTAATTTGAAAGGAAACTTGCACTTTCATGTTTATTGCAGCAATATATACTATAGCTAAACTATGGGAACAACTAAAGTACCCTAGAACAGATGAGTGGATCAAGAAGATGTGTTAATCCATACACAATGGAATACCACTCAGCGATCAAAAAAGATAAACTCATGCCATTTGTGGTAACATGAATGGAGCTTGAAGGGATAATGCTAAGTGAAATAAGTCAGCAGAAGAAAGAGAAATACTGGATGGTGCCACTAATATGTGGAATATAAAGTAACTAAATTAATAGTTATATAAAGACAAGCTGAAAAAGTAAGCCCTAACTGCTGACTGAAGAATTGAGACACCAGGGGCAAGGAGTGGAGGAGGCAAGAACAACTGCTGCGCTTGCAAGACCCAATCCGCGCTCTCATTCTGCAGAGGAGAGGAGAGCAGCTTCCCTTCGGACCAGGGGCCTGGGAGGCAATGTCTTTAATCCTTTTGCTGACAGTGTTGCAGGGAATATCCTGACATGTCATTCTGCACACATGAATACTATGTAGGGTATAGTCCAAGGGATGGAATTGTAGGGTCAAAGGGTCTGTACATTTATCAGTATTATAACAGAAACATGCTTCAAACTATTCTGTAATTTGCAGTCCCTTCCTATGTGAGTCAAGCAACTTGCCATTCCTGCTATGTACCTGCATATTTACTGCAAGGCCCTGAGGCAACCAAAGATAGGCTGCCAGAGGATGAGCTTAAGTAGCCTGCTGATGATTATGAATGGGAAAAAAACTAAGAAAGAGAAGATCCAAAAATACTATTTTGCTTAATTATCTATTTCCCTAAAATTGGGACCTCCCTGATGGTACAGGAAATGGGAGACAGCCTCACAATCTAATCACCCCGTCTAGGGCTTATAAGGTCTGGAGGTAAAAGTCCCCTTTCTTTAAATTTGTTCTGTTTTTCTCTCCTAAATGTAGACTCTACATTTAGAATGCACCAGAATGACCAGACAAGAGAGACCACTAGTCTATGTATGGGCCTTAGTGTGCAAATATTAGTTTATCTTTTCTCTTGCTAATCTCTCTTGTGTCAATTTTATTATGTTCGAGCTTGTGACCTAGAAGGGCAGAGGAACAATAGTTTGCCCTCCAGCAGCCCTTTGCAGGGAGTGGAAACACCAAGATGAGTTCAGTGAGACTCCAGTGGCTAGCCAGGGAAGACAGGGCCTTCAGAGGCAATGAGTTCAATTGCCCTTTCAACACCAAGAGGGTGGGAGCGCACACTTTGTTTCCGCCTCTGCAAAGTGGGGATAAGACCTACAAAGTGCTGTTTGAAAATTAAGAAAGATGACATAACGTGACCACTGTCACCCCAGAGAAGGGCATGAGAACCGGCAGACGGGGATCCTTACATGTATCTTGCCCTTGACGAAGGTGGTGATATCTTCCTCATTGTCAAATATAGACAGTGTCTGCAGTAAGTTATTTTCCAGCCATTCCCAGTGTTTTGTGATTTCTCTGCGAGAAGAACCTAGGCAAACAAAAAAAGGAAAATCATAAAATCATCAGTCCATAAACACAAATTCAAAGATGAGAGATTGGGTGGCCTGATTTGGTATATCCAAGCGACTGCAATCATTACTCTTCCTCATTAAGTTTTATGCATAAATTTAAAAACTAAGCCCTGACTCCATGCCCAGCAAACAAGTCTGGGAGGCTTGAATGGATAAAGGGAGTGGATAGGACTGCCTCAGGAACTGATGTTTATGCTGATGATATGAATAATTAGTCAGCACACACCCAAGACTAGTCACCCGTGCCAATCAATGATGCCTGGAGTATAACTAGATCCTGGGCCCCTCTCTATGCAGCAGACCTATCCTGTCTTACCTGCTGCTTCTCTTAGCAGTATATTTCAACAAATCTGCCTTTATAGTTCTCCACTCTGTCTCTGATGAATTCTTTTACCCCTGCACCTCCAGCCTACACCCCGATTCTTTCCCACAGCAACCTGTATACAACAAAAATTGTAATGATTAAACCTAGAATCCTACAATTTACAGTGAGTCATAATAGACAAAAGTAAAAAACGGTAAAGACAAAAATGAAATAATTTCAGGCAGAGTCATATAGTCACATGGAAAGTAAAGACAAGCCTCCATCTTTCCCTAAAGCCAAGAAAGTGAGCACTAGATTTCTATTATCCTTCCAGAAATCGTCCATACATCTGCAAGTTTGATTATGTATAAAATTTTTCTGCAAGGTGAAAGGACTCAATGTGGTCTTCGATATATATGTGATTACACAGACTTGGTATAAGTGACTGCAGCTCTCCTCAAAATTCAAGTGTCCAGGAATGGCAGCTGGGGCTTCCTGCAGGACTCTAGACCTTGGCCAGTTGTTTTACTGCTGGGGGACCAGAGGCTCCTAGACCTCATTCAGAAGCCAGACATGTCCACTCAGGATGGAAAAACTTAGAAAAGGCAACACAATGCTACACCCAAAGGGAGGGAACAGCTATTCTTCTGCTCCCTTCAGATAATTGGCAAAGGGGTCTAATTATCTGAATTGGAAATGGAGGAGAATTAAAGGATGAAAGAAGTCTCCACCTGTCCTGACTTCTTCTGCCTCTCCAGACACCCGTTTTGGGGGTTTTGCATGTGTCTAGCATGGGGTTTGTACTCAAGAAATGTTTTCTAAGTAAATGAACACAAAACTAAGAAAAAGAGGAACAGCTGTCTTGGGGAACAGTCTGCTGTGAAAATCCAGAAGGTTCAGTCGAACCAGTGACCCAGCAGGCTGGCACATTTGGCAAGGAGGGAGCATTAGCACGTAAGACACATCTTACATCGCTATGGGCCACAGACATTTTGCTGGGGCATCTCATCCCACCACCCCATCCTTCCCTACAAAACTTTTCTACCAACTGAAGAATAAGCCCTGACCCTAATCTGGCCAGGCTGAGCTGGCCCCTGCCCAGGCACTTGATTGCTGTTCTGTCCCATGTCACAGCCAGTCAGTCTTGGCTAGCTTAGGGCTGATTTGTTTGTTTCTTTACATTTGCCCAACCAGCTCATGCCCCTAACAAAAAATTCTGTAAGAAAAAACCCCCCTAGGTGAAAAAGATTAAACCCAGACTCCTACAATTTACAATGAATTACAAAATGTAAGAAAATTATTCCTGGATTAGCCATATTTCTCTTCTTTCCCTTTCATTTTTCTTTGTCTATTATGGCTTCCTTTTCCTGGTGCACAAAGAACAGGTCTAGTTGTAGAGTAGGGAATCTCTCTCCCTTTTTAAAAAAATATATTTATTTATGCATACAAGACCTGGAGTGTAGGCCAGAGGTGCAGGGGGTGAGAAGATTCACCAGAGACAGAGTGGGGAGCAGAACAGGCAGATCCAGTGAAATACACTGCTGAGGGGAGCAGTGGGCGAGACAGGAGAGGTCTGCTGCGCCATGTGGGTTAGCTCCCTGGCTGGGAATGGAACTCAGGCCACAGTGGCTGGCGATAGCTTGATAGCGCTGAAACTTAACACCTGCACCACCAAGGAGACCATCTCACTGTATTTTTGCCAAGAACCCACATTTGAATTTGGAAGTGAGATTTCCATGTAATCAACTCTATGTATCATGGTCTTCACACACATGTTCCTAGCAGCCAAAACTAGAAGAAATCTTATCTATACTTTAATTATAAACATTTACATATGTACATTTCAAATAATTATTAGTTAAAAGTCACAATCTTCACTTAGCACTATGCAACAAATTATGCCATCTCTCTACTAGGTACCAGGAGTAAAAAGTTTTACAAGCCAGCTGAATTAAACGTAATTTCTGTTTTCAGAACTTTTCAGACAATAATTAAACGTAATTTCTATTTTCAGAACTTTTCAATTTTATTTAATTCTTGGGAGCACTGTGGAACTAGGTACCATGATGTTCATTTCTTTTTTTTTTTTTTAAAGATTTATGCATATAAGAACTGGGGTGCAGGCCAGAGGTGCGGGGGTGGGGGGCAGAATAGGCAGACTGACTGAAATACACTGCTGAGGGGAGCAGCGGGCGAGACAGGAGAGGTCTGCTGCACCATGTGGGTCACCTCCATAGCTGGGGATTGAACTTTGTTGCAGTGGCTGCGGATAGCTTCACTGTGCTGACACTTAACCCCTTGTGCTACCAGGTAGGCCCCCAGGATGTTCATTTCATGTTGTTTATTTGTTGAAACAATCATTATTTAATTAGATTCTTTGTAGGGAATTTAGAACACCAATTTGTTAGGGTAAATCCATTTGTGAGAGCAAACACATAGTGGAGGTCACCGTGGAGTTGAGGAACAGCTTTGATTATTGGCTGAATTTGTGGGTCCACAGTTTTCTGATCAACCTTGCACTCACTGCTTTCTTATCTCATTATTTCTCCTTTTCTGTGTTGAAGATCTCACCTTCCTGGTGTTGGGGCTGATGCAGTTTCTTATTCTTGAAGGAAGCATCAGTGAGAAGTTTTGAGATCTTTACACCACTGATGTCAGTGTTGGTGGAGGTGGTGATGACAAATTGCTGGTGTGTCCTATGCAGCGGAGGTGGATTGAGGGATAGAGGTCCAGTCACAAGTAGCCAGTCACTGCCCAGCTGCGTCAGAAAACTTCCTCCCTCTGTGCCACCCTGTTAAGATGGTCAGCACGGTCCCAGGAATGATGCAGCTCAGTTTTCTCACATGCTGACTGAAGGGTTTTTGGCACATCTTTCATGGCACATCTTCATTAGGATGGTATTGAGGCATCTTGCAGACACTCAGGTACCACCTTTGTTGTCACTATTAACTGGTTTTGTGAGGGTACAAGAACTTTTTCCTTTTTCTTTTCAATCCTGGATTTAGCTGCTGAATACTTCCTCTTGTACGTGGCCTTTCTGGAACACACAGCTGATAGGAACTATCTGCCAATTCCTCTCATTAGGACAGGGTTTCCGCTACAGTGGAGCTTCCTCTTCTTAGGGGTTTTGGTCTTCTTGACCTTGTTGCCAGCATTAGCTTTCTTGGCTTCAGGTCTCTTCTCTTTAGTAGTTGCTTTCTCAGCTTTTTTAACCTACCATCTTGCAAGATGGGAAAGTGACTGAGGCCACCCATGATTTTCATTTCATAGAATGAAATTGAGGCATAGAGAAGTATGTTGCCCAAGGTCACACAGCTGGGGAGTGACCTAGCCCAGGCTGCCCTACTGAGCCTAACTTCAGGAAAGCTAGCAAGCCTTCTGTGATCTCAAAACTTCTGTGTGACAATGCCCCCAGGAGATGTGGCAAGTGTAGGGGAGTAAGAAGGAAGAGTGGGTATGTGGGCCTGAAATCTGTGAAGGCAGTCATGGGGGCTGGGGTGGCATCAGAGTGGGAAGAGGAGTTTGGTGGATGCAGGGGACACTGTACACACGGGCCAGGACAGGTGTGATTGGGAACTTCAGGTCCCATGAGTGTCCTCTCAGGTTAAAGGACAGGTATGTGTTGGAGGGTCAGGGGGAGGAGGCAGATCCTGAAAGTTCTTTAATGGCAGGTTAAGAAGTTGGGGTTTCTTGGGCAGGTGCCAGCAGGACCATGTCTGGTTTTGGAGAGCTGAAGTGGAGGGAGGGCTGGGCAGAGGCCATGTAAGAGCTGGGGGTATGGCAGAGCGGGAGGAGGTCAGTGTGGGATACCTGAGGCTTGGGGCTGGAGCTCCCCAGTCCCAAGTCCTGATGTGACAAAAGGGGTTTTCACACAGCATGGCCACACTCAACTATAGCCACTTCTCTTCCCACGAAGAGTCTGTTCTCACTGTCACTGTCCTTTCTCCATCTGCTCCCTAAGAAAGAATGCTGAAACAGAGATGAAAACCTCCAGAGCCTGTTTTAGAGTAAAGCATGGCCTCTGTATGCACCAACCTCCTATGCCCCTCTCAGGGAGAGTCCCCACCCAACAGGAAGTCCCTCTTTTCAGCTGGGAAACCAGCCTCTGTTCTGCGCTTCCCCACCCTCACCCAGTGCTCCACTCAGGCTCTGGAACCAGTAGAGCAGGGTAACTGCAGGCTTCCAATTTGGCCTTAGATAAATTCACCTTCTATGCCTTTGTCCAATCATTTCCACAAAGGGGTAGGCAACCTCTGCTCTGGCACCTGTGAGGAGGAAGGGATCTGCCTAGCCCAGCACCCAGAGCAGGGCCCGCCTATTAAGGGGTGGTATGCAAGCTGCTGCCTGCCCTGTGCTTTCACTTCTTGACCTCTCCCCTCCCAAAGCTGAGGCCAGCTGTCTGATCTTCTCAAATCTCCAAGGAAAACCATTCTTCCTGAGGGACAGTGACACTGTGGCTTCTAGCACAGAGAAGGATTCAGAACATTGGATATGAGCAGATGCTCTGGGCCTGAACGGCAATTCCGTGTGACCTTGGTAGGGCTAGTTACCTAACCCCTTTGGGCTATGGTTTCCTCATCTTCAAAATACAGAACACTCAACACTTGAACAACATGGGCTTGAACATGAGGGTCCAATTATATGTGCATTTTTTCCTATCTGTGGGTTCTGAAACATCAAATTTGCCAATGCTGTTCACAGGGGAGCTATGGGGCTAAGTGTCTGAGAGCCTTTGGTCACCTTTTCACCAACAAGTCAATGTATAACTCTGTTTTATGTGTTCTGTTGAAAGCCATCTTACTTAATGCATATCGTTAAGTCACTGACATTGAATCCAAAGCCTGCAGCACTTTACCTTGTATCTGGATGAAGTTCCTTTAACATACTTTCTCCATAAAGTACATAGACATTTCTGAGTTTAGGAACACCATTCAGAATTTTAGCACTATACTCTAGGCCATTTTAAGCAGTAAAATCAGCCCTTCCCCAACTCACAAAAATCATGGCAGCTGAACAGTCAAGGAAAGTCCACTTGTTTACAGTTTGAGTTGAAACAAGAAGGCAGAAGAAAACCTTGTCCCACTTCATCTGGGGAACTGTGTATCTGGCAACTTGAATTTTTTGAGACTCTGTACATGCATATTCTCATGCATGTCCACAAATGACCCCAAAATCACCTCAAGTACTGATTTTGGGGTTTATGGATACATTTTATCAAGTAGGGGAGTTTGAAAAATGGAGCAGACAAATAATAAGAATCAACTTATCTATTTTGGAAAAGGTGGGCACCAGATTGTGGACACTACTCCAGCAGAGTCCTCAGGCAGCTCCCAGGGTTTCCAGGGGCCATCTTTCACCTGTGAACAACTGGCTCCTTCACTAAGCTGTAAGCTGGCCAGGGCTGTGCTGTGGGAGTAAGGAGCAGCCTGGTTCTCAAGTTGGTGATATCCAGCCCAGGAATGCCAGCGGCACACCCCCTTCCCTCCTGGGAGCCAACCCAGTACGCCTGGTGAGTCAGGGCACCTACCGCACGCCACTGTCCAGTAGACCTGTGAGTCCTGGGTCTGATGCAGGATGCGGTAAGGGGCCACACGGGCACTGGAGTCCAGCACCACATCCAGAGTACCCACAAGAAGACCTGTGAGCAGGGCAGAGAGAGGGTGAGAGTGAGGGAGGGCAACCAGTATGTGGAACTGTCCCTAACACCCCAGCCCAGGGAGGGGGGAAATCTTGAATCACCTCCTCATCAAATGACTTCTTCCTCAAAAGCTTTCAGCCCATGTATACTCCCTATCAACCCGCCTCCTACTTCTTCCAGGAAGCTTCTGCTTCTCCTGACCCAGAAACACTTGCAGGGAGGGGTAGATTTTATGGGGCCCAAAGCTCAAAAAATTCTGGGAGGTCCTCTTTAAGAAAAACATAAAATTAGGTTTGAAAACAAGTATTTCTTTAGAATGAGAAAATATCATAGTTACATATTACAAACAAAAAAGAATAAGACCACAAATGCAATAAAGTCAGGGGAGAAAATACAATGTGTTTTATTAACTTCCAGATGAATCTTTTAAGAAACTTTTCCCCCAGACATTTCTGGCCTTGTATTCTGATTGCTTTGTTGCAAGACAGTAATTCTATAACTTCATTTTCTGCATCTGCCACAAGATCACCCATGTTTATTATTTTAAGGTTAAGGAACTTTCTTGCAGCTTCAAGTCATGACTGAAAAAGACATAGATATTTTTAGAATTCTTCAATTTGGAAAAACATTATTCAGTCTTTCTCCCATTTTTGACAGATGCATTCCAAGTTTTCCTTCTCATCACATATACCTTTTGTCAGTGTCACTATTTCTTCAACAAATCAGAGGAAAAGTTTATCTTTTACCACTGTCTCTGAATTATCAAGCAATCTAAAAATCCGTTCATTGCTCCATTTTGAACTGCATTTCCCCCCTTCTAGCCAAGTGTTACACTTTAGGTAGACTCTGAAAATATTTTGTTACCATTCTCCTGTTCATGTTATAGTAATTTCTACTGATTTTATTACTCAACTTTAACACTGTTGTTTTATGTCATATTTTTAATTTGGTTATTAAAAATAATCAGTTTTTAATACATAAAATTAATGATTACAAAAGAGGGTACTTTTCACATATATCTAAATCAGGAGTCCGTAATCTCACTTGATTTACCAAAACATTCTCGAATGTCTTTCTAAATTGCCGTTAAAGTAGCATATTCTAATTTTATTTGCATTTGGAATAAGATTTTTCTGTTTGTGTGGGGTTACTCTTCTGGTCTTAGGAATTTTATCAGATCTTTACATTGCCAGCATATCTATGCTGCAAGACCTGAACACTTTGTAATAGGCACCCATCTTGTCATCCGCAGACTTCAACAATGAATTCAGGTTGGCATGTTTTTAAAAGACAGTTTTAACAAAACCACATCACCAGCTGTTCTAGGTTACTATGTCTCAAATGGCACAGGGAAGGTCACAGTAGGAGCAGGGAGTTCTAGGAGTAGCTCCTGGAGGAGGGGGGTAGGGGGAGGAATTCAGGGATCTCCATTGTTTTTTTTTTTTTTTAAAGATTGATTGATTGATTGATTGATTGATTTATACAAGCACTGGGTACAGTCAGAAGCGCAGGGTGAGAGAATTCACCAGAACCAGAGCGGGGAGCAGAGCAGGCAGAAGGACCGAAGTACACTGCTGAGGGGAGCAGCGGGCGGCAGGAGAGGTCTGCCTGCCATGCGGGACCCTCCTCTGGTGGCCGGGGAGCAGCCGGGGATCGAACCGGCGCCGCAAGGCCGCGGGCAGCTTTGCAACCCAGCGCTCAATCGCTGCACCACTGGGGAGGCCCAGGGATCTCCATTGTTGAGGACACACAGAAAGGTGTGGTGGAAGGGATCAACTCTGCAGGATGCCCAAGGGGGCCTATCTACTCACCCAGATGGACTACAGAAACCCAGAGCAAGCGCCGAAGGCATGGTGACTGAATCGGGCACACTGGTATACTGATGCAACAGAAGGCAATGGGCACTAGGGGCTCACTTCCAAAACAGGCTTGCAATAGCTTTCAAATTTGATGACTGGTCAGTCTCTCCAGGGGAGCTGCTGAACCGTCCTGAAACAGCTTGGTCCGGGGAGACAGGTCCAGCACTAGCTCCTGTGACTGCTGGGAGGGAGCCCAAGGCACTGAAGAGAAGAATGAGTTTTCTTGGGAAGTACAATCTCTACTACATTAGGAGGTGTGGCCCAGGAGACACTGGTGGCAGGGGCTGGTGGCTTTTCTTGGGAAGTTTCTGTTTGAAGCTAGTAGGTCTCTATCAGCTGTTGATGTTTAAAATGACAGAAAACTCTCTCGGTAAGTAGATGATCCAGCAACACTGGGGTAACAGACCTACATGGCAACAACGGGCTGCCCTAGGAGCACAGGGCCTGGTGGAGCCCTGAGCCTGACCCAGCTTTGTTCTGGTGGTGCCTAGAGGTCCTGGAGCAGGAGAGGTCCTGGGCAGCACCTGCAAAGGGAACGTGCCCTGGACTCTACACGGCACCCACTGTGAGGCGTTTGCCTAGTCTCCTCCAGTGTGGAACCCGGCGAGGCAAAGGGGCACCTTGACTAGCTACCCAGAACACAGAACACCAGTAACCCAGCAGCCGGTAGTCTGCAGCCCAGCTTGCACCAAGAGGCAGGAAAGGTGGGTGAGGAGATGCTGGGAGTGAGGCCAAGCAGCAACTGGGGGGCTTGGGAAGGGTGCGGCGGGGAGAGTGATTTTGCTAAAAGAGCAATTCTTTGCAGAGTTTGTGAATGAAGGAAGCGAAAGCGAACGGGTGCTTGTGTCACTTGGCCCTTCCGAGGCATCGGGGAAACTGAGCCGGAGGAAACGGGCTGAGAATCTCGCTTTAACCCCCTGACGCCAGCGCCCACCCCGCCCCAGTTCCCGGCGCCGCCAAGCCGCCGCGGCCGGCTCGGCTCGGCTCGGCTCGGCTCGGCTCGGCTCGGCCCGCCCGGCCCGGCCCGGCCGGCCCGGCCCGGCCCGGCCCCGCCCCCCCCGAGACCCGCTCCTCGCCCCCGCCCGGCGCCCACGTCCCACCCAGACCCGCTCCTCGCCCCCGCCCCCGCCCCCGACCCCGCCCCGGGCCACGCAGCGCCGCCTCGCGCCCCCCGCTCCCTCCGCGCGCGCTGACGTGCGCGTCCGCGGCGCCGCCCGAGGCCCGGCCTGTCCCGGGTCGGTGGTACCGGCCCCGCCGCCGGCGCGCTCCCGCCGCCGCTCACCCGTGAGGCCGCCGCCCTTGCCGTGCCCCCGGCGCCGCTGCAGCACGAAGAAGGGGTTGGCCCGCTCGGTCACCCACAGCGCGTTGGCCACCAGCACCTCCTCCGGGCCCAGCCACATCGCGGCGCCGCTCGCACCGGGCCGAGGCCCGCCAGGCGGAAGCGCCGCCGCCGCCGCCGGAGCCGAGCGGGAGGGGCGGGGCGGGGCGGCGGGGCGGGCGGGCGGGCGGGATGGCGCCCCCTGGCGGCCCCGCGGGCGCGCGCAGGCTCCGCCGGCCCACCCCGCCTCCCGCCACGGTCTCGCCCGGCGCCGCCGCGCGGCTGTCTGTCGCCCTCCCCTCCCGGGCCCCCGCGGCGCAGCCGGCGCGGAGGAGCGGAACGGCCAACCCGCGGCCGCGGGCTGCTTCCCGCGACGGCGCAGCAGAGGAGCTGGCTGTGCAGGCCCCTGGCGCTTCCGTGAGACTTGGCCAGGCTCCGGAGAAGAATGGAGAGAAACAGCGCGCACACTTCTGACTGACCGAGTCGTGCAGCCCAGCGCCTGTGAACATGGCGAAGGGCGCCAGGAAAGGGGTTGGACGGTGAGAATTTCCGGAGTTTCCGCACTAGGGCAGACCCTCCGGGAGCCTAGGACAGGCGGCTGGGCGCCCCAAGGCAGGCGCCACGCAGAAGTCAGCGTTGTCGCTCACCTGGCCCACGGGGCAGAGGCTGGTGGTCTTGAGTCTGGAGCAGGGCCCGCTGTGGACCAGAGGAGGTTTCTGCGAATGAACAGACATGAGGCACGTGGCTTGGGGGCAGATGGACCCTGCTCTCTTCGTGCTGACCTGTAGGGGTCCGACCCCTCACTGTCCAGTCACGCACCCTTTTGTTTATTTAAATTTTATTTTTATATTCCCCATACAATTACAACCCCCTTATTTTGACCCCAACCTCTCCTTTCCCCGCCCCCCACCTCCCATAGAGTGTCTCTGGTTCATAGTTGTTTGTTGATTTTGATTTTTACTTTCTTATAGCTATTCTTTTTCCTGATCCCTTATTTAAGTTTTCTAGATTCCTGCTATGAGTGAGACCATCCGGTATTTTCCTTTTTCTTTCTGGCTTATTTCGCTGAGCATGATCCCTTCCAGCTCCATCCATGTTGCTGCAAATTGCATGTGTTTATCTTTTTTGAAGGCTGAGTAATATTCCATGATATATATATATATATATATATATATATATATATATATATATATATATATATACACACCACATCTTCTTGATCCACTCATCTATTTTTGGGCATTTGGGTTGTTTCCAAAGCTTAGCTATTGTAAATAGTGCTGCTATAAACATAGGCGTGCAGGTGTTCTTTGGATTTGATGTTTGTGTCCTTTGGGTAAATGCCTAGGAGTGGAAGCTCTATGTTTAGTAGGTCCAGAAATCTCCACAAAGCTCTCCACAGTGGTTGGACCAGTTTGCACTCCCACCAGCAGTGCAGAAGAGTTCCTTTTTCTCCACACCCTCGCCAACATTTGTTGTTGCTAGTTTTTTTAATATGTGCCATTCTCACTGGTGTAAGATGGTGTCTCATTGTGGTTTTGATTTGCATTTCCCTGATTACAAGTGATGTTGAACAATTTTTCATATGCCTGTTGGCCATTTGCATTTCCTCTTCAGAGAAGTTTCTTTTTAGTTCTTCTGCCCTTTTTTTGACTGGATTATTTTCTTTGTTTTTGTTGAGTCTCATCAGCTCTTTGTAGAATTTGGTGATCAGTCCTTTATCATTAGTGTTGTGTGCAAAAATGTTCTCCCAGTCGGTGGGGTTTCTCTTTGTTTTTGTTATTGTCTCTTTTGACACGCACCCTTTTGAGTGACAGGGGAGTGGCTAACTCCATCTGTGGATTCCAGGATCACCCTCCTGGTCAAGCCCTCCTCCCAGGAGCTGGCAGGAGGAAAGAGGGAAGGGCCACTTCAGAATCATATTGTGAGACTTAAACTGATTTTGAATTGGGTTTCTGTCTCTGGCATTCAGGAATCTAATATGACAGGTATAGGTACAAAAAGCTTCATGTGTGACAAACCAGAGTGATGGAGAGCCTTCTGAAATGCTGTAAAAGCAGGTTTTCTTTAAGACCTTGGAAACTTAAAGGATATGTGTCATTGTGTGCTCTTTGGGGAGAAATCAACTCTGAAGAAATAGGAAGTTCTTAACACCCTGGAATAGGGTTTTTTTGTTCTTTCATCCCACTGGTTCTCCATCAGATATGTGCATTAGAATCACCTGCAGTGTTTGTTATAGCCGATTGCTGAGGTCTACCTCACAGTGTTTGCGTTTAAAATACCACATTCCTAGATGATGTTGATGTTAAGGATCTGGAGATCACCTTTTGAGAACTGTATTTACAAGAAGGAAAAGAACTAACATTTATTGAGCACTCAGGATGTGCTAAGCCTACTTCATTTTAAAAATGAGATGTAATTCACACTCCGTAAAATTCACCCTTTCAAAGTGCAAATTCAGTGACTGTGAGTATATTCACAAAATTTTGCAGTAATAACCACTAATTCCAGATGATTTTTGTCGCCCTGAAAAGGAACCCCTTACCCATTAGCAGTCATTCCCCTGCTAGCCCCATCCCTGACAACCACTATTTTATTTCTGACTTGATAGATTTGCCTGTTCTGAATAGTTCATACAAATGAAATCATGCAATATGTGACCCTTTGTGCCTTCTTTCACTTACCATATTTTCAAGGTTAATGTTATAACATGTATCAGTACTTCATTACTTTTTATGGCTGAATACTATTCCAAATTATAGATGTGGATCACATTCTGTTTGTTCAGTCAACTTTTGGTGGGTTTTGGGTTGTTTCCCCTTTTGGCTATGTTTGCGTAATGCTTCTGGGAATACCTGCAGGGAAGTTTTTGTGTAAACATTTTTAGTTCCCCTGGGTATATCCATAGGTATATACAGTTTCAAGCTCATATGGTAAAAATTATGTTTAACTTGGGGCCTCCCCTGGTGGTGCAGCGGTTGAGTGCTGGGCTGCGAAGCTGCGTGCAGCCTCAGCAGCACCGGTGTGATCCCCGGCCGCCAGGCGAGTGTTCCACATGGCGCGCAGACCTCTCCTGCCGCCTGCTGCTTCCCTCAGCAGTGTACTTCGTCACTCTGCTTGTTCTGCTCCCCGCTCTGGCTCTGGTGAATTCTCTCACCCTCCCGCGCTTCTGACTGTACCCAGTGCTTGTAAGAATAAATAAATCTTTCAAAAAAAGATTATGTTTAACTTTTTTTAGGAACTGTCAAACTTCTCCAAAGTAACCACTTCACTTCATATTCCTACCTACAGTGTATGAGGGCTGCAGGTTTTCTGTTAACACTTGATACTGTTTTTTTTTAAATTGTGGTCATCCTAGAGGGCATGATGTGGTTTCTCATGTGCTTTGGATTTGCATTTCCTTAATGACATACGATGTCGAGCATCTTGTCATGTGCTTGATGGTCACATGTATATATTCTTTGGAGAAATGCCCCTTATCCTTTGCCCAATTTTATATTGGATTTTTAAAATTAATTTTTAAGAGTTATATATATATTCTGGATATTAGACCATTATTTGATATATATTAAGCCTACTTTTAACTATTTTATAGCTAATCCCCAAATTTTAACCCTATTTTATGATCCTTATTTTAGAGAAATTTAGAGAAAAAATCCTTATTTCTCTAAAATAAGGATCATATGAAACTGAACTCCAGACAGTTAAAATGATTTGCCAAATGCATGCTTATAAGGGAGTATTTCATATAAGTGAAATCATATATGTGGCCCTTTGTGTCCTGTTTCTTTCACTTACCATATGACCAAGGTTTATGTCATAATGTGTAACAGTGATAGAGGTGGTTCTAATGGCTCCACCTTTTTGGTGGTTTCACACCATTTTGGTCTTTTCTACATATATTGGATATTTGCTGCTTTTGTCCCAACATCCACTTCTCCCTATGCAGCAGTTTGATTTTGCTGGGGGAACCACACCTTAGGATTCTCTTCAGGTAAAGCTGAATGCACTCCTGGGATGCGATGTAGAACCCAGGCTGGCCTTGGCTATCACTGCATCTATCTCTGTGACCACAGTGGCTGGTTCCATGATGGCCATGTGCTTCTAATCAAGCCAATCAGGGCCAAGGTGATGCCATTCTGGCCTGGGTTCCAAGACCAGCTCTTGTGCTGATGGGGCCACCACCACCCTGAGCCTGAGGGTGGAGCTTACCTGGATGAAGCAAAGCTGCCAAATGTATCCTGGTAGCAATGTTTGAAGACCAAACCATGCATACCCATAGCATTTTAGCTTTTGTGAGCCACTATATTCCCCTTTTGCTTAGTCACTTTTGATTGGGTTTCTATTACTTGCAGCCAAAAATGTCCTCACTGATGTAGGAACAGTACTCCATGTGGCCAAACCATCTTTTTAAATACATTTTTATTGAAATGATTATATTAGCAAATTGCGCACATATAGGTATACACTATCAGCATATAGGTATATACCATAAATTTCACTACTTAATTATACTTACATCAACCACGTGGACCTAGGAGTTGTGCTGCCCAGAGCATTTCAATGGGCTTAGAAGATCTGATTGACAATAAATCAGCTCACATTCTACTTGCAGGTATCTGTGTTCTAGATAGGGTAATCTCCTCTACAGTGAGCCCCTGAAATTAAGCTAATGATCAGCTTTTCTTTTTGGCTATTTGGTGTGTGTTCTTTCTGGCACAAGCTATCCAATGGTGAATTAAAATTCAAGTGCATAGTTTCCCATTCATTCCTCAAGGTGGTAGGTAAGTCATTTGCCATATTTAGGTATATTCCAAGCCTCCCCCACCCCAAATTACCTGTGCTATAGTTAGAAAAATAGTTTTGTATGCCATCCTCTGAGATGTTGTGCATAGTTATCAGGAACCCAGCATATGAGGAGCTCTTTGAGTGACCCAAATATGAAAGGGGTAACTTTAATATTTTATATGAGTATAAAAGCTACTGAGGGTCAAAACAATTGTGGCATATGTAGACTAGGATTTGGACCAACTCCTTCTGAGGTACAGGAACAGGATTGTTCTATTTGGTGATGGTGTTCTCCATACCTCAAATAGTATTTCCTGTGTCTGTAATCATATCGGTCAAGTTTCCTTAGAGCCATTGCCACTTTGCAGTAGACCCTGCTTTCCATTCTCAGCACAGGACACCAGATTCTAGCCCCCAACATCAGCCAAAGGTTTCCTTCCTTTGGTCAGGTCAGCAAGACAGGCCTGGGCTTCCAGGGAAAGAAGAAACACAGAGATCTCTCCATTTCTTTCTGGGTGGCATGTGTCATCTCAGGCTGGTACCCTGGCTCTGGCCAAACCTACTGACTGGTCTCCATCAGCACGCTGGCAGTCAGTAGAAAACTGATTAGCCTTTCTGCTTAGGAACAGCTTACTCACCTGAAGGGGGAGAAATGTCCTGGGACATGCTAGTCTACCTACCCTCTACCCCTTTTTTGTTTTTTACAATCACCTTTGCTCAACACCTTTCAGTAATTAAAAAAGCCCTTTAATATCACGTAGCATAATTGGACTGAATGATGAAGGACAATTTTCAAAGCAAATCAGAGTTCACTTTACGTTGGGTTAAATTTCTAAAAAGTAGCTCAGGACAATTACCTGTAACCCCTGACAGTTTCTAGTAGTAGCAGTAAAGAGAGCTGGAAAATGAGGGTGAGAATTCGCTTACTACTGAGCACTACGCAGGCCCACTGTTTCTGAGCGTGCCATGTCTCCCAGCCTCCACACCATGTCTGTGCCATTTCAGGCCTCCATCTCACTTGGGACATGCATGTGGAAGGGTCAGTGGGAGGCAGTAGGAATGTCCAGGCAGAGATCTGGCCACTCCAGCAGCACTCAATCCTTCTGAAAGTTTAATACTCAAGTTGCTCAAAGTTCAAAGTTTTAGTTTTTTGTTTGTCATAAAGTATCTTCCTTCTTCCCCAAGTAAGAGTGAAGAAAACAGAAAACACAGTTTTAGCTAAGGTGGATTACAAGAGGGAAAACCCCAGATAAATTTCAGGTCAGGGCCAGGGCGCCCCTCAGGCCCTTGTGGGGCCATGAGAGCCCAGTCTTGGGCATTGATGTGTCCGCCTCGTAGTAGCTTGTCGCACTGCTCCTCCCACGGTCACTGAAGGAGAGTGGGGCGCAGAGCTGGAGAAGGTAGGTGACTCGTCCCCCTGTGTCTATTGCGGGCATACCTGTCTTCTCTTCTTCAAGGCTCAGTTTATTGGGATCTTTCCAGACACCCCTAAGAAAGAGAGCAAACCTCCCCCACTAAATCCCCAGAGGAGACCCAAGGCCACAAGGTGCCACCTGACCTCATAACCCCAGAGGAATGAGGAGTCCAGTTGCAGACATGGCCTCTGTGGGGGAAACCTCCCCCTAAGGCATAGGCTTATGGAGTCCACACACTGCTTTGCCTGCAGTTTCGCAGGATAGTAAAGAAAGTGGGATTCCACTAGCAAACAGACATCTTACCTCTGACTCCTTCTGTCTTTATATTCTCTGATGTTATGAAACTTATATTTAAGATGTTCTCTGGTCCTGTAGAAAGAATCTTAACCATAGCCTCCCCGGTGGCGCAGCGGTTGAGCGCTGGGTTGCAAAGCTGCCGGCGACCTCTGCGGCGCCGGTTCGATCCCTGGCTGCTCCCCGGCCACCGAAGGAGGGTCCCACATGGCGCGCAGACCTCTCCTGCCGCCCGCTGCTCCCCTCAGCAGTGTACTTCGGTCTTTCTGCCTGCTCTGCTCCCCGCTCTGGCTCTGGTGAATTCTCTCACCCTCCCGCGCTTCTGACTGTACCCAGTGCATGTATAAACAAACAAACAAAAAAAAAAACGAACGAACAAACAAACAAATAAAAAAAAAAAAAGTTTCTAAATTTATAAAAAAAAAAAAATAAAAAAAAAAAGAATCTTAACCATAACCATGGATGTTATATGAATATGTATACTCAACATTCATCCTTTTCCCTATGGGCTTTGGAACAATTTACCAACAAGGCCAAAAGAAAAGGCAAAACCAGATATCCCTTGTAAAAACTGCCCTTAAGAGGGAACACACTTCCTTTAAGGAGAGGGTGTCACAAGGGTCATCCCTTGATAACGACTCCTTTCTCAGGGAGCTAGGAGTGAACGCTGAGCTGAGCTCAATCACCCCACTCTATTTCCTGGTGTGAGTGAAGGCCAGCCAGTCAGTCTCTGGCGTGGCAGAGAGGTGGCGCCAGCTTCCTCCAAAAGCAAAAGTACATTAGTGGTTTTTCTGAATTGGTTGCTCCTTATGTCCAAACATTAAGTTTCTAGGGCTTTCTCCCAAGCCTGTTTCCCACAGCACTAGGCAAGTTCAGCCCCACTCTGGCTTCTGCCATCATCTGAACTAAAGAAATTCTGGCTGGACACCCACTTGGGGGAGATTCTAAGTATAGTGAGTGTATGTGGGGGAGAATACACATGCCTATAGTACTTGCCTGTGTGTGTTGTGTAGGGGATCAGGGAGAGGATAGGCAGAAGATTTGTGGCACAGGGTCCTGTGATCCTGTGAAGACTGTGATCCTATGGGGAGGTCTAGGTAGCATGCACAGTTAAGCCCCAACTTTCCAGGAGTTCTGATGCACAGAGAGGTCATACCAGACCCCTTCATTCATCAAACCTCTGCTCAGATCCACAGCTACATCTCTGCCTCAAACCAGAGGCCCTGCCAGCCCCAGACCTTGAGTATCCCCACAAGGCTCTTCTGGGTCCTACTAACTCCCACCCAGTCACAAAGATGAGCAGCTTGGGCTTCTGCTTCAATCTTGTGGCTCTCTCATTTCTACTGTCAGGCCTCAATCATAGCATGAAGCCCTGTCCTCTGCCCCGGCTCCTAAGGCAGGCCCCATACCAGGTACTGTGGTATCTTTCCCGACCATCCCTACCCCAGCTCATTCTCTTGCCAAACAGAGATCTGGGGGCCACAGTGAAGCTTTCCCACCCAGGAATCCGGGCCCTTGCCAGTCTCACTTTCCTCTTAGGTTGTCTTCACTGAATGTGTTACCTTCTCAGCAACCTGAGGTCACGGCCACACTGTGCCTGTCCATTTGTCCCTAGAAAATCCTTCTCTACACCACTTACCCTCATCTTGTTGGTCTCAAGTCCCAGCTGGTTGTTAATGCACCAGTTTTCTCTAACAGCCCAAATCCTAACCATCCCTGGATTCACCTGAACTCCCAGGATAATGTGCTTGGCACACAGTGACAATTTAAAGGTTTGTTGACAAAGTTGGCCTTAGGATCCTTCTTATTTCCTTTTAAATTTTATTTCCCAAGCAGTGTTTTTGTCTAATGGCATGTATGAATAGCTAGCATCTGTCAAGGTGACCTGAGATTAATATCACCTGCTTGTTTTCTTCTAGCGAAACTGCTACCTAAATAAAGGCTAACAGACCTTTATTTAGATTTTTGTAACCAGACCACATTTTGATTTTTCTTCAGTTAAAACCAATTTCATTTAACATGTATCTAAAGGAATAAGCTTGGTGTGAGGGTTTAAAGTAGGAGAAGAGCTTATAAAGCCCATAGGAAACAAAGTTAGTTAAATATAGTGACCTTATTTTGTTTAAATCTTTTCCAGAATCTTCTGGAAGCTGGGCTGTTGTGTGCATTGGGGCAGCTGCCACATGCAGGCTTGGCCCTGGGTCCAAACTGGCATTCAAGGTAGTGCCATCTGGACATCGCTCTGAGTCACAACTGAGAAGGGGCCAGGAGATGGAAGCTTTCTTCAAAAGCAGGGCTCACTTAGACTTTACAAGGTGTTTTAAACCACCAACCACCTGGTGGTAGAGCTTGCCTTCCCCTGAGGCTGCAGAGGCAGGCAATTGTGGACACTGCCCAGCAACACCACTGCCACCAGGAATGAGTGGCTGTAAGTCTGATCTCTGCAGATGGCTTGGCTATTTTCTGGCCAGCGGCCTCCTCTCCCTCCCTGAAATAACGGGAAAAGGTTATGGGCAGCTCTTCCCTTAGGAAGTTAAAAATCACCAATGGTAAGTATTTACATTTTTAACTGTCATGACTCAACTCTCAGGCAGTCAGCTGATGGCCCTGGCTGCTGCAGGCCCTTTTCCATGTGCATCCTTTTCCTACAGTGTGTGCTGCTGGGAGAAGCTGAAGCCAGACCCAGTTCAGAGCAGCCCACTGGAAGGGCTTTTGTGTAAGTAGCTTACTCCTTTGCCCCTTCCATTCTTCAAAAAGGCCTCCGCCTTCCATGAAAACAACTAAAGATTATCATACATCTCCTGGTTAACAACCGCTGCAAGATGTGCAACAACTGGGGTACTCAGACACTCAAGAAAGAGTACCCCTCTGCATCCCAACCATGTCTGTATGGCCAATAATCGCTGCTCCCAACCTCCAGCTTCTCAGAAGTAGGGGTGCATGGTAATGAGCACTGGCTCCCCACTTTACCCCCACCAGGGTTTCTGGGGGTGGCTGGGCAGAGGCTTTCTGCTCAGCATAGCTGCCCAAAAAGAGGCGGTTATTTGGAACAAATCATACCACCCTTGCTATTCCTGAAGTACATGACCTTCACAGAGGAGTGAGTGGCTCTCCTGACAAATGCAGGACATTCTGTGGTCAAACAGGAAAGTGGCCCCAATTCTTGGGAAAAGGGTATCAAGCACTCACTGAAGCACTGTGTGAATTCCCTTGTAAAAATGCCTCCTTGGTTACTTGACAGTGAATGTGTGCCCTAGATTTACCAGAAATTACAAAATCATATTAATATATTAGCTTCTTAGAGGTCTGGATTTTTAAAATTTCTTGTCAAGTATGTTCATTCCTTCTTAGTAAAGGGCTATCTTAGGTGAAAGTTAATGCGTATACCAGAATGTTCTATAAACGTATAAAGTCTTTTCTAAGACTGCGCACATCAAAAACACTGTGGTGGGCTCCGAGTTGTGCTTCACTAAAGCAAGGTCACGGTGCAGCCATCATGGTCAGAGCCGGGCTGCAGCTGGTCAGACGAACCGGACCAAATAGAATTGCACGCACGTGTGGAAACCTCTGGCGCTGCTGGTGACCTCGGCGTGACGCTTTCTGTCACCATAAAGCCTGTGGGGTGAACTCATCTTTCTAAACAGTGCTCTTCTGAAACTATTTATCAAAAATATTTTTATAGTACAAAGACTATAAAAAAGGAAAGAAAAAAACAAAAGCCCTTGGTTAAAAGTAAAAAGAAAAAACTGCTAAGACCTTAAAAACCTGCACTGTTCCAGCCTCAAATAATTAAAAATGAAAGGTTGCTGGTCACTCTGAGGCAATGTTCCTAAAGCTGTCATCACCCTGGTTCTCGGAGGGTTTTGTTTGGGCACAGCTGCATCTGAGGCATCTTTGCAACATGTTACATGAGGAGACGCTGTGAGAAGCCAGGCAGACTTGGAAAAATGGCAGCGCTCACTTCAGACTTCTGCTGGAGAGTCAAGAGAAACCACAGGGTGGGGGAGTCACGTGTGTGCGTGGACTGCTGCGGACTGCACTCTAGACGTAGAGTTTAGATGTAGAGACTCGTTTCCATTTTCACACAAGCATCTCAGTGCATCGACTCCTCCATGAGGCTCATTCTCAGTCAGTCGGAGCAGGCCGACTGAAGTTGTGTCCCGGAGCAACAGGATGTATCCATTTGTTTTATAAATTTGCTCATTTTGGTTCTGGTTGGTGATGTTAACTTGGTGACATCCTAGATTTATGGGAAGAGCATGTGTGTCACTGATGTCTACTACACTGGCCACCATCTCTTTTTCTGTAAGCTTCATGCCTCTTCATGCTGATGCTGAGGCTGATGGAAAAGGATGAGGTTGGATGACTGAAGACAAAACAGGGGTGCTTATCTGGTATCTGGCAGCAAGGAGATGGTTCCATCTTCTCAAGAAGGCATGCAGAATCGTTCTGATTTTGAAGCATGCTGGCCATCACCCCAGGTCTGTGTGCCCAGAGGGGACAGCCAGACTGGCCTCGAAGATGCTGCCCCTTCCCCCAACCTCTCAGCAGTTGCCAAGAAGACAAATCCACAGGCCTGGGGGACAGAGCCTTCAGCATTTCAGTGGTCACATAAACAACAGTCACCTTACATCATGCTCACTAAGGGAGGCTGGAAAGTGACAAGAGGACAAGTGCCTGTCCTGCCCAGTCTGCATCCCCTTCCAGGTGTGCTGCGTGATCAGTCTCAGAAGAGGGAAAAATGTTGAGACTTTCTCTCAGGAATCTTTAGAAAGAGGGCTTTAACAGAAAGTAGAGTAAGAGACAGGGAAACCAGAGTGGGCCACACAGAGCAAGTGCAGCAGTGCCTGCAGGTGGCAGTATGCAAGCTAAGTGGGGAGCACACAGGGTGTCTTAGAAACCAGTGCCACCCGATGCAGACTAGCATGTGGTTACTCAGAGGCACACCTGCAATGCTACCGGTGCCCCTGGGCCCTCCATCTTTTCTGGAAGTGTCAGGCTTGTTGGGAGTCCACATTCAGTGGCCAGCTTCAGGCAATTTCCATTGCCACAAGGATACCTGGGCAACAACACCACTGTCCTCAAAGCCTTGTCTTGGAGGAACTTTGCAATTTAACCCCGAATCCCAACCTGTTCTTGGAAAGCGCTGCCATTCTTCCAAAAACGAATGCTGACAGAATACAAAATAAGAAAGGTGATCATAAATCAAATCACAAAGGAAGTGAGCTCCAACAGCCCATTAAAAAAAATCAGGTTTTGTTCTCATCATACATGTCCAAAGAAGGTTCGATGGTAGAGAATTCACTTTCATATACCAGACTTCGAGGGGACAAAGAGTTTCGATGGAAGAAGTGACCACCTGAAAAGAATAAGAAAAATGAGACTTAACAGGTCATCAGGCCTACAATTCCCATGGGCTTGGAGGCAAGGTCTTGGATTATCTTCTCAAATATCTCCATTTTGGGGTCTTATCATGAGAGAAATGAAAAGAGAATTCAGGCAGTTCTTAATTTAAGCACACTATAAATTCCAACATTCAGGTACCCAAGGGATTGAATAGAGCTTTTCAAAGCAAAAGCTATCTGGCTAGCACTTACAAGGATTTCCTTAACAAATCTGGGACCTGCTCTTTTGAAGAACACCCTCCCACCCAAACATACACTGGTCCCCCAGCCTCTGGTCTGAGCACCTAGTGGAGTCCGGGGGTGGAGTGGGCACAGAGCCCCATCATTAGCTCGGTACACTAGGGGCTGTGACTTCAAGGTACTGATAAAACATATGATAATCTGTATTAAATGATAATGTATATTAAAGTTATACTTTCACATGGTTTAGAAAGCTAATTAATTGCACATGTGTTAGCACCCCTTTCTCAGAGATAGGCACTTTGAGCTAATTTTTGTAGTATTACCTCCATGTGCCTAAATAATATGCCTATGTTGGTCCTTTCGCATTTTTAAAGTCTTAGGTTTCACTGCATTCTCAGGATGAAAAATAGGATTTTTCTCCCTATTTTCCCTTCCTACTGCATCCACACATACATCCATCGCCCCAATATAATTATGCTGTGATAAAATATTCAGTTTACATTTTCCCCTATTTGTGTTTAGAGCTAAGCCATACTTATATTTCCTTTTCTCAAAAACTTGTTTTTACAACTTTATTGAGCTATAATTGACATATAATGAAACACATATTTAGTGTTTAACTTGAGTTTGGACATATGAACACACCTGTAAACTATCACTAAGTTCTAGATAGTGAACACCCATCACTCCTAGGATCTCTGGGTGGTCCCCCCACCCCTTCTTCCCATCCTACTCCTATCCCCTGGTAAAGAAAGATTAGTTTGCATCGTTCTAAAATTTTATGTGAGTGGAATTATACGGTTTGTATTGACTCTTACAAATAGAGCTGCTTTGAGCTCTGTACAAGTGTGTGTGTGGGCACATGCTACTGTTTCTCTTGGGTGGGGTCACTGGGTACATGGTTAGTACGGTCGGACCACTGAATGTTCCCATGGGCCTGAGGGCTCCAGTTCCTCACAACATCCTCATCAGCAAAAAGGTGATGAGGCCATTCTAGTAGGAGTACAGTAGGATGTCACTGTGGTTTTAACTAGCATTTCCCTGATATTGGACATCTCCTCATGTGCTAATTAGCCAATTCTGTATCTTCATGAATGAAACATATTCAAATCTTTTGCCCATTAAAAACCCTAGGAATTGTAAGAGTTTTTAAAAAAATACTCTAGGGCCTTCCTGTTGGCGCAAGGAGTTAAGCACCGCACTATAAAGCAATCTGCAGCCTCTGCAGCACGAGTTCGATTCCCCGGTGGCCACACAGAAACCCACATGGCGAAGCAGATCTCTCCTGTCTCGTCCGCTGCTCCCCTCAGCAGTGTATTTCAGTCTGTCTGCTTGTTCTGCTCCCCAGAACTCTGTCTCTGGTGAATCCTCTCACCCCCCACCCCCGCATCTCTGGCCTGTACCCCAGCTCTTGTGTGCATAAATAAATAAAAATCTTCTAAAAAAATACTCTAGAAATGAGTCTTTTGTCAGACATATCTGTGGCTTGCCTTTTTACTTTCATACCAATGTCCTTTGAAGAGCAAAAGTTTTAAATTTTGATAAAATCCAATTTATTGATTTTTTCCTTTTATAGTTTGTACTTTTGGTGTCAGGCTTAAGACACCTTTGCCAAATCCAAGGTCACTGAGATTTTCTCCTATGTGTTTATTCAGAAGTTTTGGCTTACACATTTTGATGATCTAGTTCAAGTAAACTTTTTGTATAAGGTGGGAAACAAAGGTTAACGTTTTGCTTGTTGCCTATGGAAATTTAATTGTTCCAGATCATCCTTTTCCCACTGAACTGCTTTGGCGCCTTGGTTGAAAATCCATTGAGTGTAATGTCTGGTCTTTTCCTGGGCACTATTTTGTTCCAGTAATCTGTTTATCTTTATGAAACCAAAACTAAATGGCTAAATTGTTTTCAGACCCATGGAACACAAAGAGGAAAGAAACCACATTTAACTCTCTCTTCAAGGCTTGCTTTTCACAGGCATGACTGAGGCAGGAGATTTCAGCAACTTTGAGCGGAGTGCCAAGGCTGGCTGGGGACTGAGAGTGCAGAGAGGAAGGGCGGAGGCAACTTCGGGCAGGTCACCTCCACCCTTTCTCCAAAGGCAGAGGCTCCAGGTAGTACTTGCTTTGCTTGATTCCCAAATTATAACTGGAGCCCTGTGGCTCCCTGACGACTTTGCTGACTAGCACCTCCACAGCTGGGTGTGCTGCTGCCCCTGCTCCAACTCTACCACAAAGCCCCTGAGTGCACCACCACACCCAGCTCTGCTGCAGGGCCCATCACTGACGAGAGACCACTTGACCTCAGCCAGAGTGCAGGTTGAGTTTGGACATACAGGTGGGGTTTTGTTGTTGAATATTGCGTGGGAATTGTAAATGGTCCGATCAGGTTCGAACTCCCAATGGTGCCTTTCAAGGTTTTGAGATCAGTCAAGAACCAATAAGATTTATGCTTGACAAAGATCAATCAAGTCTTGCAACTGGACCTGGAACTGACAACAGTCTAATTAGGTTTGAGAGACTGATACCCCGAAGATGACAGAAGCTGAGGTTTTAGAGGGCTCAGACTCTTCCAGACCCTCTCCTGTAAAGACCTTCACAGACCGTCCAGAACTTGTAGACCTTGAGATCTTCAGAGACTTTTGAGACCTATGCATCAGAAGTCGGGCCCTGCCTCTGACATCACCTGCTGACTGCCACTGTTGGTCTATGCCTGGTGTCTCTAAAAGAGCTGTCTGCTGTTAGCTTATGCCTGGCATAAGAGCTATAATACTGGTGCTTGGTCTTTTGGCACTGCCACCTGCTGATTGATGCTGACCGGCATTCCTGACCTGTGTCTGGCTATCACTAAGAGCTGCCCATCATTTCTGATCCTTTGACACGACCTCCTGGTTCTATTGCCTCTGTTGCTGTCTATTCTTGCATTTGGTGCTGACTAACCCAGTCTCCAGGTAAGTGCTGCTGGCTGCTGCAGTGCTACTTCAGCAGTACCAGTTGTGGTCACCCCTAGTTGCCACCGCGAATTGGATCAGGGCCACCACTTTTTGCTGTGCCACTAGCTCAGGTTCTTGTCAAAGGGACATCACCACCTTGCACGAGCAGCTATTGATATGGACTACTGGATACTGCAGACACTTTCTGGGGTAGGACAGTCAGCCATGTGTGGTCTTAGAGACTCTTCAAACCCCATTGTTATTACACCCTGAACCTGAGTCATGTCTTGGAGTTGTAAATGCCTGGTGAGGACACAGAAATTGTGACACCCTCCCTCCCCCAACCCCCTACCCCTCAGTTTTGCATTGTTTCAATTCCAGCCCTTTCCCTCATATTTGGCTTGTGGATGACAAGTAGGTGAACTTGGGTGTGGTTTCATTTACACTAATACAACACTGTCTTGATTACTATAGCTTTATAAGTCTTGATATCAGCTATTATAAGTTCAGCAACTTTATTTTTAAAGATTTATTTATTTATGCATAGAAGAACTGGGGTACAGGCCAGAGGCGTGGGAGGTGAGAGGATTCACCAGAGATAGAGCAGGGAACAGAGCAGGCAGACTGACTGAAATACACTGCTGAGGGGAGCAGCTGGTGAGACAGGAGAGGTCTACTGCACCATGTGGGTAGCTCCGCTGGCTGGCCAGGGATGGAACTCGCACCCTGCAGGCAGCTGTGCCACGGAGGCAGCACAGCTTCACAGTGCTGCGCTCAACCCCTTGTGCCACCAGGGAGGCCCTCAGCAACTTTATTTTTAATTTTAATTTTCAAATGGTATGATGGACAGAGAGATAAAAGCTGTTACAAGAGTACAGACAAGTTTTAAAACATACACTGACTACTGTATGTGTGATGCACTAACTTCAATTTTGTTTAACTTGTCTATATTAAAAACTTCATTTGAAAAACTGGGATGAATAAAAAAAAAAAAAAAGCTTGCTATCTGCACATAGCAGTCCTCTGAGAGAGGACCTAAGAATCATATGGGATGTTTGATCTCTGACAGCTGAGTCTCATTCCCTAGAAGAATCTGTATAACCCAACTGGGTAAAAGTTAAAGATTAACAATAACAACAAAACAAGCAAAAGATGAAGAGGTTTTCCTGTGCTGCAGTAAGAAGTGGAAATAACAACTTTTTGTGTAAGTGCACTAACAGCTGACACCAAATCTCTGCAGATAAAAAAATAGGTCAGAGTTTACTCAGTAATCTACCTAGTTGTTAACCATTTACTTGAGGAACACAAAGGCATCTGAATTTCAGACAAAAGTAGGTTGCTGGCTTTGCCATTATCCTCCCACACCTGTAAATACATCCTGTTTACTGATCAAGTGATTTTTGTTATTATTGGCTACATAATGTTATTAAGTAAACTCTTAATCCAGGTACTATAACCTATATACTGATCTGTGCAAAATCATAAATACAGGAAACCCACCCATGGAGTTAGAACTAGAACCCTATCAGCACTCCACACATCCCTCTATTTAACCCGGCCAGCATTATCTTCATACTCAAGTCTAACTGCTAAACCCAGAAGCCAGTTAATTGATCTTTGTCTATCTTGAATCTTGAAGAGACAATTAACATCTCAGTTGTTGGTGTTCATTAAATTACCTCTATCTTCAATCTTGTAATGTCTTATTTTCTGGTCTGCAAGTTATTTCTAAACTGTTTCATTTTTGCAGTGGAAGCCAGCGGGGCTGTAGTAGTTGAGTGGCTGTAGAAGCCAAGAGGTGTCAGCTCATGTCAGAACATGGCTGGGCAAGGAGTGGTGAGC